CGAAAAAAGAATCAGGGGACGTTCACCATCTATCTGGCTGGTAGATAGGTAAACGTTACACTTTGATGTGTCTCATTGTAATAACATAACTTTTCCGATTGCTTAAAATGTGTATAATTTTAATTCTCGGTAATCCCAATTTTTTTTCAGCTCTACTTAAAAACCCAAATTCCACCCCCCACCCCCCGTCCCCTCAGCCCACCACGCAAGCCGAGAAAAAAAGATCCCTTGAATCATCATTTAATTACACATTTGCATTTTCAGTTTCAGGTCGGTTTTTAATTTTTACTTTTTCTTTATATTTAGACGTGTTTGTATTAGATCTATGTATAAGTAAACCATCTTAAATGAATGAAAGCAGGCTACAAGTAAGAAAGAAATATTACTATTGTAAATCTGTATCAGTCCTCACAAGCTGATGATGAAAACTGTAATACTAAAGCGAACACACAACTGACGCTATAAATTACGTGTCTGAGGCGAAAAAAAAAATAAAAAAATTGTGTATTTTAAAATCATAATACAGATAATGCTATTAATACGGTGACTAAATCTTAAAAACAGCCATCTTAAACAGTAGTAAACAGGCATGCGAAATCTGTGTTACGCCAATTATCTCCAAAATGACAAGAGACAAAAAGAAATTAATAAAATTACCAAGATCTAATTAGATTTATACGAACAAGATGGATGTCTGGCGAGAAAGACCCCAAGTGGACTCATTTATAAGGTTGGCTTTATTGGAGTTGTAGTTGGTTCTTTAACATTTATTGTTGGATATTGTGCACCAAAATGGGCAATTTTTAAAGCTGTGCAATATGAAGCGACAGAACGCATGGGGGTTGTGGCAGAACTGTAGCCTACTGAAGATTTGGGAGTTTGTGCCTTAACTGTTAGCAATGATGACAACATAGGTAAACAGCTTCTCATTTGTTAAACTTTAAATAATGTAATGTATTTTTTTTTATTGTCGTTGAGTTTATAACTAAAAGCATCATACAATAATTAGGGAAGGGAATTTTATTTAAAAGGGTTACAAAATTCTTTTCTAAATTACCTTGTCTGGCCAATTGCCCTTGTGTGGAGTTTGCTAAATGTAGTTGTTTCAAGCTTTAACTTAATAATGTTGATGTTCATAGTTGTACATACATTTCCTGCCTATGTGCTGGTTCAGTACTTTTATGTTGCAATGCTGATTCTCTGGGTGGCTGGTGAAGTCAGAAGTGTAAAATCAAAATATTTCAGCTATTAAATAATTTTAAAAAAATTGGTTTGGCCTGATTGAGGTATAATGTGCTAATTTTTTTCTGGAGTACATTGATGACATAATTTATCTAATCATCCACAATCAAGCAGAATATTATTTCATTTTTATTTACTTAAAGAAAATCATTTATTTTCTCCCTTTTTAGTGCATTATTACATAAAAGCGTGTTATTAAAACATTTTTAAGCATTTTATTCAGTACTTTAGAAATTTTGATACCATAGGTTTGTAAAATAATTGCTCACTAAATGAACACGAAAACGTGCGTATAATAACGTGGTATACAGTTCTTTATATCGTAACTTTTAATTAATTATTTAAAAATAATTAAGCATCCAATTAAGTTAGATTTGATGTCACATTGAATTGTCATCGAGTCTTGACCCACATGCCAAGTTTCAGAGAAATTTTCTGACAGTTTCGATCCACGACGACAAAAACAGACAAAAAGCACGATAGACGGAGAAAGCAAGCAATTAAAAGCTGGTGAAAATAGCTTGAATACAGCCGCATAATACTTCCTTTACACCGACGTGAGAATAAAGAAAATAGGCTTTACAATCATAACTCTATGTCCACAATTTAGTGTTAGCTGAGGGTTAGGGGTCGTCCATAAATAACGTACACTCGTAGGGAAAGGGGGTCTGTAATTTTATGACGGTGTGTGATGAGGGGGAGGGAGGGGAGGGTTCAGATGGCGTGACGTCACACTTTTGCATTTGAAAAATGCATGGTTAGAAAACGATTTTTAGCTTTTATTTCGCGTTTTCCAAAACGGTTTTACTAAATTGTAATAGAAATTGACTCTATGTTGACATAGTCCTGACAAGATTTTGGAAAAATATCGATTTTTTAAGAAAAATTCAACAGCCATTCTGAGAGGGAGGGGGGGGGGGTTGTAGACTGAGGTCTGACGTCATTTTAGGGGGGGGTCTGGCTTTTCGTGACAATGTGTGACGGAGGGGAGGGGGGGAGGTAAAAATCGTCTAAAAAAGCTTGACGTCATTTATGAATGACCCTTTACTTCGTGTGATTCGCTACCTGCTTGGCCACATAATTTCAAAATTTAGACCACAATGAAGGACATTTCAAAAGTAAACTAACCCGCTCTTTCTCTTTCTTCTCAAATGCGTTGTCCAAACCACACACAAAATTGATTTATTTTGCTTATTCTGATTTTGTAAGACAATCATAATCTGCTGCGTTACATTCAAGCCGTCATTATGCAAGCACATAATTTTCACCCTTCCCCCCGTCCTATGCGATACTTGTTCTATAGTTAATGGCTGTCCTGGTAATTATTATCATCTTAAACATTAGCTAAATGTGAAAAATTATCCACGACACATTTGGGTAAGGAAAGGTAACCGTAAATAAACAACACATTTATTACCAAGAGTTATCTTTCTTGAGGTACATTACACATTCAAATAGTGAGAGGTAGGATACAGATTTATCCACCTTGAGTAGCTTAATATTATACGAATGATATATCTTTTTAAAAAAAACATTACTCTTCTCATTACTTAACACAAATAAAATCATCTTTAAGGGAATATTTTACAGTTTTATTCTATAAAAAGGTTAATGCTTTAACGGCGACCATAAGTTGCAAGTTTTTACCCTCCCCCTCCTTGCCCTACCAGTTATCATTCGTCCACTTTGGTGATATATTCTTTTCTAAGTGTCTGTTATTTTTAAGTAGAATCTATAACGTGTTGAGAATATTTCAAAAATATGTATTCGTATTAATTGTTATGTAAAAACTTAACGTTCAAAGTATTTTTTTCTGAAGTAGGCCTACGCAGCATTAAAGCTAATCTTAATTCCCCTTCTTGGTCATAATCATTATGTAAAAGTCTATCATTACACATTTTTAGTAGAGGCACTAATTATGTACTTGTTGTATACTTGTATGTACCGTGATGTGCCAGCCCTCAATGAGTTGCTTTTTTTATATAAACTCGAGTACTTCCCACTAAAAGGTTGTTTTATTTTGATTGTAACATACAAGAATGTTCATGTTCTTGTTTTATTTTGATTGTAACATTCAAGAATGTTGATGTTATTGTTTTATTTTGATTGTAACATACACGAATGTTGATGTTATTCTTTTATTTTGATTGTAACATACACGAATGATGATGTTATTGTTTTATTTGGATTGTAACATACAAGAATGTTGATGTTTATGTTTTGATGTTGGTTGTAATGTATTAGTTTGTTGATGTTGTTGTTTTTTGTTGGTTGTAACATACAAGAATGTTGATGTTTATGTTTTGATGTTGGTTGTAATGTATTAGTTTGTTGATGTTGTTTTTTGTTGGTTGTAACATACAAGAATGTTGATGTTCAATATTTCATGAGGTCGTCTACTTCGAGTCGGACCAACCCCCCCCTCCCCCCCCCCCCCCCCCCTCAGTTTACACAAGATCACAAATCGACTTCGAACACCGCCCCCACACCCACTCACCCCTCTCCGTGTAAATGTCAAAAATAGTAGTGAGCTAACATACAATACCTTGTTTTTTCCCATGATAGACGGTAGCAGCTTTTGTAACCAAACAAAATTATACAAAGATCAATTATGCTTATCAAGTTCCGATGTCATAACGGAAAAGTTTGGTATAACGGTGAGCCACGTACAGGAATTGTGGGAATTTAGAGTATAATGTAATCGGCAGGCTGTGTTATATGGTCTACCTGTCGCTGGAGCCACGTCACTGTGTTAAAACTTAAACTCAGACACGTTTAGGGTTAGACAGAGGCTTTACATGGGTCGCATATGTTGGCGAATTGTATAGACAATGTACGTTACGTTCCCAATCGTTTTTATGTCTTTAAAATGTAAAACAGTACAGGTGGCCGAGAGTTCAATAACGACGGTGGCTGGCCAATAGCTCATTAATAACGGTGGTCAGAGTTTCTTCCAGGCATCTCTTCGGGGTGGCTCTGTCCCCCCCCCCCCCCCCCCGAAGAAAGTCTACCCCCCCCCCTTCTAACGAAATGGAATTTATATAGAAAATATATACTTTTAACAGTGTCCGCCCCCCCCCCCCCCGGAAATTTGAGTCCGCCCCCCCCCCCCCCCCCCGAAAATTTCAAGTGCACCCCCGGAGAAAAGTCTGGAAGAAACACTGACGGTGGGTGGCCAAGAGTTCATTAACGACATTAACACGCAAGATTAATCCACTGTCCACCAACACAAAAGAGAACTTATCGCGATAAAACATCAGACTCTCCAAATAAAATCCCACGCTACTCAACATCCTGTCATTCTTAGTAAAAATTAGTTTTCTTGTTTCAAAGAAATGCACAATCTGCGTTCTGTGTTAAAATCTCCCACCCCACCCCTTTACCGATAATATAAAATAATTACAACATTTAGAGTCACTCGCTGTACATTCAAGGAAGTTTTCTAAAAAAAGTCGTAGTACAACTTTTAATTTAAATTAAAAAAAAACAGTCTCATCTTTTTAAAGTAAATAATAATTATTTTATTCTTATTTTGATTGGCATCACATTTACAGTAAATGCTGTTAAAACAACGATTTCACGGAGCTAAAAATAGAACAACCTATCTTTGATTAATCTGTCAACACCTAATAACAAATCTTGTTTTTTTATTGAGTGGGAAACACTAGGCTATTTAGACCGCTTTTATGGGAAAACGGTTTTCTCTGGATTTAGAGAATTTCGGAAATTCCCGCAAATGACTGAATCAAATTGACCTATGTTGCGATAAAGGCAGTGTGCTGCTGTGTTCGCTTGTTGGGCACGAAGATAGATACACTAAACATACACCGACGAGGGTTGGAATGACAACCAGCTACTTCTTTTAACCTACATGTTGTAGTAAGAAAACAAAAATGTCATGTAAGTAATTGTTTTTTTTTCCAGCTTATTTACTAAAGGATTAGAACACAAACCGAATGGTTTAGAATATTTAGAATCGATTGGATGACCTTGCGTGACCTAATTTGGAGGCTTTCTTTGTTTATTCATATAACCTACAGCGTTACTTAAAGTCTTGTAACAACATTCAGTGAAGTGATATTTAGTATGAAAACTTTGATTTTGATTTTATAAACCGTGCATTTAATATGAGGATTTATTGGAATTATTTTATGTCCTTTTTTACTAAAAATACTAGTGCAGCATTGCTAATCTGACCTTCAATTGTGCAGATGAAGTAGAGTTCACCTGTTTCCTTGAATTCTGACATATCGTGTACACAACTCACATCACAAAAATCTGTATCCGACTAGTCAGGTAATTAGGTACACATTTGAGCTGGGACGACTCAGGGGCGATATCCGATTAGCCGTTGAACGGAATTTGAGTTTTTTTTTAAACCTGCAGTCGCATGCTCTACCAGAAGACTTGAATTCCTAAGTAATTTTAAATAAAGCGGGAGTGAGCTCCCTTTAATTTTCCCGTATATGCTCCGACTAGTGGTGGAATAAAAAAGAGTAGGTTTCAAAACTATTTTAAAGTAATAAGGGAGATAATTTACTTAAAAGTTTTAAAAATCTGTATCAAAAATGTAAAATATACGCAAGTAACAATGAGTAACTTTTATTTGCAAATAATGTTACTATTCATAAACAGTATGTACTTACTACAGTAAAACGTCTAAATGTCTTAATAGTTTTTTAACTGATATTTGAAATAAATTTTTGATTTTAATTGACACACTTTAGACTTACTTGAAAAATAATCCTATAATTAAGATTAATAAATCATAATTTTATTTTGATTTAGAAGAATCTAGATATCAAATTTTGGTTCCCAGATAATGGGAAAAATATAAAAACATTACGTGACGATTGGCAATTAAAACCCAAGCTTATCATGAAGATACATTGTATTTTGTTCTTGGTTGGACAAAGGCTGTGGAAGCAAATCCAAAAAAAAAAGCAGGCTGAAATCGGAGTCAATGGCCTCAATGGCGCATAACCAGTTGACACGTAACGCTTAATTGTGTTGGAGGCGTGGTCGAGTCGGCAAAAAGCTGATGGTTGATAAATTCGAACAAAGTCTCGAGTTCAAACCCACTGGCAGATAAATCTCGATCCCCTTCAACACTAATAATTAAGAGCGAAGAAGAAGGAGAAGATGAAGATACATGATGATACTGTTTAATGATAGTTAAACTGAATGGTAGAACAAAGGCGTCATAAAGCACAGTATCACTTGTGAAAAGTATTTGTTGTAAAATTGTCTGAGACCAATAGCGAATCCTTGACGACTTACAATTTTCTGTGTACTTTACTTTATGTATATATATATATATATATATATATATATATATATATATATATATATATATATATATATATATATATATATATATATATATATATATATATATATATATATATATATACATGTGTGTGTGTCTGTGTTTATTCGGGATTCTGCCTAGCTTTGTTTAAGTTTTCGAAAAATAAAATTATGTCTAAAATCTAAAGCCTTTACGTAAAATCTATACTAATACTTCGCAATACATAATTGAACACCAACATTTTAAACACTTAAAGAGCGAGAGATTTCCTTATTTTGCAGTTACACTAATTTTCTAATCGGTTTACTGAAGCTAAGTTTTTGAAAGTATGTGTGTGGGAGGGCAGAGGTTGTGGGATAATGCGCACACCTCCTTTCCAAAAGTCTCGAGTTCAGATCCCGGACTCAAATCTTTAGTACGTCTCTGAGCCTACTCTGTCCCACATAATTTACGTTAGGGAAAGCAAAGCCGGCTGGTCATATAACACAGCACACTGTACGCCCAAATGCCAAGGTGACAAACACAGATAAACTCTAGTCCATTAGTCTTTTGACCGCCACAACGGAACATGAAAGATAAATGTTATCTTAAAGATTGTACTGGGTAAGATAATCTATCACTCGATGTATGTAACTCAATGTATTGGTAGGGAAATAAACCACATAACTTTATTTACATCTCTCGTCTAACAGATTTAAACTGAATAGGTAGATAAGGCTAAAAACTACAGATTGGATGAAATACATTTTTAAAAAAAATCATCTAAAAGAACTGAAATGGTACGCAAGTTGTGTTCATTTCATATACACACACTGACAAACAGACAGACACACAGAAAATATTGCAAATTTAAGTTTTTCCCACTCAGGAAGGTGTAAAAGGTCGAGATTTGTCAAAATCTTCATTTTAATTTTTTGCACGATAAAAATGCTTTCTCTCAGAATTTTTTCCATGCATCGCCCCTTCCCATATATGCTATTTAACAATACCCCCCCCCCCTTCCGGACAAAAAATTCTGAAAGAAACACTGCTTTCTCTATATTCTGTATAAGAGAAAGTAAAAACTAGTTTACTCTTAAAGCCCAATCTCTCAATTTTGTTTGATTTCAGTCTCTAAACCCTCAAACGGTAAAAGCTTAGATCTGCTTCTCATTGGGAAAACCGGAAATGGTAAAAGCGCAACAGGAAACACAATCTTGGGGAGGAAATGCTTCAAAAGTAGCCCCAGTTTTACCTCCGTGACGAAACAGGCACAGGTGGATTACTCTCAGAGGAACGGCTACACCCTTAAAGTGGTGGACGGGCCAGGAATCGGCGACACTGACCTGTCCAAGGAGGACGCTCTGATGCTGGTCATCGACGCGATGAACAACGCCATTGCTGCAAGTCCTGAAGGCTACCACGCTTTTCTTCTGGTCGTTAAGTTTGGTGGAAGGTTCACTGATGAAGACGTGCAGACGATACATTTACTGAAACATGTTTTTGGTGAACATTTTGTATCGAAACATTGCATTTTAGTTGTAACAGGGGGAGATAATTACAGCCCAGATGAGACGGGGGTGGAGTCTTTTTACGAGTGGTGCCTTCAACAAGAGGGTACGTTTAGAACCTTGGTTGAGGAGTGCGGAAAACGGGTGATTTTGTTTGATAACAGGACGAAGGACCAAGAGAAAATGGACAGCCAGGTGGAACAGTTGATTACAATGGTCAACTCAATTAGTCATTTAGGTCTAAGATACACTGATGATCATTTCAAGGCCGCTCAGCATCAGAGGGAGATTATCATGGTGGAGGCGAGGAAACCCATGGTAGAGGAAGAGAGCATGAAAGAGGCGAGTCTGATCATCCAGCTGCTGGGGAAGATACAGCTGGACGACCTACAGAAACAGCTGCAGCTGTTGCGTAGTCTTCAGTCGCGTGCTGAGACGCTGCTAGACAGGATACGTGAGCAGGATAGAGGAACCGGGGCTCTAAGAGAGATCATCAAGAACGTGAGCAACATCCGCACGTGCGTGGAGGAGCAGATCCGCAGTACGGAGTTTGCCGCGGAGATGAAGGCATCACGGGAAGAGCATAAGCGTCAACTGCAGCAGATGAGGCTGGAGAAGGAACGCAAGCAGCAGGAGCTGGACCTTCAGTACAGGCAGGAGATAGAGCACAAGATCGCTCAGATGGAGGAGGAAGACAGGGTAGCTCAGGCCAAGATGGAAGAAATACTCAACAAGATGAAACAGGAGACGGAAGTTGTGCAGCAGGAATATATCGAAACTAAGGACAATGCTATGTGGGAGACGTTTAAGTCTGTAGGTTCGATGATTCTCACATCCGCTGTTCCTGCGCTAATTAAACTCCTCGGCAAGGTTGTTTTGAAACGGTAAATGGGTACTTTAGCTACGTTAACATAATGGCATACAAGCGAAAATCCTCGAATTCTATGCTCAGAAGTGGGGAAAATATTTGACCCATATAAAACAGAAAATTTTAATCTGATGAAGTGCTTGCAATTTGTCACGCTATATACAGATTCAAATTTAAGCCCGATATTTTAATGTGAAACTTAAATATGTGAAAATTGATGTCACATTATAATGGCATTCTGTGAAACTATGTCAATTTAATTGTATTATGTGAAAACTGATATCACTTTAATGTTACATTTAATGGCGTTAAATGTCAGATTCTAATGGCATTATATGAAACAAAATATCACTTTTTAATTGTCTTGAACATGAAATAAAGATCCCTGATATATTTTTCCAATATATCCGCAAAGATATTGGATAACGTTTTTCTCAAAGTTGTACCATTGCATTTAATATTAATATACAATGTAGTTTTTCCTCATTTAGCATCTGATGTTAACAAAAGCAGGACAAATCTTCGTCACTTATCTCAGAGGCGTAGCTAGAGGGGGGGGGGGGGCGGGGGCGACATATGTCCCCTGGCGCCGACCTTAGGGGGGGCGCCAAAATGGGTTTGAAAAACAAATTGAATGTTTGAGGGGGGGTGTGCAATTCAAAAGTTCGATGGGGGTTGCAAATCGAAAGTTTGAGGGGGGGGGGGGGGTGCAAATCGAAAGTTTGTCCCCGGGCGCCGGGAAGGGTCGCTACGCCTCTGACTTATCTTGCTTCCTGTGTATATAAGTAACTTCTGCTGAAATTATGTTAATGTGACATTGTTTTTACTGTAACTGAAGTAAATAAACTGTCCTTAGGTAGATTTCTCTATCACACTGTGATAACAGTATTTTACAGTTATTCTATGACGTTCTAAAATGTTTTGTTGTAGGTAAACAATATTCTATTTTTAATTTTAAACCAACCCACTATATATGGCTGCTAACATTCCATATTCTATGTGTTATACGCCTGTAATATCAAATGCATGTACATGAAAGTTTCCATGTGTTTCTTCTATCGCTCAACACATTAAACATATACATCACTATTCCTATTGTTGTTTACTGTATATCTTCACATTCATCTGTGATTATTTGTGTTTGTCTTGCAGTAAATGTGTGATAAAATAAAGACAAAAAAAAACGTTAAGGAAAAGCAAAACTCATTGAGTTATACATGGTACAAAATTTTGGAAATAATTAAGTACTTTATCGCTAGATGATTGGCAAACAATGTCTAAAGCAGTGATACGATTATTTAAAAATGTTAATTTCGGTATGGCAAAAACACAACGACTTATGTGAGACACTTAGGCGCTATAGTTGAGTTACAAATAGTGTTACATTAGATGCGTCATTAAGTCCATACAGACCATCTTTAAAGTAGTGTATTATGTCCGTGTTGGCTGGGGACAGTACAGTGTATTTGGTTGAGGAATGTTAGCAGTGGCGTAGCTAGGATTTTTGGGCCCCTAATGCAAAAAGTGTTTTAGTGGGTCCCTCAGAGGCGTAGCGACCCTTCCCGGCGACCGGGGACAAACTTTCGATTTGCACCCCCTCTCAGACTTTCGATTTGCACACCCCCCCCCCCCCCACTCAAACTTTCGATTTGCACACCCCCCCCCCCAAACTTTCGAAAAAGGGCCCCTATTAGCCTTGGGTCCCTATGCCTTGCTTACGATAGCTTTACGGTAGCTACGCCACTGAATGTTTGCCACAACAAAATAATGCACTTGGGCTGTAATGGCCACAAACAAAACCGTGAACCAGGACTACTTTGTCCACGCTTTACACTAACACCATCTATTTGTGAACTGTCGGCAAACAAAAAATGCTCTAAATAAATAAATAATTATTAACATTTTAAAATTTTATAAAAGATGCACATTGAACAAAATCTTTGAAAAAAATATTAATCCACAAGGTGTTTAAAACCAACCTGACGTAAAAATATTTTTACCGACATTTTAAAATTAATATAAAAATTAAAATTACCCCACCCCCATCCTACCCCCAACCCTTCACGATGTCTACATACTACACCCATGCAATGAAACAGCTGTTGGTTATGTGAAGAAAATGGAATCCCTAGTTCTAACAAATACATTTATAATAATTTTTTAATGAGGACATCTCCAAAAAATGTTCGATATTTATTTTCATTGTAACCTTTGAAATGAAAATTTATGCTTTACAAAAATAGAAAGAATAAAAAATGTAAATTTGATGACTAAATAAAAATAAATAAATTGGAATGACAATTATTAATTAGGTAAAACAGGGGGATAATTTTCATTTATTTATTACAAATTGATGATTATAAAGTATATAATTCATAAAAATTGTTTTTATGTAAACAATAAATAATTGCGCTAACTAGGTCAAGCGAACAGCCAGACTGTAGTGGGAGATTACTGCATCAACACGTCACGCCAGCACACGTGTAGCAGCGTCTATAAATAGCTCAATTTAATCCATGGATTTCCCGATGTGATATTTCTGTCTGTTAAAATGTGTTTTCTTTTCTAGTTGAATTTTCAGAAAAAAAGAGGTCTGTTTCTCACATCACAACTAGATTAAACTAGAAATATTTGTTTACGTTTAAACAAAGCAAAACACTTGTAAGTGTTTGCTTTTGGTAAGTATACACATTTTACTTAGCGGAATATCAAATTATCTTCAAATGTATTCATGGTTCCTAATGGTTAGTGCAACGCCTGGCCAATACGGCTAGTATTTAGCTCATCGTCCGGACGCTACCCTCACACCTTATCATAATAGTTTAATTCCTACGTTGTTGCGAAGTGTCTAGCTAATGAGCATTCATTTTATATTTTTGTATTAGAGAAAATTTCGTCACTTCACCAGTACTTTCTAAAAAAACTGCTAGCATTTGTGAATAATATATGTGCTTCTTTTACGTTATGTTTTCTTTTTCTATAGAGGATGAATGTGAAAGTACAATCCAACGTCGATCTTTTACTAATAGGAAAAACCGGAAACGGCAAAAGTGCAACAGGAAATTCAATTTTACGGAGAAAGAAATTTGCTAGCGAGTCTAGTACATCATCAGTGACCAAAAATATTGACTATGAATTTGGAGAATACAACGGTCGTCAGATTAAAGTCGTGGATGGTCCTGGAGTGTGTGATACAAGGCTTGACAGCCAAAAGTCAGTTGAGCTAATGCTACAGGCGATGGAACTTGCCATTGCAGCCCATCCTGACGGATACCACGCTTTTATCCTGGTTGTCAAGTTCGGGAATAGGTTTACTATGGAAGAAAATGACGTGGTAGACTTTTTAAAGAAAATATTCGGAGAGGATTTTGTACGCGATTTTTGTATTTTACTCATGACCTGTGGGGATATTTTCTTGCAAGACCAGGAGGAAAGAGCTTCAGAAGGATTGGCCTTCAAAGAGTGGTGCGAAAAACAAGATGGCGCCTTTAAGGCTTTGCTCGAGGAGTGCTGCCATAGAGTGATTTTGTTTGATAACAGAACCAAAGACGAGAAAAAGAAAAACGAACAAATCGATAATTTAATTCGAATGGTTGATGAGTTGAGACTTCGTGATAGACGATACACTGATAATCATTTTAAAAGCGCTCAGAAAACTAGAGACAGACTTTTAGTTGAGTCGAACAAGCCTATGATTACTGAAGAAACCAAGCGAGAAACTAGTTTAATCTTTGACAACCTTTATCGCATACAGAATACAGTTGAAACAGAAGAAAGAGTAGCCCCCCTTAATAAGCTGCTATGTCGCGCTAAAGCCTTGCTGGACAAACTAACAGAAATAGACAAAGGGACAGGGGCGTTTCACGACCTGACGACAACAGTGGAATCGCTACATAAAACAATCGCTGATGAGATTTCGTTCTCGAAAAGAGTAACAGAAGAAAGAAAACGATTTAGACTTCAGGAGGATGAAATAAAAAAATGCTTTGAAAATGAGCTGAAATACCAAAGAAACGAGTACGAAAAAATGATTGCAGATCTTAAAAATGACGAGCAGAAAAGACGTGAAATTGAGCGCATTCACCAGAAAAGAATGGACGATATGGAGCAGGAGAGAGCACGAAAAGAAAAAGAACGAGAAAAGGAATTTAATAAGAAAATGATGGAACAAATGAAAAAACTCCAAGAGCGAGCTGAGAAGCTTGAAAAAGATTATAAGAAGGCAAAAGCTGAAAATGATGACGGTATTTTCTCAAAACTTGCCAATTGCTTGCGTTATAGTTTTGAGATGATGAAGTCCGTTTTTACATTTTCACACCAGAGGTCTGACCAGGACCCACCAGAGGCCCACGAAGGACACGAGACGGGGGAGAGGCTGCTCCATACAGAACCATTTTTAGGATAGTTTTTTTTTCTCGGAGATTAATTATAAAGCAAAATTAAGTTCCAACAAACATACGAACTAATCCTGTAGGAACTACGAACTCAAAATGTTATTGGTCAATTTTTTGTTATTTAAATATCTAATTTTTAATGAATTGCAAGACTATCACTGCCTGTAATACTTCTCAACGCTTAGTTAATCGAAAGACAGTACGTGATACTATTTTAGTGCAATGTCTTTAACCTTTTTTTTTGTGCAATAGGCTTGAAAAGCTGGTTCCAAATGGTTGCAAATTTGTGTTGACAGAAAGCAGATCTTTAAAAAAAATCGAATATTTTATAACATGTATAATAAGAACAAAATTACTTTCGCTGTCATTAAGGCTAGAAACAAAGAAATAATCGCTAGTAATATAATAGTAATTTAGCAAACACCTTTATTTTTAATTTGGATTAGTAGTGGTGTTTGGGGATGTTTTATTACTTAATATACAATGCACTGTTGTGTATTTTTATCATGGAAAACAATTGTACTGACTTTTAATGTTTTACTCTCCCTGACCATTGCGGTCGGTTGACTCCAAGAAGAAGATAAGGTCGGTTTTTGAAAATATTTGAATTGGTAAAATAGTTCTAAACTGCTTTTCAACGGATTATATTCGATATAAAAATCAGTGTAATCGATAGTTGCCAGACGACTTTTTTTCATATGCAACTAACTTGATCGCTTGCCATATTTAAAAAAAAATTATTACATAGACCTTTCGTGCCTACTGCAGTTGATGTAAACCTCAGATCTTCCCAAGCGTAACTTTAGCTTGAGCTGTCATATTTAGCATATGTGTCATTATAACAGTGAAATGTTGGTGGATTGTATCTTGGGAGTGTGTGAGTTGTATAAGGCGATGTTGCATCAGGGAGACAGTGGGAGTGCGCATGTGCGAAAAAAACAAGAGAGAAAGGAGGAGAGGCGAGAAAATGGCGAGGTCTGAGTGGACACGATGACTGTGGGAAACAAAATAAATATGAAAACTTGCAAGATGAAGGCTTGTCTTTTGATTTTGTATGTGTAATATAAAAGGTAGGAGAAAGGCCTGTGACAGTCATATTTAGTTGACATGTGAATTTCTGGTGTTTCTATGGCTTTTTCTACAGATGTTCGTTTGATAAAAGTTGTTTTAGAAATTATGAGCAAATATTTTTGGAGAAATTAAATAAATAAATGTCAAGAAAATAACATTCTCATACAACTTTATGAGGATCACTAAGAGTAAAGATGGTGCGGATAATTTTAATACAATTCTTTGTTTCACTACGACTTAATGAAAAAAAAACACTGTGTGAAGATACTCTTGGAAAACATAATTAAATACGACGATTAATTTTAGTAGAAGAATAGAAGATATGGAGGGAAAACGTCAAACTACTTTCAATAGGTGAACCATCAAACTGAAGAAAAAGAATAACTAGTATTTTACTCTTGCAATAAAAAAATTAAAGCGTTTGGGATGCCATATTGTTCTTGAAACTACTAGTTTTTAAAAGATATGTGTAAACAATACAATGATATAGCCCATAATTTAAAAAAAAATGTTAAAATGCGAGTCTGCAGGAATTTATCAGAAGTGAGATTAAAATTTATTTTATAAGGATCACAAAATCAGTTTTGTCTACTCTTGTGTTTTTATTTTTTGTGTAAAGCATTGTTTCGTGTTTTGCTTTGATTTGTATCGGTTTTACAACTTTATAGCTTTGTAGCTACACACACACGCACACACATACCCACACACAGGCTGATACACACACACGTATATATATATATATATATATATATATATATATTGTTACGTACCCCCTTCTCTAATCCTTTCGAACTAGTCAGGGGATCGTAAACAAGAAGAAGAAAAATAAAAATAAATAAAAGCCAACTTCAGTAATCTCTATTTATTCGCCACAAAATACAACATCTAACATTAACCCGCCACCGAAGTACAACAATCAGAAATATACACAACTAAGTACTACAACTACAGTCCTTAATTTGACTAATCTACTTGTCCCTAACCGTCTAGCCTAGCCTAAGTCTAAAACATGTCGTGGCTTTCCACCAGCTCACAGAGACGACCCAGGTCTGTCTCCTCTAAGCCTAGCTATCCGAGACGTCCGTCCGTCTCCGTGTGTCTGTCCCGAGTGTCCGTGTGTGAGTCCCCCGTTCTCCGGTCTACCCTCCTAAAGTACTCGTCCCCCGTTCTACACCGTGGGAACGATTTTAATTAAGGCCTGACCCCCAGGTCAGGTCAGGTCAGGACATGACCGTCCCCTCGGCTCCGTCCGTCCAGAAAAGCTTTCCCAGCCATAAATCACGGCCCGTTGGTCGTTACCAGCCGAGTCCCCAAGACACCAAGTCTGCCACGCCTACACGCGTGGAATCTAATCCGGTGTGGCCATCACGGCCCAAAGATTCTCACGACCAGCACTGGTCAGTGCATTAACATGCCTAAGCATTTCATTTTAATTACCTGGCCCTCCTCGATGGGACCAAACCCAGGTAAAGATCACTTGGGGTCGTAACACCACCCCCCTTCAAGAAATTAATTCGCCACTTGGTGAATTAATTGAACATTTCTTATTAGACCACCAGCCCAATCTCACAACTCCTCAAAAGTCCCAGAATAAACCTAAATAGGACTAAAACAGTTTAACATCATCATCATCAAAAAGATAAGAAAAGTGGATGATTTAGTCACAATAACAAGTTTGACCAAATACCCCAAACACAATGTCATCAAACATAGACATCAAAGTTAATAAAACCGCAAATCTGCAACACATATGTCACTGTCGCACATAATCTCAATGTTGAAACCAACAGTCTTCGTTTTACTGATAGTTACGTCATCAGTCAACAAAACCTGTCAATACAATTAAAAACTGTCACGAATTCATCATCATGTAAAACATCAATAACACATTTTTTTTTTTAAACAAGACATGTAAAAGGTACATTCTTTAAGCCTGAAAACAGTTCATTTTGATTAGAACACTTGCATCCTGGGAAAACATGAAACAATCTATCTTGGGAACAGTTCTAGTAGGTTTGAAACACAAATTAGTTTTCCGTCTTTCGGGTCATCATGAGTCCGTAAACATAAAACTTAAGCCGAACTTTATAACGGCGCAGCACAATTTTAGTGACGGAGTTATTGTCCGTCCACCACAACAACAACTCGCACATAAGGCGTGGTTTCACAGGACTGCTTGCACTAATGCCATGTTTTGACACGATGTTAATCCTGAACACCGTGTCACACAAAGAGGGAACGAGTACACGCCCCGTCTCCGTGAAAGCAATGGGGTGTGCGCTCGCTTGTACGCACCCTCGGTTGAGAGAAGTAGCGTGACCCGCTGAGGTCACCGTCTCCGGGTTGTTGGTTTTGACCGGGTCGGTCAGAGAACAATAAATCACCTCCGTGATAAGGGGAGGGAAGCCTGAGTTAGGCTCAACTCCTAAACAAGAGGTAACAACTACGCTTGTCACCGACGTTGACAAAAGATTCGTCGTCTCCTCAAACTCGGGATGTAGAACACCATCCGCGTGACCTCCAGGTGAGGTCATGGCCTCCAGGTTGCTGGTCTTGACCGGGTCGGTCAGAGAACAATAAATCACCTCCGAGATAAGGGGAGGGAAGCCTGAGTTAGGCTCATTTCCTAAACAAAAGGTAACGACTTTGCTCGTCACCGCTGACAAAAGATTCACCGACTCCTCGATCTCTGGATGTAGAACACCATCCACGTGACCTCCAGGTGAGGTCATGGCCTCTGGGTTGCTGGATTTGGTCGGGGAGAAATTAAACACGGCTGTGATCATGGGAGGACAGCCCGTGTTAGGCTCACCTCCAAGACAATGGGTAACGATTTTGTTCGTTACTGATGCTAGCAGAAGATTTGTTGACTCGTCTACCCGAAGGTGTGGGTCACCATTCACATGACCTCCAGTTAAGGTCATGACGCCTTCAAGACCACAAGTAGTAAGGTCTTGATCAGATGCAGTTACTGGTTCAGGATCAGACGAGGACAGCCTGTTCTCATGGGTATTCACTCTCTCGGTGGTTACCGTGATTTCAGCGGTGGTTGTAACCACTGGTTCTGATATTGACTGCCCCTTTTCATGACTGGTCAACATCAGAGTGGTTGCCGTTATATCATCGGTGGTTGTATCCACTGGGTCAGATATTGACAGCCCCTTTTCATGACTGGTCAACATTAGAGTGGTCGCCGTGATTTTATCTAAACCAATAACTTGCTGACTGCCTTCAGTACTTGTCGGCACACAACTCTCGACTCGTAAGCTATCAGCACGTTTTGACGTTTGTGCTGGTTGTGCTAGGTTAGAGTCGACTTCAGGGACTGAGCCAAAGCTAGTGGCAGCCTTAGTCTGAGACTGACAAAACTCACTACCTACTCTATCAGACAACAAACTATCTTCATCTCTATACCGATCCTCGGAAACTACTACACTAGCCTGAGAGAAAACAGAGACAGATTCTGGAAAGTCAAACAACCCACTAAGCTGCGCCTCCTCCCATAGCCTAAGTAAATCCCGTTCCCTCCTGATCTCTAATAGTTTAACTTCATGTCCGAACAGTTTCTCTAAACTTTTAATGTCAATTTCCTTCCAAGATTCCGACATGAATATATCCCTCCTGATCTCTAACAACTTATCCTCTTTTTCTCTCGCGATCTCTAACAACTTAGCTTGAAACTTTCTCTCAATTTCTTCTACTCTAATACGTCCTATCTCATAATATTCTATCGAGTCTAGACACTCCTCCTCTAATCTACCTGTATTTACCAACTCAACACAAATATGATCTCGTAGAACTCTATCTCTATCCGAGACATCAACCTCTAGTCCTAGCTCCTCAACTAGTCGCAACAAATCTACGCGACAAAACCTGTCTAAAACTTCTAGAGTTGGACACTCAATAAAACTCATTACGTCCATGATTCACACTTACGGAACTTATCCAGCTAAATGGTGGCGGTTAACTACTAAGAAAATGTGGCTTACAACAAACTCTTTAACTTAAACATTACAAGTACGGCTATCACCTTTGACACTTGAACAGGTAGACACCAGCTATACTGGGCCAACCAAACTAAGATATCCAGCTACACTGGATCACAAACGATTCACTCACGTATACTGGGAATTGACCCTCCAGCTATACTGAGCAAACCAAATAAAAATTACGAATTTATTCACGTACCTGGGAATGACCCTCCAGCTGTACTGAATAAACCCGAACACTCCAGTTCCACTGGACCACACAAAACTATTCGAGTATACTGGGCATTAATCCCTCCAGCTATACTGAATCAACAAAAAAAATTCCAGCTCTACTGGACCAACATAAAAATCAAGCAAAATAAACTCAGTGTCAATACAAAGGTGATAAGCTCGCTACTTACTCAATGTTTGGAAAACTCTCCTGATTCCGTGAACAACTTTACTCTCACTACTCATAAAACTTAAAATCAAACACTAGCTCGTGAGCCCCCAACTGAAAATGGCATCAAAAGAAACTATTCAACTCGTTGTCTGTACTATCCCGGACTCTAGCCACCAATTGTTACGTACCCCCTTCTCTAATCCTTTCGAACTAGTCAGGGGATCGTAAACAAGAAGAAGAAAAATAAAAATAAATAAAAGCCAACTTCAGTAATCTCTATTTATTCGCCACAAAATACAACATCTAACATTAACCCGCCACCGAAGTACAACAATCAGAAATATACACAACTAAGTACTACAACTACAGTCCTTAATTTGACTAATCTACTTGTCCCTAACCGTCTAGCCTAGCCTAAGTCTAAAACATGTCGTGGCTTTCCACCAGCTCACAGAGACGACCCAGGTCTGTCTCCTCTAAGCCTAGCTATCCGAGACGTCCGTCCGTCTCCGTGTGTCTGTCCCGAGTGTCCGTGTGTGAGTCCCCCGTTCTCCGGTCTACCCTCCTAAAGTACTCGTCCCCCGTTCTACACCGTGGGAACGATTTTAATTAAGGCCTGACCCCCAGGTCAGGTCAGGTCAGGACATGACCGTCCCCTCGGCTCCGTCCGTCCAGAAAAGCTTTCCCAGCCATAAATCACGGCCCGTTGGTCGTTACCAGCCGAGTCCCCAAGACACCAAGTCTGCCACGCCTACACGCGTGGAATCTAATCCGGTGTGGCCATCACGGCCCAAAGATTCTCACGACCAGCACTGGTCAGTGCATTAACATGCCTAAGCATTTCATTTTAATTACCTGGCCCTCCTCGATGGGACCAAACCCAGGTAAAGATCACTTGGGGTCGTAACAATATATATATATATATATATATATATATATATATATATATATATATATATATATATATATATATATATATATGCGTCGGCTAGACCTTGCTTAAGCAAAAAAAAACCACGTCAATTTTAATTGTTAACTTTAAAATACACATGTTTTTAAATTAAAACAAATTAAACTTAAAAAAAAAAATTAATCAGAAAAATCTTCAAAAAGTATTTAAAAGCAACAACTGTAAAAAAAATCTAAATAAAAACCAATGCCCGCATCAAAGTCGATACCTTAACATGCATACATTTATATTAAAGATGCAATTACAATTTGAACAACAGTTTATCCATATCAAACCTAAGTCATAAGCTAAATATAATGGTCATTACAAGCCTACATCCAAGAATAAATTTCAAACGATGATTTTGATCTTAACCTATAGTGGATTATAGTGGGGTTAAGGCTAGGTTTGTGGTAAGGGTTATGATAGAGGTAAACGCGAGGGTTACAGAATGGAAGAGAATGAAAGCATAGCTATATCACAAAACTACCATACGTGTATTGTATAGCACATGCAGGATCTATGAACAGTGGTGATCTCTAGCCCTACTTGGGTAACTGATCATCATAAAATTGTAACTTTTGTGTTCTCTTAAATACCACATAACATTCTTTCGACGCATAAAAATTAAAATAATAAAGTGTTTAACCTAAGATATTTTGGTGAAGCAGTTTTAACTTTTCTTTCATTTAATGTTTTTTATTACCCACCTAACTGATTCAAAACCCTAACGCGTTTAGAGTAAATTTTCATAATGCTGTTCGAAAGTTAACATATTAGATGACACGAAATATTTCACACTATGTCGAGCTAACAGATGACAGACTGTTCAGTATAAATGTTTCTGCCCTTTTTAGCTGGTCGATAACACACGTAATATGTTTTAGTCATTATTTTTAAATATTTTCACAACTATTTGAGAAACATTTTCTCATATTAATAAAGGAATTTCGTTTGATTGAAATGATTTATTCTCCTGTTGTTTTTTTTTTACAAAGAAATTATAAGTTCAAGTACGTCCCATTAATAGATTGAACAGCGGGACCATTTTCAACCCATTAATTTTACATCTAAGAATTTAAAAAAAAATCCCCAGGTGCCTTTACCAAATATAGGGGTATATTTTTCAAATCTACAAGCATTTTTTTTATATGATCGCGGTCACTCTTGGTCAATTTTCGGACACTTTTACTTTCTCATTTGTTGGAGAGTAAATTGCTTGATTTAGAAAAAGATTTTCCTATGAAGCTTGACTATAACAAATAAACAAATTACACATTCTCTATATATTTTCTAACCGACGCAGTTGAAAGCAAATTTTATTACAAAAAGTGGAACAAATGCTGTTTAATCTTTTGTACGTAACAAAAAAAAAATGCTAGTGTCAAGGTAACAGATTTTCACGAAAAACACAATAACTGTTTTCCTAAAGAACACCTGTTACCTAAGTTACGGATTTTCCCGGAATTAAGTTATTTATTTACATTGTAAATAGATTCCAAACAGCTAACTCATATTAAATATTTACGTGAATTCCATTACCATGCACACATTATTAATAAAATTTTAAGTGTTGAAAAGCGTTTGGATAGACTGGATATAACATGCATATGTAAAAAATATTTTAACAAGTTATCGAAACTAAGCTAAAGCACGATTAACACCCCAATGTGTTAACATTAACAATTAAACTGACTAACAAAGGCCTTGATTTGCTCTTGCCAACTTCTGTACGATGATATTCTCTAAAAAAATATTTCATTACGCGAAGATTTTTCTGGAAAATTTATACCACGTGATACATACAAGTATATTTACTGATAAGCATTGCGCGACATCTGAAAAGCATAATCACACATCAACACGAAGTGCAGATGTTATAGAAAGCAATAACTATATTTCATAGCCACAATTGTGTGGATCTATGAATACATACTCTTTCAATTTTGCCCCCATCCCTTTTCCACACACAAACACACACACACGCACACACACACACACACACACACACAATCCCTCGCTAAATAGATAAATAAAAAATAAGTCTGTGGTCTGTGCATTTTAAAACTATTAGGATAGTCTTGTTATATCTTAAAATGGTAACAACAAAAGCCACCCCTCCCCCCCTCCAGCACACACAAACACAAACAATTAGGACAAAGATAAAGATCACGTGATTCATAACGTTGCAAATGTAGGTCAAGGCAAATGCCGAACTAAACAGCCACCAACTCCCCCTAGCAGCACACTAAAAATAACGCTGTCTCTAAATCTAAACCTAGAAAAATTCGGGGATTTCCCGAATTGATTTTCTCGCTGTTACAAGTTTTATAAGTTCTGTGTGTGAGTTTTCGGGGAAAAGTTTACACGTCATTAACTTGTATCGTCCCACTCAATTCGTCCCACGATCAGTGTCTACCAGCGGTTAGTTCACGAGGTAAGATTGTTTTAAACATCCGAACTTTCTGTGTAACAGGCTTTGTGTGGTAAGTATAAAGATTATGTTCATGTCTTAAAGTTACACGGTACTCACTCACAATTTATCAACACACACACACACAGACATTCATATATATATAAATATATATTATATATATATATATATATATATATATATATATATATATATATATATATATATATATATATATATGTTTATGTTTATATTTATATATCTATAATATAAGCGGGCTGAGCGTGTGTCAGTCCTTCCTTCCTTCCTTCCTTCCTTCTGTCATCGCTATAGCTTTTGGAACCATAAAAGTAAACATTCGCACCATGCTGTGCTTTTCAGTGCACCGCAGTGTCTTATTATAAGTATTAGAGTAGGGTTTGTTTATATAGCGGCATAGAGCTATTTTATAATTGCCACGGTTTTTACTCTTTCGCATAACGTCAAGAAAATATTAAATACACGCAAATTGCTAAAACGTATTAAAAAGATTAATGTCAAATATCATTTTCGTTTAGGTTCCCAGAAAAAGTTGATACATTTTAATAACATAATAACAGTAGGGTAGAAAAATCAAATTAATTTAACTATTTTCTAATTTTGACAAAGGAGGTAATTTAAAAATACATTAAACTCACGCTAATAAAAAATGCAAATATACGTTCGTCATAGAAGGAATTAGTGTTGCAATAATATAATTAGCAAAATGTGAATGCAAATTATTCGGATGTATAAGAGGAAATTACTGTTAGAAAATTATAATTAGCATGGATTGATAAAAGGCAATCTTTTATTTATTTTATTCACTGAATGTAGGCCCTACTGTTTATTACTTATAATTTTTAATCAACTATTCAGCTCTATTATAGACGCGTCATCACGTTCATGTGGTGCGCAATGGTTTTAGTTATGAAACTCTATTGTAAATTTTAAAAATTTAAAGTACTGGAAAAAAATGCGTGAATGGATAAAGTGAAATATTGTAGGTAAAACACGGATATTTTAAATACTGCCTATTATTTTTACTGTTTTCTAATTATTATTCTATCTTTCGGGTTTTATAGGAGAGGCGTAGCGAGGGGGGGGGGGCATATGTCCCCGGGTGCCGACCTTAGGGGGCGCCAAAGTGCATTGGAAAAAATTTGCGAGGGGGGGGGGGGTGGGTGGAAATCGAAAGTTTTAGGGCGGGGGGGGGGGGGGGGGGAAAGGGGTGCAAATCGAAAGTTTGAGGGGGGTGGAAAGGGCGCGATTTTGGCGCTACGGGCTAGACTGTGAGCAATATGCCTTTATGATTGCATTTAAATTGTGTTTATGTTATGAGTGTTGTGTTTGTTTTTTCGTTTTTTTTTTTGCGTTCGTTTGTGTTGTGTTTAGTTTTGTTCTGTTCCCAAGTTGGTACATTTAAAAAAGATTTACCGTGGCGGAGCACGGGATGCAGCTAGTGTATATATATTTGTATATACATTATATATTTTAAAAAATAATTCTGCTGATTTTACAATTTCTATTAAAGTTTGAATAAACGACTTTTTTTGTACTTTGTGATTTCATACTTTACTAGAGAACCCGTGTTGCTGTGACCCTAGAAGAACTCCCGGACACTCGTTATAATAAGATTAAATTTGTTGTGTTATTTTTATTGAATTGTATGAGGAACATTTCAAAGCAGTTTTTGTGTTATTTATTTTTATTCCCATTGGAAAACTATATCTCGATTGCTGCGTGCAAAATAAACTAGTATCCCATAACGCCCTTCTCACTCTCACCCATATAATAACTCTTCACACCAAATAACAATACACCTGATTTTTTTTTCATCCATCCCTCTTGGGTCTTTAATTTATCACATCCACGGGAGAGGGGGAAGGGGAGCAAGGCAACTTGTGATTATATTCGTATAAATGGATATATATATATATATATATATATATATATATATATATATATATATATATATATATATATATATATATATATATATGTATGTATGTATACCTATGTGTTTTTAAATACTCTGCAGTGTATTTATCCCCTCAAGACAATGGCAACCAGCTTGAATTATACATTAGCCCTCCTGGGAAAAACAGGCAATGGTAAAAGCTCTACAGCGAACTCTATTCTAAGAAGACGTGCATTCGACACCAGCTCCAACAATACCTCCACAGCTAGAGAGCCTAGACTTGAAAGCTCTGAGTTCCAAGGGAAACAGTTGCAGGTCATCGATGGTCTGGACATTGTCCACTGTTTTAAAACAAGCGACTGCAGGCCTGTAGAGCAGTGTTTTACATTCACACAAAGTTTCTCAGCCTTTCTGATCGTGATCAAGTTCGGTCAGCGGTTTACTGAGGAGGAGCGTGTAGTCTTAGAGGCTGCCAGAACAATATTTGGACAGGATGTCTTCAAGAAGTTTGGCGTGTGTGTCTTCACACACGGAGATGACTTTGAGCATCAGATGGAAGACTCAGACGATGAGAAGTACTCAGCCATTGAGGACTGGGTGGCCGCCCAACACCAGGGGATAAAAGATTTGTATGAGGAGTGTGGACTCAGGGTCGTGTTGTTCAACAACAGAACAAAGGTAGAACAACAAAAGGTGGACCAGGTGGAAAGACTTCTCCAGCAAGTCAAAAAGTTAAAGTTTAACTACACTCACAAAGATTATATAGAAGCTAGTGAAGGTCGTTCTGTTTTTACAGCCATGAAATATCAACCGGAAGTGGAACAGAAAACTCGTCAATTGCTTATCGAAATTAGACAGGAGTTTCTTAGGATTAAAGAAAACAAAAGTGACAACGTCTCAATGTTACAATCACTCGTCAAAAACCTTGAAGACCACAAGAAATATATCAGTGAAAATCTCGGCAATCAGTGTCAGGCAGCTGATTCCCTCAACACAGAAGTTGATGTATTATTGGTGGAAATAAAATCCAAGATTAAACGTACAGACAAGTCTGAAGACAGGCAAGAACATCAGCAGGAGGACTTTGTAATGCTGGATGCTAGTGAAGTTAACTCAACCTTAGAAGACAACAACCAAAGTTTACCGCACACTGATGTCGCGTCAATGGCTAAACATTTTTCCAAAGAAATTATTTCAGCTTGCCAGAAATATTTAGATTGTTTACATACAATGAAAGAATCTTGTACAGATAAGAAGGTTGACGTTAAGAAAGTTGAAGATTTTGAAAAGAAAATTAAAGAAATATCCACACTGGCAGAACTCGAAAGTTTGCTGGGCAGATTTGATAAAGCGGAATCTGGTCAAAGTATTATGAAAACTGGCCAGGACAGTTTAGGAAAAGGGGCAAATTCTAGCGATACAGGGCTAGAATCAAGCAGCAAAAAGGTAAAATATATAATAAGTTTAGACAAAAAAAAAAGCAAAATATGTTGTATTTTGCTTGGAGTTGTATTATGGTATAGACATGTCTATAGATAGTTCTTAAATAGGTAAACTAAATTATGTATGTACACTGTACAATATAATGAATGTATATTATAGAGTATACAGTATACATTTGTTGTTTAAATCATATTTTACACTAACATTTTTATTTAGATGAAAACGACAGAAGACGTCAAGCATGCGGATCAGGAGTTAAATAAAGAACAAACTGAGACTGAGAAAACCATAGACTTGCTACTGATCGGCAAAACTGGCAACGGCAAAAGTGCCACAGGTAACTCTATACTGGGACGTCAGGTCTTCAAGTCTACACCAAGCATGTCTTCAGTGACCACGGCCATTGAGAAACAGACGACAACAATCAACGGACTGACGGTCAATGTCGTGGACGGGCCCGGCGTCAACGACACGGAGAAGAGCAAACGTGAGAACCTCGAGATGGTCATTGACACAGTGGAGCAGGCGCTAGAGCTGACCAGCTACAGCTTCACGGCTCTCCTCATCGTGCTCAAGTTCGGCTCCCGGTTCACGCAACAGGAGAGCGATGCCATCAAGGTCATCAAAGCCATCTTTGGCACGGAGGTCTTTAAGAACTACGGGATTTGTATCCTCACTCACGGCGATGATTTTGAAAACGAGATGATGGATGCTGAAGACGATGAGAAAATGACTTTTGACAGTTGGTGCAGAAAGCAAAGTGGTGATCTGGCAGAAGTCTTTAAAGAATGTGACTACAGGTGTGTGTTGTTTGATAACAGAACAAAGGATCAAAATGTCAGAAACACTCAAGTCAACACACTCCTATCATTAGTGAATACAGATCATCGATATTCACTAGAAGAATTTATGAAAGCCGACAAAGACAGGAAGAGTTTGTTGCTGGAAGCTGCTCTACCTGATATACAAAAGCAAACGACGGAATTTTTAACAAACGTCAGAGAAAAGATGAACGAATTGGAAATAAACAAAAATTCAAACCCTGAAGAGTTCGAAAACGGTTTGAAAACGTTGACAGATGAGCTGAAACAATCGATAAAGAATCTTTCGCAAATCTGTGGCCAAGAAGCCGCACTGTTTCTGATTGATCAGGTCAAGGCTGTACAGTTCCAGATCGAGTCCAAATTAAAGCTACATTTCCAATCAAGTCAGTTTACAAACATGAAAAGCTCACCGGGTGGTAGCGAAACGAAACCTGCAGCTAGTAAATATCAGTATTCTACACATGAAAAGCTGCAAAAGCACTCTGAACAAGACAATGCGCAGCAAGGAACGTCATCGTTTACCGACCCACATGAATACAGGGGCATGGACTATGACCACACATTTGATTTTTTGCCTAAAAATGCATCGTATGAGTATAGTGAATACTCTAAAACCTCAAAATCTCTAATTAAGGCACATTTAAAAAACACATTTCGGTCTCTTAAATCTTGTTTGACAAAGATGTTTAACGCGATTCCAAATTTTTTAAACAATAATCGTGCAAATGGAAAATCTTTTTTAGTTTAATTTATTTTTTATCTATCTCTTTCATCGGACTTGAGAAAAGCAAGGCAGGAGCCTATGAATGTGAAAATAAGAAAGATGAAGTGGCGCTGGGTGGGTCACACACTGCGAAAGGCTCACCCAAGTGTGACACGCCAAGCGCTTGAGTGGAACCCCCAGGGAAAACGGTATAGAGGGCGCTCATTACAGACCTGGAGGCGGAGTCTTCTTGAAGAATTGAAGCCAACAGGGATGTCTTGGGAGATGACAAAATTCATAGCCGGGGATCGGGTGAAATGGAAGGAAATGGTGGAGGCCCTGTGTTCCTTAAGAAGCAAAGTCAAGTTCGTTGGATTTACGTTAATACTATTCTGATTTTTGGATTTTAGTTGTATTTTTTTTAAATTTTTATTTTACTCATGTTTATAAAAAACAAATGTATTTATATCATTGCGTGTTTTTTTGGCTTAAATTTTGCCAATTTAACTTATTTCTGTATTTCTAAGCAATACGAAGTGCATAAATTTTCTTAAATTTGAGCATTAACATGTTTTCAATTTCAGTTAATTCCATACGTTTAAACAGATTTAATGAGTACTTTTTTCTAATTTAAATTAAAATATCTTGATAAATGTTTATGGGATATGAAACTAGCATTTCAAAACGTGTTTTCTAGCTTATTTTTATTTCTAAACCTCTAATTCCATTATAATAAAGCCTAATGTTTTAAAAAAATCAATAGCAAGATATAATATTATAAAAAAAAATTCAGCAGATGTGTCGGCAACCGACATTTTAGAAAGAAATATTGAAAGTACAAATCGGATAGGAAAAAAATAAGTTTGCTAACGATATATCAAACACACTAGAGTATTAGAGTTGAACCCACACGTAAAACATGTCTAAAAGGAACTGCACAAAATTAGTCAAAAAAGGTAAGCAAAAATAATTTAAGAGCTTAGACTACATAAAATGTGGAAATCGTATGTATTTTGGTTTTTCATTGTTCGAACTGTTGTAAATACTTTTCTCTAACGCCATTTGAAATGTTTATTTAACCATCCTGGATTATAGCATCACTGTGCTGTCTCTCATCTAATCAATGTGCAATGGCTGATAGTTACTTTAACACATGTGTACTTGATAGACAACATTTTACATATTATGTAATAATATTTTCTTTTTTTCTGGACAGTTTTCGAATAACTAATGTAAAAACAAATGTAAATAAAAGGTAGCACGGTAGTTTTGGAGATTAGCTAGACTCTACTGGAAATTGTATTTGAAAGTAGTGAGATTATGCATTTATTGAGCTATTTTTCAGCTGTTCTGTGATGACTGGTGTCAGTGGCATAGCCAGGAATTGGTCATGGGAGGGGTTCAAAATTTGCTTCCATATATATACAACTATATATATATATATATATATATATATATATATATATATATATATATATATATATATATATATATATATATATATATATATAGGCTATATATATTAGGGGTGGGGGTCCATGGGAGGGGTTTAACCCCCTAACCCCGCCCCCCCCCTTGCCTACGCCACTGACTGGTGTGGTTCTACGATGAGGTATTTTTCATTCAGCAGTATATCTGTATCCTGTGGCGACAGATGTAAAGGTTCAAAATAGTTTTTTCCTTGTGAAAAGTTTTAAACATTAAACGTTTCACGTTTGTGTTAATATTATCAATAAACTTTAAATATATATTAAAAAACCACATGTGTGTTATCAAGTTATTATAGTTGTGTGTATTGTTGTGCTCAACCAGTCTAGATTTGGACAGACCCAGCTTTGTTGAAAAAGTCGGGTTGTAATTAAAATAAGTTCATTAATTTGGTAGGAATGTATACAAGTTGTACGTAGTTTCCAGGCACTAGCAGCAATGCTCGGCACATGAGCAAATAGTGTTACAATCAACCTGTCTAGTAGCAGACATTTGTATTTGATGCCGAGGACTCGACAACAGAAGAGTTTTACTTTGAAAACCATTATAAAATGATACTTAAATACATAAAGTTTTTATTTTTGCTTGAACACCAGATCCAGCATTTTATATTAAAAAGCTACTATATGTTAATTATAATTTGGAAATCGTTGCTTTGACCACAAGTGGTTTGACCATAGAGCATTTAACTATAGGGGGTTTGACCACGCAGGCGTTTTGTCAAACCATTAGGGGAGGCTAAAAAGAACCCAAAAAAATCATTTCAAGCTACGAAACTAAATCATTCACAAGCCCAGCAATACATTACTCACAATGTTAGCGCATCAAACGCAATCACGCACATGTGACATTGGCGAAGTTATCCTGGTCAGTTCGCGATTTGGCCGTCCAATGTAAAAATACACTGTCAATTTGATGTTTTTGTACAATGGCCTAGTGTTCAGGTAGTGGGTCGCTATGCCTCTGGGGTCGGGGGGGGGGGGTGTATAGTAATAGGGTTATAATTGACAGTAGCTAGTAAATAGGAATGGACTAATGATAGGAGTAATTAATTAAAGTATGTGTAGGTAATGAGCAAGGTTAATTCACAGATTAATTTATCAAAGGGATAATAATCAGAGGTGGTAAATTAACTGGTGACTAATTTCCGGATGAGTGATATTAACATGGAATCATTGTCAAGAGCTCATGTATAGGCATATTTATCAATTTTGATACGTAGGAAAATATGTTTCACTTTAGACATTTTGGGAACATATTTCGTTAACTCTATACTACGCAACACTTATCTCCCTCTACTAGTTACTACTTCGCCTAAATATAAAGCAGGATCCTGTCTGATTCTGTCAAATTTTTCAGGAAAATGTTTTCTACCAGATCACCAACGAAAACCACGTAATATATTTGATGGGGAAAAAACCCGTTTGTGAACTCAGAATCCAGTTAAGAGGAGCAATTAATTATACTCGAAACATTGTTCGTCCAGATTTAGTAATTAACATAAGGTAAGAATATATGTTCCATTTACTTACTCCATATTTATCACATAAGAATAACTTATTGGAACGTAAACAAAATGTAAGTAAGCAGGTTGGATGATTATGAAGCTAGCTGGTTTTAACTAAACTTGTATTCGAATACGCAGTCTAGTAATGGCTTTCAAAAAAACAACAACCTTAATCTTGTTCCATAAATAAATGAAAACGTTTGAAAAGCGTAGGCCCTTTGTCTTTAGCAATGCACGGGAAAATATGGTTTTCTATAGAAATAAAAAGACGAATCTAAAATAATCTCCGTCTACATCTGCAAGCAGCCTAGTGCTTAAGCTGTACAATAATTATATATATATATATATATATATATATATATATATATATATATATATATATATATATATATATATATATATATATATATATATATATATATATATATATATATATATATAAATCTTACATTAATAAATTGGTGAAAAAAAGCAATTTACAACAGGATATTTCTGAAAAATATTTAAATACATTTTTATTCAATCAGATGTCTGGAAATCTTAACCCCCTATTGATTGGCAAAACCGGAAATGGAAAAAGTACAACTGCCAATTTGATTCTGGGAAACAAAGCTTTCAAATCCGAGTTCAGCATGAGTTCTGTGACCCTGAGCGTCCAGTCTGACAAAATGGTTCTTTCGGTGTTTTAGTTCAGGAGTGTGCGAGCAGGATACATCTGTTTGACAACCTCACGAGGGACGAGTCCAAGATAGACGAGCAGATAGCGAGTCTCATCTCCACGGTAGACGACTTAAGGCGACAAGAGCTCAAATATTCCAGACACAACTTTGAGCTGGCTAAGACGTCACGTGATGCGTTTCTGGTCGAGTCCAGGGCACCAGCGGTCGTTTCTGGTAGAGTCCAGGGCACCAGCTGGCGTTTCTGGTAGAGTCCAGGGCACCAGCTGTCGTTTCTGGTAGAGTCCAGGGCACCAGCTGTCGTTTCTGGTAGAGTCCAGGGCACCAGCTGTCATTTCTAGTCGAGTCCAGGGCACCAGCTGTCACTGAAAACGTCATGAGACAAATCAGTTCCGTCAATATCAGCCTTCTGAGATTAAGTAACCTGGATGTTGACCACAAGCTGGTACAGTTGATGCAGCTGGTTCCTACAGTACAACAAATCCTAAATCTGGTGAGTTCTGAAGATAAAAACACCGGAGTCTTGAACAATCTGAAAGAAACAGCCGACTCTGTTCTACGGAGAATCCGAAACGAAATAACTTCATGTGAACAGATGAGAGCTGAGAGAGAGAGAGACAGAGAGCGGAGCGTGAGGAGGCAGAGAGACAGAGACAGTTGCTGGGGGCGCAGATGAGAGAGGCGGAGGAGCGCAGGAGACAGGAGGAAGCTAGTAGAGCTCAGGAGCTTCAGGCAGCTCAACAAGCTCTGGCTGAAGCTCAGCAGAGAGAAACGTTGGCAAGACAACAGGCTGTGTATCACCAACTTCATCAAAGTAGCAACGATTGTGTTGTTTTCTAGAAAATCTGGCTAAAATCCTATTTTACTTGAGTAACAGTTTACATAATTATGTACACGTTTATGTTACAATGAAACTAGTCCTATATTTTTGTGATCTTATGAAAGTAGACCATGCGTGCTATTTACTACAATAATTCTGGATACATTTCTTATTTTTTATTACCATGATGTTCCGCGAAAGAGATAAAAATTATAAAATCAAAATAATATCAAGTCACAATTAAAATTACAGCAATGTTTTTAATGATCAGAATCAAAATTGAATTAAAATAAAATCAAAACGCAATTAAAGTTAAATTTATAAAATTATAATTTATTTTTAAGTTTAATTTAATTTAAAATAGCTAATGTATTAGATGTTTTATTACAACTGTTAAACAGTAATTTTATAGCATTGAGACTTAGTGATTTTTTTCTCAGTTTGTTGAAATTGTTTTTAACTTAAGTTATTGTAATAAGTCTATTCTAGCTAAACTATTTAGGAAAAAAAATGAATTGTACTAATACTTTAATACTTTTTATACTGTTTTTAAATTACAATAAGAGAAAAACAAAATTTTTAATTTTAAAAATTCAAATAAAAGCTTTTCTGTCTACTTTTACTTTGGTTGACTTTAATTGTTGACATTTTAACACCGCTTGAAAGTGTGAGTCAGTAGTTGAGTGTTTGTCTTCGTCCCTACTTTCACTTCAAAGTACAACTTCAGTTTCAGGGCTTAACTGTATAAAGCGCGTTTGAAAAAAAGAACTGACCTTCGACAAAATGGCTCCCGATAAAATGTTCCATCACCTAATATCAGACACTAGTGTAGGCTCTATATTATGTTCCATGAATTTATATCAGACACTAGTGTAGGCTCTATATTATGTTCCATGACCTAATATCAGACACTAGTGTAGGCTCTATATTATGTTCCATGACCTAATATCAGACACTAGTGTAGGCTCTATATTATGTTCCATGACCTAATATCAGACACTAGTGTAGGCTCTATATTATGTTCCATGACCTAATATCAGACACTAGTGTAGGCTCTATATTATGTTCCATGACCTAATATCAGACACTAGTGCAGGCTCTATATTATGTTCCATGAATTTATATCAGACACTAGTGTAGGCTCTATATTATGTTCCGTGACCTAATATCAGACACTAGTGTAGGCTCTATATTATGTTCCATGACCTAATATCAGACACTAGTGTAGGCTCTATATTATGTTCCATGACCTAATATCAGACACTAGTGTAGGCTCCATTTGCAACTTTATGACAACATGACTTGATAGTACTCTGTAGCATCTTCAATTTTTTTTGTTAACCAAATTGTATCTGGGTTTCAATTCATAAATCGTGTACAGTATTTCTTTTACACGTGTTTATACGGGGAAGGCACTTGAAACTGTGCCCCCCATCTCCTCCCCCACACACTGAAAGAAACTATGATTGTGTAGATCATATCATAAAGGTAGACCTGTATATTCAACCCCGATCTAAGTTTTTTAGTGGTAAGGTATATTAAATGAGCATCTCTTCAAGCTTTATTTATCACCTTTTTGCTTTATCTTTCTTTATTGTATTTGTAGATGGCTTTCATTGATTATCGTTTTCATTACTCTTGTAAAAGTTTGAATTCCATAGTTCTACTTTTTAGGAGAAAAAAATAAAAATAAAATAAAATAAAAAATAAAAAATAATCTTTTCTTTGGTGGGTTTCTCTGTATTTAACAAAACTGTTCAACAACCGACTGAATAACTTCAAACATTTCTCACATTATTATTCTCTTTAGAAATTGTAAAATCTAGAATTCGACTGGAATTTTTTAAATGTATTCCTGTGTAGTTTAAAACAATTTAATAGTTAACAAAAAAAAAGCGATATCTGTGGGTTGTGATTTTTATATATGATCCATCTTTGATTTAATTTTATCTGCAGTATCCCAGAATGTGGGCACCAAGTCAGTTTATGTTTGGTTGTTGTTTCAAATGAGGGATATACAACTTTAAAGGTCAAAACCCCCTGAGATATTTTCCATTTTCCTGACTGTAAATTGGCTTATACATAGAGTATACCATATTTAGTTATAAGAACAATATTAGCTACCTATATACTGTGATTATCAGATTTAATTATAATTACAATATTGGCTGTCTAAATATTAAATTTACCTTGTCGAAAGAGAAAAAAAGAGGATCTTTAATTCTTACTAGACTACCCGTCATCCGTTGGATAACTGTGGGTTTCGGGGTCATCCATAAAAAAACATCACGTCTGTCAATCAGAGGCGTAGCGACCCTTCCCGGCGCCCGGGGACAAACTTTTCGATTTGAACCCCCCCCCCCCCCGCAAGATTTCGATTTGCAACCCCCCCCCTCAAACTTGATGTGCACCCACCCCCCTCAAGATTTCGATTTGCACCCCCCTCATCAAACTTTCGATTTGCACCCCCCTCAACCTTTCAATTTATTTTTCCAACCCATTTTGGCGCCCCCTAAGGTCGGCGCCCGTGGACATGTGTCCCCCCCCCCCTCGCTACACTACTGCAGTGTCACTTATCGTCACAAAAAAACAGATCCCACATTCAAAAATATGTTTTTTATCTTTTAAAAACACCGAAAACACCGATTTCGGACTATCCCTTCATATACTGACGTCACAGGTGACCTACTCAACTCTACTTCACCTGCCCAGTGTCCCGCCAAGTCTCAGACAACATGTTTTTATCGGTTCAAAAATTATTCCAGCCGAGCATGTCTCTGACCACACTATACCTTCATATGCTTAGGACAAAGAAACAGATGAACTCTACTTCACCTGCCCTGTATCCCGCCAAGTTCAGATAGGCAACTTTATCATTCACATCTAAAAAAAAAAAATAAAAATTGAAAAAAAAATCATCATTGACGTATTGGTCTAGAACCTGTGCCACCCGCAGGAGAACCGATTACACTATCAACTTAGCTATTTACTCGTGACGTCACAGATGAATTTTTATACTATACTTTAATACTTTGAGTCTCCTTATGCAACTTGAGTTACGCGCATAGATCTAGATCTAAGTCTAGAGTAGTAGTAACTTTCAAATTAAATTTTATCTTAAATTAGACAAACAAAGATTTATATAAAATAAAGAAGGTCTGAAATTATCTAGATCTAGATCTAGATTCTACGACTCGTTTGCTTAAGTATAGAATCTAGTAGATCTAGAATCTAGATCTATTAGCGAAACTCTTGCTAGATCTAGATCTAGGTCTAGATCTAGAAATTCTAGATCTAGAATCTAAATCTAGATAGATATATCACAAAGATTTATATCAAGTATTTAAGGACTAAAAATGTATTATGATTATAAAATGGATTGTATTTTTATTTACTTAATCTTTGCTATGTATCTAATTAATCTTTTGTTTGACCTAGGTTCTAGATCTAGATCTATAAATAACTTGCTTGGCCACATGATAGATCTATAAATAACTTTCTTGTGCAGATTGTAGAGAAATTTATTGTAAAACTAAATGAAAAAGACAGTTGAAATTTTATATAAGTGTTGGAACGTAATAAAAACAGCAAACGGACGTATTGTTAAAGTTATGGCCGACAGAAATTTAGATTTAGAAAGCGTTAAACTTTTGAATGGGCCTATGATAGAAGCCGCCATTTTATTGTAATAAAACGTAAAAAAAATGTGACGTCACTGTTTCGTCGAGTCTAGTGGTTTTTCTAATCTTTTAAAAAAATGTGGTTAATCTACCTATGAATAAATCAATAAATTAATTAACGTCTTTAAATAAATTTGTGATTAACAGTCTGTCTTAAAACAAAAATTGTTCTCTACCTACATACTATTTTACAGCTCTCCACGATGAGTAGAACCATTTGATATAGTAAATCAGACAAACAAATAAATATTCAAACATGTAAACAAAGTTGAGTTTTAGTAGTATTAGATGTATCATTAAATAAGACATTTTGGTGCATAAATCTCTATTTTCCTACTACTAATAACAATATGTTCTATAGCTGAAGCCAATGATTTGTTTGAATAAGAGAACCCTAGGGCAATTACGCACTTTATTGTGTACTTGAAGAAAGTGTAGACTTGTTTGCTTTTGGCGTGAGTAATGATTGTAATCAGAGTGTGGAAATCTATGGGAATGGATTAATTAAACAACATTGCTACCGTTTTGGAAAATGAAATTTTATTTAAAACTTTAGAATGAACGTTCTTTCACCAATACAAATTTATCATGGCATCAAAATGTATTAGGACAAATAATTGTTAATTAAAAGCCAATGGAAAAATACAATACAAATTAATTGATTATTATTTTAATTCTTTAATTAAAACTTACAAAGTTGGGCGAATGTTGTATCCCCACAATCATTTTTACAAAACGGATGTATACTTAAATGCCATTTAGCAAAAAACAAGAATTCATTTTATATACAGTATGAGGCGTAAACAAACTCATCAGTTACTTCATAAAAGTGTAATGTAGGTTTTAAGTGACTAACAGTTCCGGAGATAAGTATAAGCAAAACAAGATTTAACTTGCACTTCACTTATACCCTTGTATCAACTGGGGAGCGAAGGGATGCAGACACACTTCTCCTGGGGAGCAAAAGGTACAGACAAACTTCTACTGGGGAGCAAAGTGCTACAACAACACATCTCCTGGAGATCAAAGGGATACAGCCACACCTCTCCTGGGGAGCAAAGTGCTACAGCAACACCTCTCCTGGGGAGCAAAGGGCTGCAGACATACCTCTCCTTAGGAGGAAATGGTTGCAGACACACCTCTTTTGGGGAGCAAAGGGCTACAGCAACACCTCTGTATCTGACCTGGATTTGGACATCTCTCTTTATTTTGCGCCCATGTAAGGCTGGCAGCCCATGCTTTATTTTCTAGGGCCTTTCTTGGTGATTTCCTTGGCCATTCCCCACCCCCTTAGGATTCCAGTCTAAAGCTTCCTGGCGACGTTGTCATCTCAGATAAAACTTGCGAGCCTCTCAAAAGTTTTTTATTTTTAGCATTTGCCAAATTTATATTTTGTTTTCAAGCCGCCGTGGAGGCCGAGTTTTTCTTTTTCAGCTAAAAAAATGTCGGCAATCTTCTTTTGAAAAAATGCAAATATTTAGCACTATCGTAAAATAGCCGGATGTATAAGGGACCTCATATCTCAAATAACTTACGGCCTTGTCAAGACTAAATCCGAAACTGATGAATGAATGTATTTTTATCAAAATTAAGAAAATTTAAAAGTTGTAATGGATTATAAGAAATGATCACAATATAATAAAATATGTGGAAATATTTCTGCTTGTCATCAAAGAATTACAACAATTAGTACAGGGAGTGAACCTAAAGTTCCCGTAGTTTTGGAGTGCCCTTTGATTTGTTATCATCATCGTCATCGCTGTCATATTTCTTAGCCTCCAGGTATTTCTTGTCCTTTGTGTCGGTGTACATGAGGCCCTTAATCCCATCCATAATGACAGGGAGGATGTGCTCAACGAACACAGCGCCAACAGCAGCACCAACATATTTGACAATCTCCCACGTCTGGTTGTTCCTGACCTCTGTGTACTCCTGCTCCAGTTTCTGGGACTCTGACTTTAGGCCGGTCACCATCGATTCCATCCTACACCTGTACTCCTGCTGTTCCATTTCCATCTGTTGGATTTTACGCTCCAGTTCCAGTCGATGTTCCTCGTCAAGTTCCTTTTGACGCTGTTCCCTTTCAATTTTCATCCTCTCAATCTCCGCCGCTTGCTGTTTCCGTTTCTCGTTGAGTTCTACGGCGGTCTTGGTGTTGGTGATTTGGTCCTCCACACAGCTCACAATGTGTCTGGCATTTTTAATCATTGCGCTTAGAGCACCGGTTCCTTTGTCGTTTTCCTGGATAGATTTGAGCAAGACATCAGCGCGTTTCTTCAGCTCATGCAGGTCTGCCAGCTGTTTCTCTGGCTCGTCAAGCTGGATCTTTGCCAGCTGTTGAATGATGAGGCTCGTCTCTCTCATACTGTCTTCACGGATCATGGGTAGCTTAGACTCTACAAGAAGGCGGTTTCGAGTGATTTGAGCCATTTCAAAATGCTTATCGGAATACCGTATGCCAAGGGCACTTAACCCATCAACCATTTGGATAAGGATACTCTGCTGGTAATTCAACTTGTTTTCATCTTTTGTCTTGTTATCAAACAGGACAACCCTATTTCCACATTCCTTGACCAGTTCTCTGAACACCCCAGTCTGCTGACGCCACCACTCGTCAAAAGAATTTGTTCCCGTTTCCTCCGGATCAAAGTTGTCGCCACACGTCACCACCAGGATACAAAACTTGGACACAAAGTCGTCACCAAAGCAAGCCTTCAGTACACGGATGGTCTGCCTGTCCTCCTTTGTGAACCTACCCCCAAACCGGACAACCAGCAGAAAAGCGTGGTAGCCCTCTGGGTTGGCCGCGATAGCTAATTTCATGGTGTCCAGAACAAGCTTGACGCCGTTTTCTTCGTTAAGGTCAGTGTCCCCAACACCAGGTCCGTCTACCACCTTGATGACACGACCGTTAAAGTTGGAGTAATCCATCTGGATGTTTTTTGTTACAGAGTTGGGACTAGGTACCGACTTGAACACCCTCCGTCGAAGAATTGCGTTTCCGGTTGCGCTTTTGCCATTTCCGGTTTTCCCAATCAGAAGTAAATCAACGTTGCGGTTTGCCATTGTTTTCTCTGTGAATGTGCAAATAAAAAGATTAAAATATTAGAGGTGTAGATTAATATTTATAAACAAGTAAAGATAAAATGCTATTTTAGAATTGACCGTCCACAGAACATTTGAAAATATTGACCAGCCATTTTGTTTTTTCAGTGTATTCAACCAGCTTCTTGTCAAAGCCAATATCTATCAGGCATCTCCTCCCCCCTCCCCCTTCTTCCACTGGAAGTAATCGAAAAAATTCAGAAATTATATAAATAACTAGGCATACTGCCTAGCTTCGCTTAGGTTTTCAAAATCATAATAATTTGAATACTAATTATTTAGTGATGGATGAGGTGTGGAGTGCTTGAATTTAAACAGTAATGCTAATTTTAGAGAAGATGTTGTTGTATGTTGTGTAAGTTTTCAGAGAAAATATCTGAAAGTACGCAATGTATGACTAAAATGGAATTAAAACTACAGAGGTTCCATTAACAATATATCTAATAATTTATACTACATTGACTTTTAAAATTATTTTTTAAAATTTAATTATGATACGTAGCTTATTTAACAACTTAATTTTTTACTAAAACAAATGCTATACTTTGTCATTTTCTGTTTCTGTTTAAAATAGTATACAATTATTTGAAAAATAATTATTTTATAAAAGTTACCTCCCTTGAAAATGGACCTATGACGTATTTCTTTGCTTTTTTTTTAAACAAACAGTTGCTATGCTTATATAAGAAAATACGAAATATGAACATATTTTACGACTACAATGGCTTTTTCAGACGGGAATAAAGTTTTTTTGTTATCCTCCAGGGTCGATCTACGACCTCAAAAAATATTAAGGAGATTGTTCGTCAATTTATTTATATATATCTCACATAAGGAGAATTTCACTCGCGGTCATCTTTTAGGCTTGGTCGAGGGCTTTGAATCTGACCAACAGTTTTTCCATACGGCCTAGTCATCTATAGAAGTGTATGCAAAATGTAGCATGATGTACAGAGGTTAAGTAACCTAAAAATTGTGTTGATAATTCCCTGTTTTTCCCATAAAATACAAAGATTATATAGGGAAATACGACTGGTCAGTTTTTACCCATTTCCCGACTTTTCCCGGACATCGCGAGTTTTTTGTGACACCCCAAGGCGTTCTCCTACCACCTCACAAAATATCAAGGGGGATCGTCGGAGGAATTTTTTTTTCGTAATAGAGCTCATATAAAGAGAATTTCACTCGCGGTCACTTTTTAGCCCTCGTCGAGGGCTTTGAGTGAAACCGACAGTTTTCCCTCAAGGTCAAGCCATTTATCTAAGAGTATGCAAAACATTAGCCAGATATACTGAGTTTAAGTACCCTAAAGTCTGAGTTGAAATGACCCTCTGTTTTTCCCATAAAATACAAAGATTATATAGGGAAATACAACTGGTCAGTTTTGACCCCTTTACGAAGTTTTCCCAGATATGCCGAGTTTTTTGTGACACCCCAAGGCGTTCTCCTACCACCTCACAAAATTTCAAGGGGGGTCGTCGGAGGAAATTTTTTTTCGTAATAGAGCTCATATAAAGAGAATTTCACTCGCGGTCACTTTTTAGCCCTCGTCGAGGGCTTTGAGTCAAACCTATAAGTATGCCAAAAATTAGCCAGATGTAAAGAGGGTAAGTGCCCTAAAATCAGTTTTGAAATGACCCTCTGTTTTTCCCATAAAATACAAAGATCATATAGGAAAATACAACTGGTCAGTTTTGATCCCTTTCCCAAGTTTTCCCAGATATGCCGAGTTTTTTTGTGACACCGCAAGGCGTTCTCCTACCACCTCACAAAATTTCAAGGGGGGTCGTCGGAGGAAATTTTTTTTCGTAATATAGCCCATATAAGGCGCCGGTCAGTCGAGGTCAGTTTTGACCCCCTCCCCGTGGACTTTTCGGCGATCCGTCACCGTCCCTCGTGTTCTATTGCCCCCAGACACCATCGTGCCAAATTTGACGCGCCTGCGGCGCCGGGAAGTGCCCTATCGGGCACTTGACCACTTTGCTTTATATATATAGATACATTTTAACCAATATACGCCACCTCCCCATTGCACCCCGGAAATTTTAAATACGCCCCTTTACGGAAGTTTCAAATGCAACCCGGAAAAAAAGTATCTCGTCAGAGCTGAGGTAGACACAGATTTAATGAACAGAATGACGTCCACGATGTGAACTCAAGACTTTTGGCCAAGCTGTAGATTGCTCTATCACTAGACAAGTCTATCTAATGCTAGAACAGGGGTCGGCAACCTGCGGCTCGCGAGCCGCATGCGGCTCTTTTGATGTCAAGATGCGGCTCTCCGGCTCCTTGCACAAATACTAATAATCTTAATAAAAAAATAATATTTTTCAAATAAAAAAAATGTTAGTGGCTCTTTAAAACCAGGGAAATTTTGAAAATTGTAACTTTTGGCTCTTCCGCTTCAAAAGGTTGCCGACCCCTGTGCTAGAACTGTGGTGTGTATACAAGTTCATGTACAAACTCTCTTGTACATATTGCCGATTAATGTGTACAAATACGTAAGACTACATTGGAATACGGCTGGTAAGTAGGTCACCAACAAGATCTACGGCTCAATAAACACCGCATTAGCCATAGAACTGGTTGATGACCTACTTACCAGCCCTATTTAAAGCATGTACAAACTTCTTATATTAAATTAAAGCTAGATTAATAATCAAATGTCGGCGTGCAGACTACGTTACAACCCCCCCCCCCCCCTCCCCCCCTCCCCCACCTGCATGGCAAGGTCACTGAAACATAAATTCTACTTCATCTGCTTTTCTGTGTCTTGGGCACGAAAGGAAAAAGATGGATATGCAATGTGTCAAGGCTCTTATTGTGAAGTTATAAAAGCCTATACGGGGTCACCAGATAAAAATAAAAGCTGACTACACAAAACATCAAACGTGCAATCTAGCGCGAATGTGTTATTGTTACTTCGTGTAGCACGAGCGTGCAGCGTTGTGTTGTTCAACATCTCCCCTCCAGGCCAGATGCGAGGCAGAGGGTAGCGTGTGGAGGGTGGGTGGGGCGGCCGTCAAGAGCTCAGACTTGATGGGGGTGGGGGGAGGGCACTTAAAGGGGTTGGGGGAAAAGCTCGTTTTGAGCTTCATTACTGCATTATACTCAGCAAAGCTAAGAAAATAGACTAGTACTTTACTTTCCTGTCTGATATAACTGTTTTCTGTATCAACTTTCTGATATCATAGTATTTGCCAACAAGATAAACTAAATTACCCACGTACGCGGTGAGGCGAAAATGTGATATGGGTCGGAATGGGTCCACTGTTTCTTCCAGACTTTTTTCGGGCGGAACTTAAAATTTTCGAGCGCGGGGGGGGGGGGGGCGGTAGACTTTCTTCGGGGGTGGGGGGAGGCGGACACTGTTAACCTCTAACGCGAGGTAGAGCCACTTCACTCTATCTGGTAGATCCTAAAGTGGCCACTGTATCTGATAGATCCTAAAGTGGCCACTGTATCTGGTAGATCCTAAAGTGGCCACTGTATCTGGTAGATCCTAAAGTGGCCACTATATCTGATAGATCCTAAAGTAGCCACTGTATCTGGTAGATCCTAAAGTGGCCACTGTATCTGATAGATCCTAAAGTGGCCACTGTATCTGGTAGATCCTAAAGTGGAAACTGTATCTGATAGATCCTAAAGTGGCCACTGTATCTGATAGATCCTACAGTGACCACTGTATCTGATAGATCCTAAAGTGGCCACTCTATCTGGTAGATCCTAAAGTGGCCACTGTATCTGGTAGATCCTAAAGTGGCCACTGTATCTGGTAGATCCTAAAGTGGCCACTGTATCTGGTAGATCCTAAAGTGGCCACTGTATCTGGTAGATCCTAAAGTGGCCACTGTATCTGATAGATCCTAAAGTGGCCACTGTATCTGGTAGATCCTAAAGTTGCCACTGTATCTGGTAAATCCTAAAGTGGCCACTGTATCTGTTAAGGCACAGATAAGCCGAGCCACCGTGTAACAATTATCTGTTTATTGTTTTATTAAGTGAGTTGAAGTAACACTTATCGTAAAACTCAATAGGTCTCTTTCATTCTATAACTCTGTATCTCTGTCCAGTTATCGTACTAAACGGTCTAGTTTCTCTCATCGCCTCTTTATCTATCATCGGTTGGCTAACCATTTATAATTTGTCTGTGGCTTGGTATAAATCTATTTGCCTACAAGATACGCCCAAAATATAAAATTTTAAATAACATTCAACGAATATATTACTCAAAACGAAATATAAAAGTATAAATGACACTTAAACACAGTACTAGATTATTGGTGGCGGCGGGGTTAAAGAGGAGTTTCCTTAAATGACGTCAGAAATCTAGTCATTTTTTAACCAATGTTTTTTTAGGGGGGGGTGGGGGAGGGGTACCTCACGCTTTACGTATAAAAAAGAAATGAAAAAGTGTGGATTATGGGATGATTAAGTGTGGATTATGAGATGATTAACTGTGGATTATGAGATGATTAACTGTGAATTATGAGATGATTAACTGTAGATTATGAGATGATTAACTGTGGATTATGAGATGATTAAGTGTGTATTATGAGATGATTAACTGTGGATTATGAGATGATTAACTGTGGATTATGAGATGATTAAGTATGGATTATGCTGTGTAAACATCGTCTGAAACTGGAGGATGTCATTTAGTAAAAGCCAGTTTAGAACCACACACACTGTCATCGAACCTATCTTTCCGTTATGGCTAATATGATACACTGACACTAACACTAACATAACAGCTTGGTAAACGGGAGCAATACGGGTTCATACAAACCACTTGCATACTGCTACGTTAGCTAACAGCAAGTAATAAACTAACAGAACGTACCTGAATATCGTAAACAATGTACGTCGTAGATTAGCTACTGTAGAAGGCGTACTCTGTAAGCATATACAAGTATGTGAGAAAATCAACAGCAGTCAAAAATGAACACTATTTTCAGCCAAATGTACACACTTTTAAACAAATGCCAGAAAATAATTGACGTCAGGTCCAACCAGTTTTCCCGAAAACGTCAGATAAGGTTTTCCAGGGAAGGAACTACGTGTTTTTTACACACCCGCTAGGCGTAAACGGCATCAAAACGAATATCGGATTTTCCCGAAATTACCTAATCGCTATAGAGGTTTTCTTGTTTTCTAAATGCAGTAACACAGCTGATGCGGGTGTGTGCTGGTTCGTGTGTTCTATTCATATACACAGCCAATCAATGATAGGGATTTCTTTATTCCTATCTACAAAACGTTACGGTTTTAACGGACAGCTAATACACACTGTTTGCAGCAATTGACTATCGTGGTAAGCGTAAATATATGTTTTTCGCTTTGTGAATTGTGATCTACAGATATGGTCTAGATAAATTTTAAATTATATTTCTAATTTTTAGATCTAGATAAGAACAGACTGCGTGATCATACATGTGCAGAGGTAACAAATTAAAAAATATTTCTTTATATAAATATATGTATATATATTATATATATATATATATATATATATATATATATATATATATATATATATATATATATATATATATATATATATATATATATATATATATATATATATATATATACATATATATACATATATATACATATATATATATATATATATATATATATATATATATATATATATATATATATATATATACATATATATATATATATATATATATATATATATATATATATATATATATATATATATATATATATATATATATATATATATATATATATATATATATATATATACATATATATATATATATATATATATATATATATATATATATATATATATATGTGTGTGTGTGTGTATGTTTGTATATACAGCTTCGTTTGTATGCACACTATAACGAACAACTTAGCTCCGCAATGACCACTGTCGTTTAAGTAAGCATTTGTCGCATGATCACTAAGGTGTGACCGAAATATAACGACTGACTTAAGAAGGACTAGTTTTGTCCACGGAGGGCGGAGTTCTTTTCCATAAGAACATGTCCGCTACGAAGGTGTGTTGTCATAGCCCTTTCATCAATGGATGTGCTAACCCTTTGATCTAGGTTCGACGACCTATATTGGTAGGATTGTATCATGATCGACAAGGCCACATACACTGTCCAGCGAAAATTATTTGTAATCTACAATAAATATTATATTTGAAATTGCACTTTTAATACGTTTAATGGAATGTGACACACCTATACGACAAACCTATTTTTTTTAAAGTATTTTTTTTTCGTTGTGATATTCTTCCTGAGATATTTTGTCTGAGATCATTAGTCCATGATATCGTTTGTCCTGATATATTTTGTACTGGTATCTTTTGTCCGTGAGATCATTTGTCCTGAGATCATTTGACCTTAGATCATTTGTCCATAAGATATTTTATCTGGGATATTTTGTCTGAGTTTATTTCTCATGGAACCATATTTTGCGTGTGTATGCACTCGCATTGTTTATAATGAAAGTTTGAAATAAAGCTTCATAAACATAAAATTTGTGAAATTAATCTAATTATATAAAGATGTGTTTTTACCACTCTTTCAGAACTATTACAAAAGCGAGAGACCAACATATTGAAACAAATTCGAAACAAATGGCTACGGAGCAGGTAAGTCCTATAACCCTATTTTCGACATTTTACACATATAAATGCTAGCAGTATGCAAGATGTAACAGCCAAGCCACAAGTCACACCGTTCTACCATTAGCCACAGTCCTACCATTAGCCACAGTCCTACCATTAGCCACACAGTCCTACCATTAGCCACACAATCTTATCATTAGCCACACATTAGCCACAGTCCTACCATTAGCCACACAGTCCTACCATTAGCCACACAATCTTATCATTAGCCACACAGTCCTACCATTAGCCACACAATCTTATCATTAGCCACACAGTCATACCATTAGCCACACAATCTTATCATTAGCCACACAGTCATACCATTAGCCACACAATCTTATCATTAGCCACACAGCCCTACCATTAGCCACACAATCTTATCATTAGCCACACAGCCCTACCATTAGCCACACAATCTTATCATTAGCCACACAGTCCTACCATTAGCCACACAATCTTATCATTAGCCACACAGTCATACCATTAGCCACACAATCTTATCATTAGCCACACAGTCATACCATTAGCCACACAATCTTATCATTAGCCACACAGCCCTACCATTAGCCACACAATCTTATCATTAGCCACACAGTCATACCATTAGCCACACAATCTTATCATTAGCCACAGCCCTACCATTAGCCACACAATCTTATCATTAACCACATAGTCCTACTATTAGCCACACAGTCATACCATTAGCCACAGTCCTACCATTAGCCACAGTCCTACCATTAGCCACAGTCCTACCATTAGCCATAGTCCTACCATTAGCCACAGTCCTACCATTAGCCACAGTCCTACCATTAGCCACACAGTCCTACCATTAGCCACAGTCCTACCATTAGCCACACAGTCCTTCTATTAGCCTTAGTGCCCTGTCTTTAGACACCGAGTTATGCCCAGGCACCTTTTATTTGCCATCACAGTGGAGTTGTCTTTGTGTCGTATAAAGTCCTTAAACGCCGGTCTATAACTTTGATTTTCGTCCTAGCAATCGTATACTGCAATCGGGCAATCCAAAAACTATTGTGTTTTGTTTTTGGATGACTGAGAATAATTTAAAGAAACAAATGTAAAGTCCCCCTTTCAGACCAAACGAATAAAGTAGACTTTATATTATCTTGACCTCTGCATATGAAAAGATGTTTTGGTCAGAACTATGCCCAGCCGCATTTACTTCCTTAACGTGAGTCAGGTACCCATCAGGGCTGGGTAGACTCAGTCCTGCAGAGTAATATTTTGAAAAAGAACACTTTCCTTTGGCAACTTCTCCCATTCTTGAGATGTTTCATACAAATAAATCATATAACCAACATCAATGTTGATCGTTATTTTAAATTGAGAAGTATCGGCAATTTTTATTTATTCTTGATTTTTAAACATTTTTTTTCTTTCATAGAGAATGGACCAGTCCTCAGATATCGACCTCCTGTTGATTGGGAAAACAGGAAATGGCAAAAGTGCAACAGGAAATACTATTTTAGGAAAGAAAGCTTTCGAGAGCAAATCAAGTTCATCGTCGGTCACGAAAGCGGTCAAATACGAGTTTGGGGAACACAGGAATCGCAAGATCAAGGTCGTGGATGGACCAGGTGTAGGTGATACAAGAATGGACAACAAGGAGGCAGTAGAGTTGGTGGCGGATGCCATGCAGTACGCTATTTCTGCCAATCCAAAAGGCTATCACGCTTTTCTGTTAGTTGTCAAATTTGGTGGTCGGTTCACTGCTGAAGATAAAGACACGCTGGATTTCTTGAAGAAAATATTTGGCAAGAATTTCATCAAAAACTTTTGTATTTTAGTCATGACATGCGGGGATAATTTTGAACATGAGAGAGAAGAAAGAGGCATCAGCTTTCAGGATTGGTGTAAGGAGCAGCAAGGTGTTTTCCAAGATCTGCTGACAGAATGCAACAACAGAATTGTCTTGTTTAATAATAGGGTTAAAGATGAACATGAGAAAACAAAACAGTTGGATGATCTAATCAAAGTAGTGGATGATCTGAAGTACCACGGCCGCAGATACACGGATGAAACATTTAACAAAGCGGCGCAAGCAAGAGAACGTCTGATGATCGAAGCCAAGAAACCGATGATCAATGAAGAGACGATGAGAGAAACTAGCCTGGTCATTCACAAGCTGCAGATCATACAGAACACTGTTGAGCCAGAGGACAGGATAACCCCGCTAGACGAGCTGCTGGTTCGTGTCATGTGTCTCCATGACAAGATCTCAATGCTAGATAAAGGCACTGGAGCACTTCATGACCTAGCCAAGACGGTCGAATCCTTACAGAAAACTATCTCCGATGAGAGCGAATTTTCTCAGAGAATTACCGAGGAAAGGAAAAAAATGAGGCAAAGAGAAGAAGAAAGGAAGAAAATGTTTGAGGAAGAGTTGAGGAAACAGAAGGAGGCGTATGAGAAACGTCTGAAAGAAGAAAAACTTGAAGAGCAACGACGCCGAGAAGTCCAGCGAGAACAGGAGAGAAAGAGAGAGGAGATGGAGAAGTTGTTTAGGCAGGAGAAGGAGAAGAGGGAGAGGGAGTACCAGGAGGAGATTCAAAAGGTTTTGAAGAGGCAAAAAGAGAGGGCAGAAGAACTAGAGCGGAAATACTTGGAGGCTAAAGAGAAGAATGATGAGGGCTTTTTTACCAAGGTCGTGAATTTTGTTTCCTGGCCGTTTAAAAAACTTTTTGGATATGAGTAGTAGAGTCTATACACTTATTCAAATTGCTTGCTTATTATGTATATTTTGGTTAAATGTAAAGCAGAGGTTTCTTTTACCAAAAATAGTTTAGTTCTACCATTACTTTTGTATTATGAAAGGAAACCACTTAGATATTCTTCGTCCAAATATTATCAGATAGGTTATTTTAACGCTTGTTAATAAAATCTCATGTCTTCTTAGAAAAATATGTATTGGGTGAAATGATCACAATGTTTTGTAAATTAGTAAATAATCGCTCAAGCAAATACATTTTATTGTTAAGCTTTGTAAGTATTTTTTTTAAATTTCATACAAAAATAATTTTTTTAAAATTAGTTATGCTTCTTTTCTTTTTATTTTTTTTGACAATACGATTATTTACTTAATGAAATTAAGTGGTTTGCGTTTTTTGATAGATTTTTGTTGGTTTACAAATTAATCAGCTTCTAAAGATCACAAAATCATCACAAAACTGATCAGTATTTCCATTGTTCAGTTGTCTTGGTGGATTCAGTAGCTGAATGTGACAATATTTCAATTGTTCAGTTGTCGTGTATGATTCTGTACCTGAATGTGACTGTATTTCAATTGTTCAGTTGTCGTGTATGATTCAGTAGCTGAATGTGACTGTATTTCAATTGTTCAGTTGTCGTGTATGATTCTGTACCTGAATGTGACAGTATTAGAAACTGGGGCGTCAGTGGGTTAACATCTTGTAGATGTAAACTATTTCTTACATAACTAGCACCGCACATATCACAGCGTGTAATATAACTGTATCAAATACCAAAGTAACTCACACGGCAAACACAAAGACTTGCCTCGTGGAGGCAGATATTTCAGTCGACCTCTTCAAATTGTATCATGAAAATACAATTTAAAATATTGTATATCTTTAAAGGTGTATTTTTTTAAATGCACCACTTTAAGTTAAATATTATTTTTAATGCTTAACAAACCTTAGCTTATTATTCCAGTTTGCATTGTTTGATATATGTAGTAGGCATGTCATCATATTGTGTTTAAATTTCTGAGAAATGAATATGTTTGTAACATAAACGAAAAACAATGTGTAACTATGAGACAGTTATATTGTTTAACTTTAGGGAAACCAGTTAAAAATAGAAACACATTCACTCAAGTGTAATAAACTTTTTTAATGTTTCTTATCGGGATCGAAAAAAAAAATATTTAAAATAATAAATCTAAATATTTGTTTATTTCATGTATGTGTTTGACACCAGGCGCAATAATGTTTGCTTTAAGCAGTGTTAATTTAAGTGCTATAAGGATTAGACGGTGATGTTTTTTTAGTTTAAAACGTTGGTCTGTTAATTTGATTGCATTATCAGTCTGTTTTATTTCGAATGCTGAACAGTGTCAAGACTTGGTTTGTATACATTTTATTTTACCTCTGACTTAAATATTAAATCAAAGTTTATTTCTATTAAAGTTGTTAGGTTATTTTTATTCGTACAAGTTATGGCATATATATATATATATATATATATATATATATATATATATATATATATATATATATATATATATATATATATATATATATATATATATATATATTCTCAAAAGAAAATATTGTACGTGTATTTTTCAATAAAAGATATACTTTCACTAAATCCATACACTTAATATACTATTGTTACAACAGGGCAAAATTAATAATATAACTTATAACATACAACCAACAGAAAACTAAAACAATCATTTTTTGTGATCAATGTTTTGTACGATTACTTTCGAATTCAGCACCAATATCACACGTGACAAATATATGTATCAATGTTATTCTTTATTGTTTTCTGAAAAAAAAAAATTAAAAGTTTAATATTGATAATTGCAACACGGTATGGAATTTGCAATATTATTACATCCTTAATAAACTAACGTTTAATTAATTAATAAAATTATTTCAACAACGTCAATAAAAAATATTTTCTTTATCCCTATAGTAATTGTACGTTAGTAGGCATTAAATATACTAAATAAAAGGGATTATACTTAGATACAACAATGGTAAAACAATGAATATTTAAATTACATCTTTATGCAATGTATCATTTATTTCTAAAATAAATACATAAGAAACAGAGAATTTACGTTAGGAATAATGTCATTGCTTACTTTACCTGCCAATGAAATTTCTAACAGCCGTACCTGATACAAACTGGTCATTCTCTGAGATCAACTGTGCCACCCTGGCATCAATTTCGCTACAGATTTCCAAAAATCTGGCCTGGTTTCCGTCATGCTCCTCCAACCATTGCTTCACATTTTCAGCCATCTTTTAAAAATTGCGATAGTTAATTAATCACAAGGTGACGCGAATTATTTCCAACGAATCCCACATTTTCTAACGGATTCACCCTACTATGGGAACTTGATAGAATGCTCTAATGCTTATCAAGCATCACTCTATAGTGGTTTTTCATGCTGTAATAAGCTTGAAAAGCTGGTTCTATTTGATTCCAAATGGTTGTTGCCAGAAAGCATATTTTTCAACCAAAATTGAATATTTTAAAACATTTGAGAAACAAGTACAAAATGAATTCCTGTTTTCCTAAGGCTAGAAATATTCAAACAAATAATTACTTGCAATATAATAGTAGTTTAGCTGAAACTGTCATTTTTAATTTGGATTAGTAAAGTAAGGTGTTGTGTATATATATATATATATATGGGGGATGTTGTATTATTTAATATAATTAAACTGCTAGGCTATACCCCATTGACCGCTATTGTGTATTTTATCACGGAAAACAACTGTTGTGACTTTCATTGTTTTACTATCCCTGGCCACTCTGGTTGACTACAAGGAGGGGTTGGGAACTTTGTTTTTAATATTTGAATTGATAAGATGATTTTTAACTGCATTTATATTCAATACAAAACATGAAAATGGGGGTAATCGATGGTCCCCAAACGGTTTTAATTTTTTTCAAATGTAACTATAATTTTGTCACTTGCCATATCTTTCAAAGACTGTTTAAAATAATTTACTATAATTACGTACAGTGTTTCTTCCAGACTTTTTTCCGGGGTGGGGCGGACACTGGTAACCTGTAAGAAACTCTGATTACGTAGACTTTTCAAGCCGAGTACTCATCAAATAAATCGCTTGAAGAGCTTTTGACTACATTCCTTGTGTAGTAAAATCTCCATAAACATCACTAGGAACTAGACAATGTTACACTGACCCAGCTTTTGACTACATTCCTTGTGTAGTAGAATCTCCATAAACATCACTAGGAACTAGACAATGTTACACTGAATCAGCTTTTGACTACATTCCTTGTGTAGTAGAATCTCCATAAACAACACTAGGAACTAGACAATGTTACACTGACCCAGCTTTTGACTACATTCCTTGTGTAGTAGAATCTCCATAAACATCACTAGGAGCTAGACAATGTTACACTGAACCAGCTTTTGACTACATTCCTTGTGTAGTAAAATCTCCATAAACATCACTAGGAGCTAGACAATGTTACACTGAACCAGCTTTTGACTACATTCCTTGTGTAGTAAAATCTCCATAAACATCACTAGGAACTAGACAATGTTACACTGACCCAGCTTTTGACTACATTCCTTGTGTAGTAGAATCTCCATAAACATCACTAGGAGCTAGACAATGTTACACTGAACCAGCTTTTGACTACATTCCTTGTGTAGTAAAATCTCCATAAACATCACTAGGAACTAGACAATGTTACACTGAACCAGCTTTTGACTACATTCCTTGTGTAGTAAACTCTCCATAAACATCACTAGGAACTAGACAATGTTACACTGAACCAGCTTTTGACTACATTCCTTGTGTAGTAAACTCTCCATAAACATCACTAGGAACTAGACAATGTTACACTGAACCAGCTTTTGACTACATTCCTTGTGTAGTAAAATCTCCATAAACATCACTAGGAACTAGGAACTAGACAATGTTACACTGACCCAGCTTTTGACTACATTCCTTGTGTAGTAAACTCTCCATAAACATCACTAGGAACTAGACAATGTTACACTGAACCAGCTTTTGACTACATTCCTTGTGTAGTAAACTCTCCATAAACATCACTAGGAACTAGACAATGTTACACTGAACCAGCTTTTGACTACATTCCTTGTGTAGTAAAATCTCCATAAACATCACTAGGAACTAGGAACTAGACAATGTTACACTGACCCAGCTTTTGACTACATTCCTTGTGTAGTAGAATCTCCATAAACATCACTAGGAACTAGACAATGTTACACTGAACCAGCTTTTGACTACATTCCTTGTGTAGTAGAATCTCCATAAACATCACTAGGAGCTAGACAATGTTACACTGAACCAGCTTTTGACTACATTCCTTGTGTAGTAAAATCTCCATAAACATCACTAGGAACTAGGAACTAGACAATGTTACACTGACCCAGCTTTTGACTACATTCCTTGTGTAGTAGAATCTCCATAAACATCACTAGGAACTAGACAATGTTACACTGAACCAGCTTTTGACTACATTCCTTGTGTAGTAGAATCTCCATAAACAACACTAGGAACTAGACAATGTTACACTGACCCTCATGAAGGCCAACACAGGTGTCCATCAGTGGCGGAACTGATCAGCAGGGGGCCATGGACATAAGGATTCTGCATTAGTGGGAGCGACAGATTCAAAAGTAGGGGAGGTAAGTTTAGATTCTTTAACAGTTTTGTATAAATATTTGATTACATCTTTTTTTATATAATTAAAGAATATACTGATAACATTTTATAAAATTAATTATTTGCTAATTAATTGTTTAAACTTATTTTTTTGCATTAAAAATTAAATAGATTTATTATATATATGCTAAAATTGTTAACCATGGCATAATTAAAAGACAATAAATTGATATTATGTTGCACTCTTCATACAACAGTTTTTAAAAGTTTGATTTGCGCTGAAAGTTTATTTTATTTTCCCTCCATTCAAAAAAAAAAAAGATAACACTCCCTCCTCCCAATTGTTATCAACTACGATCTACTACGCATCTCTGCTCTGTCACTTTCTACCTTTTTATTTTCATATTGTTAATAATTCCTATTAATTTCTCACGATGTTTATATTGTAAAAATTGTTAACAAAACTAATAACATTTAATAATATTATGGTAAAAATACCATTTTTGTATTTCTTTATTCTTTATCGACAAATCCTTTTTTTAGTTCAGTTCACCATTTTTTTCATGTAATAATATTTTTTGTAAATGTTTGAATTATGTTACAGACTAACGCTCACACTCACACTCATTTGAATGCTGATTTAATTATTTCTATTTGAAAATAAAAGTATTTAAAAAAAAACCGTTATGGTAGCTCCATTTAATGACGCAATATACTTTAAAAGCGCTCATCTTTAAACCAGTCGTTGTTATGAAAAATAAACGAGCTAGACCGCACGTTTCTTTATAAAAGATCCTTTGTTTTAAAAATAATTGGGCTAGATCGCACGTTTCTTTCTATAACTAGTAATTGTAAAAATAACTTTCAAAGAGCGACGGTTATATCAAGGGCTTGATTTCTTTACCTAAACAGCACGGGCGTTCGTGGTCTTTGTCTATCTTAGTGACATGGATGTTACGCAACAGGTGTCATAGTTACGTGGATGTTACGCCACATGTGTCATAGTTGCATGCATGTTACGCCACATGTGTCATAGTTACGTGGATGTTACGCCACATGTGTAATAGTTACATATATGTTACGCCACATGTGTAATAGTTACATATATGTTACGCCGCTGGTGTTATGCTTGAATGGATGTTACGCCACTGGTGTTATGGTTACATGGATGTTACGCCGTGGGTGTTATGGTTACATGGATGTTACGCCACTGGTGACAAGGGGTGGAAAAATCCCGCTGCCCCCCCCCCCTCCCCTAGTATAATATCCCGGTGGGAGCGATACTTTTTTTTTTTAATTATTGTTTGTATTTCTTCCTTTATTTAAATTCTGTTTTAACAAGTCATAAAATGGAATAGAATGAAATGCTCAATGAAAATTTATGGTGTTGGCGGCCTTTTTTAAAAATCTCCCGGGCCTCTTGGAAAGAGGTAGTTCACCCCTGCAGGTGTAGGCCATGTGTCAGCCAGGTGTTGGCCAGGTGTCAGCCAAGTGTTGGATAGGTGTCTGCCAGGTGTCTGCCAGGTGTTGGCCAGGTGTCAGCCAGGTGTCAGTCAGGTGTCAGCCAGGTGTTGGCTAGGAGTCAGCCAGGTGTCATTCAGGTGTCAGCTAAGTGTTGGCCAGGTGTTGGCCATGTGTCAGCCAGGTGTCTGCCAGGTGTCAGCCAGGTGTTGGCTAAGTGTCAGCTAACCTTAACCTAACTATCAATACGTGGTTAACAGATGTGTCAACTAGCCATATGTGAACCTTATTTACATGGATAACAATCAACTAACCCTAACTAAACTTTCTTTACATGGATGACACAACCAACTAACCTTAACCTAACCTGAGCCTAAACGCCCCCCCCCCCCCTCACCTGGTCGACGCTTGCATCAATCTTCTGATGCAGATGATGTTTCTCTGTCTCCAGAAGCTCCAGTTTCTGTTGGATGAAGTTGTTTTGTCGCTGGGAATTCTGGGACGTCATGTCTGTTTTTCCGGGAAATTTGACAAGTCAAACTGAAACTGGAAACACCTGACATTGTGACATAGTTAGTCTGCTTTGATGTGTTAGGTCAAAAAACAAATCTATGTAAGATTTCGTATTTAAATTAAATGCATGTATAAAGAAACACTATTTATAATTGTAACAGTTGTTATTTAAAATTATATATAAAGTACATATTAGTAATCACACAATAAACAGACTATTAATTTGTATAAACTGTATAGGCACTAGATTAATTGTGGATCATTAATTGAAAATAATAATTAAAGCTTAATACATACCTGCTTTCTTAAACCGACTAGCTTTAATTATAGAGCTAAAGACTCATATAAAACATACACCACTAGGAACACACAGTCCGTGTGCTGTAACAGTGTCAGCTGAATGTGTTAAAAGACAGACAGACTACACACCGCGACAGTATTGTGTTCAGTGTGTTGTACCAAAGTACCGATGACAGCAACAGACAGACTACACACCGCGACGGTATTGTGTTCAGTGTGTTGTACCAAAGTACAGAATACAGATAACTGACAGCAGGCAGATAAAACGAGCCTAGCTGTACCAGGAAGAAACGTAAATATACCACCGTTAAGGTTTGTTTACAGTTTAAAATGGATATATTGTTAGTAAATATAACATAAGTAGAAATACCACCATTGTTTCTTTTTTATTAGCATGTACATTGCTAATAAAAATATCGCTATTGTATATTGTCCTACATTCCAACCGTTTCTTTCAGGCATCGCTTCTAAGGGGTGAAGGGGGAGGAAGTTTGGCTCCCCCCTTCCCTCCCCAGCGAAGAAAAAGGTTTCTAAAAGGAACACTGCATGTAAACTCTCAGTAATTATAGATAGCATCCGTTAATTGTTAACTTATGTCTACACTGCTTTCCATCAGTGGCGTAGGCAGGGGGGGCGGTTGGGGGGGGGGGGTTATAACCCCCCCATAGAACCTCGGTATATATATAAAAAGTATGAGGGGGGTGCAAATCGAAAGTTTGAGGGGGGGTGCAAATCGAATGTTTGAGGGAGAGGGTGCAAATCGAAAGTTTGAGGGGGGTGTAAATCGAAAGTTTGAGGGGGGGGGGGGTGCAAATCGAAAGTTTGAAGGGGGGTGCAAATCGGAAGTTTGAGGGGGGGGGGGGGTGCAAATCGAAACCCCCTTAAGACGATCCTGGCTACGCCACTGCTTTCTATATTGCCAATAATAAAGCAAGTTTTGTGTGTCTACCATTTGATTACTAGTTAAGATATGATATTATCAAATGACAATGTTGATGTTTAGTAGCCCACCTTTTTCTTTGTGACAACATTCAAATGACTTTAAAAAATTAAAATTGTGTTGTTATGTTGTTATTAGAAAGCAAACAGCTACCAGTAAATTTTTGGGTTGTTTTCAATATAGTAAATTACCCTTAAGAACATATAGAGTAGACAAGAATAGAAAAGGTTGTAAATGATTGTGTCAGCTTCACGCGGTACGGGCTTTTACTTTGCTTTAGTCGAGTATGTGCGTGTGTGTTTGGTGTGTGTGTGCGTGCGTGTGTGTGTGTGTATGTGCCGCATGTGTAACTATAAAAATATCGAATAAAAAATATTAATTAACGAACGGAACAAATGATGGTATAATTTTAATAGGTATTTTTTGTAAATGTAAGTAGGCATTTATTTTCCATCATTGGAAATTAAGCATGTGTTACTCCATGCTTAATCTACTTCACATTCTATATAAGGTAGGACCACAGAAACATTAAGTGCATTAAATGACGTGTCACTGGGAAAACCCCAACTGGGAAATCTAAGTATGAATGAATGTGAGTTTCCTTCAAATTTATTACATGCTTGGGTAAATCCAATTACACAAACATACAATATAAAACAAAGACATAATAGAGTTATAATAAGGTTACAATGTTATTAGCGCAGTTAGATTTCCAATTGTATAATTTCGAAAAACAATTATAAACTTAATAGACGAGATATTGAATTCAAATTTTACATGTACGTTTTTATCATAATATGTAACATCACATCATTGATATATGCAGTGGCGTAGCGAGGTCGGGTGTCACCCGGTGCGGCACTTAATGGTGTCACCCCCCCCCCCCCCTAGAGGCATAGAGACCCTTCCCAGGGACAAACTTGCAAATTTTCGATTTGCACCCCCCCCCCTCTCAAACTTTCGATTTGCACCCTCCCCCCTCGAGTTTTTCTCTATATATTTTGCTATTTTTTGCCTTGGTGTCACCCCCCTAAATGGTGTCACCCGGTGCGGTCCGCACCCCCGCCCCCCCCCCTCGCTACGCCCCTGGATATATGTAAATGTAGCTATGTTGTATTAATTAGAACTATCTATCGTGAGTACAGCAAGCGTTGACCAGAATATTTAGATTTCTGTATCAACTCCAACAGCTGAAAGACAGGTTTCGTCCTCTGGGTTTTATCTGTTGTGGAGTTGTAGAACAGTACGGCTCTCTTGCCACACTCCAGGTACAACTCTCTCAGATCGTTTTTCGGGTGCTCTATCCACTCGCTGAACGACCTCGGCTTCTTGTTCTGCTTCTGGTTATACTCAAACAAGTCACCGCACGTCACGACCAGAACACCGAACTTGTGGATGAAGTCGTCTCCCAAGACTTGTTTCAATCGTTTAAGGCAGCTTTGATCTTCCATGCTGAACTTTGTACCGTACTTAAACACAAACAACACGGCGTTGAAACCTTTGGGACAGAGAGAAAACGCGAGAGTGAGCTGTTCTTTCTTGGCGTCAGACACGACGGGGTTGACGTGCGATGAGGCGAAACCCAGATCATCGCAGGTGAAGCACTCGTAGATGCCGCGGTTGTCCACCACGGTGATGGTGTAGCCGTCCATCACGGCCGTGGCGATCTCGCTTCTAGACTTGCTGCCCTCTACACAAGCTCCTGCTAGGACGGAGCTGCCGAGAATGGAATTTCCAGTTGAACTTTTTCCTTGTCCTGATTTTCCTATCATCAAAATGTTTATTTCTGACTTGCCCTGAAAGAAAATGATAAATTAAACCCAGATCTGCTTTTGAAAGCACCTCGGCATGCCAGAGTTTCTTCCAGGCTTCTCTCTCTCCCGCCCTCCCAGAACGAAATGGAATTTATATAGAAAACCTATACTTTTTATACTTTTTATACTTTTACCATTGTCCGCCACCCTGGTAAATGTTGTCCGCCCCGCCCCACCCACCACAAAAATATCAAGTGCTCCCCCCCCCCCGGAGAAAAAAGTCTGGAAGAAACACCACAGCATAATGATGGTTATGTTATATCTTACACGACCACATATTTAAATGATTAAGAAAATTTTAAAATGTAATACTTATTTAATAATCAATACCTGTATATTATATACCATTACGTTAAATCAATTTGTGTATATTTCAAGTACCATAATCAAACCGCCATAGTGCTAGGATGTTGAACTCACCTTACCATCAACACCATCTTTACTGCTGGCTTATTTAATAATCAATAACTTGCATATCATATATTATTATATCGACTTATTTAGTGTGTATTGAAGTACCATTATCAAACCGCCATAGTGCTAGTGTGTTGAACTCACCTTTCCATCAACACCATCTTTACTGCTGGCTGTGTGCTTTCTGACCTGGTTCTCCAGCCCCGCCATCTTGCAGCTCAAGTCCCTGACGTCACAGCTTGCCATGTTAACGTTAGCCTCGAGAGTCGCTAGCTTCACTGTGACCAAATCCAGTTCCATCTTCAGGGTGTGCTGGCTTTCTTTCAGACTCCGGATCTGGCTAGCCAATTCTTCCTTATCCTCCATAAGCCTTATGGGTTCCTTACCATGTTTTACCTCGTTGACTTTTTCTTTTTCAGTGATTTCTTTTTCAGCCTTTTCTTTATCAGCCTTTTCTTTTTCAGCCTTTTCTTTTTCAACCTTTTCTTTATCAGCGTTTTCTTTTTTAGCCTTTTCTTTTTCAACCTTTTCTTTTTCAGCCTTATCTTTCTCAGCCTGTTCGCTAACTTTAATTTGTCCCTTGACGCTTTTCACGACGTTCAGCTGCCGCTGATCAATCTCCTCCAACTTTGCTCTCATCTCCATCAGCTGGGTTGTCACCCGTAGTTTCCATTTGCTGAACTCGTTGAACTTTTCTTGAGAGTTGTCCGCCCTTTCCTTCAGTGAGTTGATGTCCCTTTCCTGGGCGTCAAGTCGAGTCAGTGCTTTAGACAGGACTTCATCTGTATACAGAATCAGTAGAACGTTAATGCCAACTTAGACTTTTGATGTAATTTTAAATCTAATTTTATTTTTAAAGTAAAAAAAATTGTTATGGTCAATATTTTGTTAGCATAATGGCTCTTACCGTGATAGTCATTTTGTGTGTCTTGTTCAGCCTTGCACGATTCATTTTGGACTAAAATTAAAAACAAAATATATATGTATTAATTTTAAAAATATTTAATTTTAAATCGATGTTTAGGGAAAGGAACCATCGGTGATATTTCAAAAACCACTACGACCATTTTTAAAATCGCTTCGACGTTCCGACATACCTGTAACCGAGTCTAGTTTTCCTATCAGGTAAATGATTGCACTGTCGATTAAATTACAAATCTCAAGAAATTCTTTCTGGCTTCCCTCTTGATGGCTCATAAATTCCTTCACTTTCTTTAACACCTGGTATATATATATATATATATATATATATATATATATATATATATATATATATATATATATATATATATATATATATATATATGTGTGTGTGTGTGTGTGTGAGTGTGTGTGTGTGTAAGTGTATATATTGCGTACAACCTTTAAAATTCGTTTAATTAGTGGGTTCACAATTCATTTCTTTAAATGCAAATAGTTTATAAACATAAAAAATAAAAAGATGTAAGTAGGTTTATAGATTTTATAATCAATGAGGCAGTTAGTACTATTAATCAACTTCTTATTGAGCTAACTGTGTGCGTACCTTATCAACGTAAGCATCTAGGTTAGAGTGTAGAGCTTTTCTCTCCTCCTCTAGCTGCTGGAGTTTCTGTTGAACAAATTGTTTCTGTCGCTCACAAGCCTGGGCCATGCTGGTTAACCATAAGCCTAACTGGTGGTTAAACCTAATATGTTGATGGTTTATCCACAAACCTGACTTGTCGTTGAACTTAACCTGTTGACTGTTTAACTTAACCAGTCGTTAAACCAAACCTTTTGACTGTATAACGACAAGCCTGACTGACTAAACCAAACTTGTTTGTGCTTTCACGACTAACTTAACATTAAGCAAACACATTCGGTGTTTAATGACAAGTTTATCGTCGTCGTTAGAATGCAACTATTATCTACTTCCTGTTCGGGACTTTATCATCCCCTTAATAAATTATCTGCCTAATTGTTGGGCTGATAATAGTCCACAACATGCTATCTTATCAAGCTGGTAATATTTTTTTTTCGTCATCTCTCTCCAGGGCAGTGGTTCCTAACCTGGGTTCAATTGAACCCCTGGAATTCGGCGAAGATTTAGACAAACCCGACTCAATTGATTCACGGTCGAATTTAGTCAGTGCGGCCGATAGAACTATATTAGAAGGGTTAGCTGAACAGTCATATAAAACTGGCGGGGTTTGGTACCTCCAAAAAACTGAGAGCCGCTATTTCCTATATGAGGAATAAACCGAGTTATACATTTGATTTAAGATTTTTGTCAGGAATAATCATTAGTTATGTTGTTCAATGTTATTTTGTCACCAAAACAAAATTGTCAACAAACACATGTTATAACACATTTTACATTCGTTTATGTTTGAACATACCATATTTAGTCCACTTATAAAAATATAGATGTGGTAAGTTCAGCATAGACTGTAAAATATATTTTACATTTTATATTTGTTTATTTTTAACCTACCATATTTAGCCCAGATATACAATTGTGGGTGCGACTAAACAAATTAACACTTAGGGGTCAACCATAAATGACGTCACGCTTTTTTTGACGATTTTTACCCCCCCCCCCCTCCCCTCCGTCACACGTCGTCACAAAAAGCCAGATCACCCCCCCTAAAATGACGTCACACCTCAGCCTACAACCCCCCTCAAAATTGCAGTTGAATTTCTTTTTTAAACATCGATATTTTTTCCAAAATCTTGTCTGAAATATGTCAAAATAGAGTATTTTAATCAATTCCTATTATAATTTATTAAAACCGTTTTCTAAAACGCTAAATAACGTCTAAAATTCGTTTTCTAACATTTCTTATCTATAAAGCAAAAGTGTGACGTCGCACTATCTGAAACCCCCCCCCCCCTCCCCCTCATCACACATCGTCACAAAATTACCGACCCCCGCCCTCCCCCCTACGAGTGTGACGTCATTTATGGACGACCCCTTACTTAATATCATTAATGGTTTTTAAAAAAGTACCTACCACAACAACATGGGAAAGGACCGAGAAATTCAGAAAAGAAGGTGGAGATGTTAACCCATGGAAATTAGCAACATGTATTAATCTCTACAAGATCCACAAAGATTAAGAAAATATAAGAGACCCAAAAAAAAAACACCTGGATCAAGAAACTAAAAAAAAGACATGAAAGTTATGGAAACATGTCGGAAAGAATGGGAGAATATTGAAAATAAACGATATCTCCTCTCACGTTGAGAATGTGAAGAGGAAGAACATTCGCATTCAAGTGCAGCTACAGTCTAGCTGATATGTGTTTAAAACAAGTGTGGTCTTTAAGCCAGTGTGTTACATGATAAAGATAACAATGCATGAGATCAGAATTTCTTACAGACATCTCTTCGGGGGGCCCCCCCACCCCCGCCCCTGAGAAAGTCTACCGACCCCCCCCCCTTACGAAATGGAATTTATATAGAAAATATATTTTTAATAGTGTCGTCGTCGTCGTTCCCCCCCCCCCCCCCCCGGAAATTTTAATCCGCCCTTCCCACGACGAAAACTTCAAGTGCACCCACGGAGAAAAAAGTCTGGAAGAAACACTGCATGAGATGGATATTTTACTGTTTTATTGCTGCTACACACTCGATAGGTGTAACTTGTAAATATTCATTCTCTAGAGAGAATTCTATGTTTAGCAGGAAGTGTTTTCTCCATTAGATGAAGAAGCTATTTTTAGGTGCTTACCATGCTAAGGACATTTGCTGTGTGTAGGTTGTGTCGTATTAAATGTGTAGCTGTTTTTTTCAGATGTGTTGTAATGTGTTAAGTGTAGATGGTTTTTCAGATGTGCTGTTAAGGCTGTACTGTGTTGCTGTTTTTTCAGACGTGCTGGTATAGGTCTAGTTGTGTCATTTAGCTACGGAACAAATAGTGTGACGCCCAATGTTAAATGTGTTGTTTTAATAGACGTACTGATATTGTTGTACCGTGTAGCGACTGAACAAGATTTGTGACACGCCAAATGTTAACTGTGTTGTTCTTTTAATAGACGTGCTGATATTGTTGCGACTGAAATAAAAGTGTGACACCCAATGTTAACCGTGTATGTGTTTTAAAAAATGTCGAGGTAACAGTCTGTGTTGTATATTATGCAGGATCTACACATAATGAGGTTCACTGCCTGTGTGGGTGCTAGACGATTTAAATAGATAGAAAGGTTTTTGTTGCTTAAAATGATAGTGGTTTCCCTGTTCTTTCAGACGGTGTTTATACCTAGACACTTACATCACAAGTACAATACACAGTGTTTATTTTGTGATATAGGTGATATATGTAACTTAGGCAATATAGGCAATTTAGATAACGTTGATCATATTGGTAATTTTGGGCTATTAGTCATACAGAAAGTTTAGGTAATTGAGTTAAATAGTAAATAATTAATATATGACAATTGACACGACTGGTGAAGTAGAGTTTGTTTGGAATCAAATACCTGACAATTAATTGAGCTAAATAGTTCATGATTCATATCTGACAATTAATACGACTATTGATAGTTTATCTAGATTCAATAACAGACAATTAATTGATTTAAATAGTAAATAATTAACCTTTTAACAATTGATAAGACTGTTGAACTATAGTTTATCTGGAATTAAAAACAGACAATTAGTATTTAGAGAAAACAATGTATTTAACGCAGCTTAAAAAAAAACTATATGAAGTAATTAAGCATTACTTATTAAAATGTTTTTAAATTTTAAAATCTCAATATATTAAAAACATGACCGATTATTTAAGCTACAGGTTTTGTGATCATCCGCGAATTACTCGGTTCAGTGATCAGATGCTTATGGTAATCCATAACCCATTTTGATATCTAAGGTTGGTACGGTGTTTCGTTGGGTGTATTATTAGCGATGAGTGTCATTGTTTGTTAAATAGTCTACATGTATTTATAAGTGTTATCGCTTTCTAGTCAACATGTAGTGGTAATTTTTATCGCTTGTTGGGTACTTTTATGTATGTAGACGTAGTGTCAAGTAGTCAGTGTATATCACTGTTTCTCTAAATAAACATTTAACGTCAGTTTATTAAATTCAAGTTTTCTAACTAAACAAAGCCAGTTCTGACTGACTGTATTTCTTCACAAACCCAGACGATGGCAGAACCAATCAGTCAAAGACACGCTAAGTTTATTCAGCAAAAACTGGCACTTCTGTTTGAAGAAAGACAAAACCTGCTCGCGCATGTGGACGATTACGTCAATAAGGTACATTTAATTAAAGAGAATACTACAAGTGTAACAAAATAAATTAATTAACAAATCATCATCATCATCCTTTCCCAATCATCCTTCGTGCCCAAGACCTCGGCAACTGAAGGAATAGTGTGGTCAGCCGCCTTTGTTTTCCCTAACGTGAGCTAGGTACCCATCAGAGCTGGATTCAGGAACGGTCTACTGACTTAAACCCGGATTCGAACTCTCTAACATTAAAAGAAATTAAAAGAATATATTAAATACAGTTACGCGAATTATGCCAAACACAGCGAAGCGTATTGTCTTCTTAGCAATTATTAGAAACTGAGATCACCTTTTATCAAATCATTATTTACATTATCTTAGTGCTTTATTAAATCATTATTTACATTATCTTCGAATTTTAGAGTTTTTTATTCTTGTGTGAAGGTCACTGACCGGGCTAAATCGTGGATGCAGAAGGACGATGCCAACAAACCATGTAGTTTTATGGACATCTGCTCCTCTATCGATTCAACGGCTGCATTTGTCATGGAACACGTCGACCATTTTTCAGGTCAAATCATTTTCATTTTTTAAAATATGCTTTTGCTTATAATTTAATAATAGTTTTTTCTTGTAATTTTATATCATGGTGTATATACAGTGGCGTAGGCAGGGGGGGTTAGGGGGGGTCATAACCCCCCCCCCCCCCCCATAGACCCCTCGGTATATATAAAAAGTATAAGGGGGGGGTGCAAATCGAAAGTTTGAGGGGGGGTGCAAATCGAAAGTTTGTCCCCGGGTAAAAATTGGAACCCCCCTTGAGACGATCCTGGCTACGCCACTGCGTATATATGTTTAAATGTATACACCATGTTTGTTATTAAAACACGCTATGCTAATTAATTCTTCCACTTCTGCAACCTTCAGATGGATCAACAGTTCTGACCCCTCCCCCCGGGAACAGCAACACTAAAGAGCAAGCTTTGAGAGACAAAACACCTGAAAACACACATGGTAAAATATTCATAGAAATTATGATTACATTTTTTGTACATGTAAGTTCTTATGTTTCAAAGGGTAACCACGAACAATATATATATATATATATATATATATACATCGTTTAATATAATAAAAAAACAACTTATCATGTGATATTTAACAAGAATCAAAATTCAAAGTTGTCATAGAATTGACTTGTAGGAGTGTAAATTATATCATGCAACACTTAATGGTATATATCTTGTATCATGCAACAATTAATGGGATATATCTTGTATTATTTAACAATTAATGGGATATATCCTATATCACATAACATAATTATGTAAAATTAATAGGATATAAACAACGTATATGTATATTTGTTACAGAACAATCATTGACCAATCTTATTGAACGGGTACAAGCGGTCGAGCAAGTTCTAGAGTCGATAAAAAACATAAAGGCTGATGTAGACGGTATCAAATCACAGATAGATCAAATAAAGAGTGATCGAAGGACAAAAAACGCTGAAAATGACCAAACTACCAGCAGATCAAATGACTCGGCTCTGAGAACTGAGATGACCACAGCAATTTCTGAACTACAACGTCAGTACACTGAGGTCAAGAAGAAGACACAGCTGACGACAGAGAAATGTGGAACTATTGAAGGAGGGTTACACGAATGTTTAAAACGTCTTGAACGATTTGAATGTAGTATGAAAGATTTGACAAAATCTGTAACTTCGTTTGGTAAAAAACACGAAGAAGGTCAACAAAAAACGAACTCTCAAATACAAGATCTAAGAGAAGAGTTAGAACAAAACATGGAGGAGAGAGAGAAGAAGCGGAACAAAAGAGTCTCACGACTGAAAGACAAAGTCAGTGAATTGGACGTCATTTTAGCAGGACAAACATCTAAACTCGCGGAGTGTGAAGTTAAAGTTAGCACCAACGTGAGAGAGATGAATGATCTGCGTGCAAAGCTGGAGGTCTTGTCTAAAACAGGTGGAGCAGAAATGAAGAGCGTCCCACTGACTGAGAGGGGTGGTGTCGTGCAAAGACGGGATGATACGGAGACAAAGGTAGTCTAAGTCATAAATAATTAGGTATTTAAAATAAATATACTGCGTGCTATTATTCAGATTCTATTTTATTTAACCGTATCACATGTTTAATTAATTTCGTTTTTTTTTCTCCAGAATAAATCAAGCAATGAATATTGTTTTAACTTGTATAATAAATTAATCTTTTATTCTTATCATAGATTGGAATATTGTACCAGACGATCAGCAAACGATTATTTCCCTTGGACAATTTGCAAACTACACTGAACAAATGTATCGCTACAAAAGCTGCTAGGGATGCTGAGGTTTCTATATCCTTAAAATCTTTACATGTGTAGGGGTGCTGTGAGGCCAAGTTTGGGAAAGTTTGATTCTATATATATCTGTAATATTCCGTCATGAGCATACAATGTATATTCTTTCTCTAGGGATAACCTTTTCTTATATATGACTGGTACAGTATGTGGAATCAAAGACCACTTGGAGATGATAAGAATACTGTTCTTTATTTACGCATCAATCTATTTACAACTAAAACTCGACTTCCACTAATACTATCTAAATGCAACTAACACTTCTCCCTACATGCTCGAATGACCAACTCTAACACTATATTTTAACATCTCTGCGTCTTTCCTCTAGCGCTATCTATCTCCAACTGCTGACCCACACTTCACTGGTCAACTGACCGTCTCACGTGATCGGTCATCTCCTGCAATTCTATTGGTCTACCTGACTACGCTATGCTCGGTTTCTGCAATTTTCTGCTTGACCTACATGACGTTTAATTTGCGTCATCACAGGTGCCTTAACTAACATCTAAACGTTTATTATAACAGGATATATATATATATATATATATATATATATATATATATATATATATATATATATATATATATATATTTATATATATATATATATATATATATAGTTTTCTGACGTCCACAGAAAGTTCTCCTGTATCAGCATGTTGCGAGTCTTAAAGCGGCCATTAATAAAGTAAATATCATTTTTTTTTCTTCACCTTATATTTTTTGCTTAAATGACAATTTTTTTTTACTAAATGTAAACGTTATACAAAAAACCACACAAAGTTTGAAATACTTTTTTTATCCAAATTCTAAAATATATTTCTTCAAGGCTCTGAAACCACAGTTCATAGTATAAGATTTTTTTTTAATTGAAATTTAAAAAAAAATATTTTGAAAATGATAATTACGAATTTTTATTAATGAAACTTAATTTTTTTGTTTAGAATCAAGGGGGCTACAGTATACTACTGGTCGGTGGGATTCGCTCAGGTAAAAGTTCGACTGGGAATTCCCTTCTCGGTCATCAACCTTTCACCCCGGGAGGTCAACAGACGGAGGAATGCACTGTGGCGTGCGGCGAGGTCAAAGGTCAGATCATCGAGGTCGTGGACACGATTGGCATGTACAACTTCCGATTTCCTGATGAGATCCACTCCACACGGCAGATGATGAAGCACGTGTTTTCTAAAAACCCGCGCGGTTTTCACGTCTGCCTTTTTGTGACGTCATACACAAACCCGTACTACGTCAGCGATCTGAAATTTATCGGGTACCTGAAACAACTGTTCGGTGCGGATTTTGTCCGGAAGTTCTGCGTGCTTGTCGTCACTGGGGGCGACCAGTTTGATCTGGAGTATTCCAGCAACGGCGTGTCGTTCCTAGACTGGGTGAGCTCAGAAAGCTGTGAGCTAAACCAGATTTTTATTGAGTGCAACAGACGGGCTGTTCTGTTTGACAACAACACGTTAAGTGAGGACAAGAAAACCAAACAAAACGATAAGGTCTGGGAATTGCTGGAACAGATGCTGAACTACGACCCGAGGTTCACTGAGTGCGATATGGTTAACAGCCTGTCTAGGTAGTGCTATGGGAAAATAAAACAGTATAGCTAGAAATTGTCTTGAAGGATGTGAAAAATTAATAGGCGTCATCACCCGATACTATTTATAGAAGCAGCATTAGAGGTTTGGTGAGGTTCTGGTTTAAAGTGATAGGTTTATGGCGCAGATGTACACAGATGTAATATACTTTTTTAATTTCCTGTATACAAAGAAAGTGATTATATTTTTTTTATACCTCACTGTCAGATAATATGACCTTTGGGAAGTTTTGATATCAATTATTTTAAGTGGTTTGTACTTTTCTAATATATATATATATATATATATATATATATATATATATATATATATATATATATATATATATATATATATATATATATATATATATATATATATATACTAGCTGCATCCCGTGCTCCGCCACGGTAAATCTTTTTAAAATATACCAACTTTGGAACAGAACAAAACAAACAAAAACACAACACAAACACAAACAAAACACAACCACAACACAACCACATTACAACCACAACACAATCACAACACAACCACAACACAACCACAACACAACCACAAAACAACCACAACACAACCACAACACACGGTAAATCTTTTTTAAATGTACCAAGTTGGGAACAGAACAAAACTAAATACAACACAAACGAACGCAAAGAAAAAACAAAAACGAAAAAACAAACACAACACTCAACATAAACTCAATTTAAATGTAATCATAAAGGCATATTGCTCACAGTCAATCCTGTAGCGCCAAATCGCGCCCTTTCCGAGCGCCGGCGGAAAATTTCGATTTACACCCTCCCACCTCCCTCAAACTTTCGATTTCCACCATCCCCCCCCCTCTTGCTACGCCTCTGTTATAAAACCCCTAGCTTTTCCGCAAATAAATTAAAGGCAGTATTTAGAATATCCGTGTTTTGCCGACCATATTGCACTTTATAAATTCATGCATTTTTTTCAGTACTTTTAAAAATTTACAAAAAGTTTCATGACTAAAACCATTGCGCACCTAATGAACGTGATGACTTAATATAGTAATGGAGAATAGTTGATTAAAAATTATAATTAAACAGTACATTCAGTGAATAAAATAAATAAAAGATAGCCTTTTATCAATCAATGCTAATAATAATATTCCAACAATAATGTACTCTTACACGTCTGCATAATTTGCATTCACATTTTGCTAATTATATTATTCCAACAATTATTCCGTCTTGCAGATTTTGCATTCACATTTTTAGCGTGAGTTCAATTTATCTTTGAATTACCTCCATTGGCAAAATTACTAAGCAGTTTAATTAGATTTTTTCTACTGTACTGTTATTATGTTATTAATATGTAGGCCTATCCACTTTTTCTGGTAATATTAACGAAAACGATATTTGACATTGATCCTTTTAATATGTTTTAGCAATGTGCGTGTATTTAATATTCTCTTTACGTTATGCAAAATTGTACAAACAGTGGAAATTATAAAATAGCTTTATGCCGCTATATAAACAAACCCTACTCTAATACTTATAATAAGACACTGCGGTGCACTGAAAAGCACAGCATGGTGCGTAGTTTACTTTTATAGTCCCAAAATCTATAGCGATGACGGACGGAAGGAAGGAAGGAAGGACAGACACAGCCCGCTTATATTATAGATATATAATATGGCATGGCAAAGATTAAATATTATATTCTACAGGATACTATATACTATGTATATTTTTAAAAATATTTAATATGATAAAAAAAGCATTTTGTTTCAGAGTAATAATGAACACTTGATAAATGTGATGTTCTCTTAAAAGCCATAATTACTAACTACTGTTTATAATTATTACTATCTTTCAAAGGCTATGTGTTATTAGTTTTTATTAGTGATTGATTTATTAATTATTTTTTTTTTACTTTTACTCAACAATGATGTTAGAATGTTGCTTTTACTTGATGAATGTTAAAAAAAACGTAACACCAAATAAATGAAACAATTTACTGTTACACATGTGTTACAATTCGTCGTCTTAGAGCACCAGTAAATTATGAATATCTTTACGCTTCATGTCAAATTTTACCGTGTATACAGTAAATAATACGCATTTATTCATGTTGTTGAAACACAGGTGTAATGTATAGAAACTATCTAGATCTGAAAATATATTCAAAACTAAACTTAAACAACAATTATTTTATGACCTCTCATTCATCCATAATGTTCTTATTTTATCTCAATTTGTATTATAACTATGTAATATTATTTCTCAATTCCACATTTTTAGTGCTATGTTACTGCTATGTCTTTACTACGCATTTGCTTTTTTTAATGCTGTTCTTAAATTGTTGTTTTATTTGTTTAGTTTTAAAACGGCCAATGTGAAAAAAGGCCTACGTGCCTACTATTGTTACCGTTATTGAATAAATTGAATAAATAAATTGAATAAACAGCTACAGCACATTGCGAAGCTTGTTATGGTCTTGTTACACGGCTTAAAGTGTGTTGGTCTGTTTTTTGTTTTACTGAAATCATCTTCTTACTAAATATACTGTGACAAGTTTCACACAATACATTATACTACACGTTACAATTTTTATAGAGAACTGACACGCTATAAAATATGAATAGATAACTATTTACAAATATATGTTTCGATAAATAATAGCTTTAAAAAACACAACTTGGAAGAAAATTGTATTATTATTTATCTGGCACCTAATTATTAACACAAGTCAATGAGTTTACAACATTCTCGTAACTAGAGTTAGGTAACGTAGATCTACATATAGAAAACTCTTCACTGATTTTGTTTTAAAGCTTACCTGCCCTTTTCTAACCTACTATCTGATCGTGACGTCTATTTATAGCTTTGTAGTTAGCATCCATGCAATAAACAGTGGGTGCACGATTTATGGAATAATTGCAAGCATTCGATGCGAACATAAAATCACGTATTCTTGAATTGGAAGCTGATACCACGTGACCGATATGGCCGCCTTGTGTTGTGGACTGAGCCTGTAGGCTGCACACATTACAACTGGAGTTTGTTTCAGGCATCTATTCGCAACCCCAAACCTCCATAAGAAATATAATTTATATATAAAATATATATTTCACCCTTTGACAGACCCACGACCTCCTAAAAATTTAAGTCTCTACACACTTTTTAAAAAGAAAAAAAAGAAAATCTAAGTGTGTAAATTTGACTATTACAAATTGGGAGCTCCTGAAAGAATGGTCAACAGTAGAAGGCACTAAAAGTTTTAAGATGTATGTTCTAGCAATTAATATTGCCTACACGTAAATATTTTGCACATGTGTTTTATAACTAAAGTATCAACATTAATAATCATATCGAACAAGACAATACTAAAAATTGTGAAAATACAATGAATTGGGGAGGGTGGTGGTTTCTCATTTTGTTATATAAATTTGTTTTATTGTTATATTACTTATACGGGCTTATGGTCTATCAACGTCTTATTTAACTATTTTGTTTTTATTAATTTTTTTTTCAAACGTTTCAAACTTTCAGCCATTGAATTCATGGTTTATGATTAATTTTTCGAGACTTGAAGAAACTGCATATAAAATTTAACTTTTATCCGTGGTCAAAACAACTAAAATAATTATTTAATTTTTGTGTTCCTAACATTATATTGTCCTGTTGGAGGTGGGATGAGAGTAGTGGTTTTTAAATTCGTTAAAACATTTTGGTTATGGTCTATGAAAATAACGTAATACGGAATATTAAAGTGGACTCAAATATGCCACGTTTTGGGTTATAGGGTATGTCCGAGCTCCTTAAAAACATTGTTTTAAAACAAAAGTAGGCGAGGTGCTAAAAATAAACTAGTACAATTTGTTTCGTAAAATAAATTTAGGTGCAGATAGGGAATTCCCAATATTACATATTACATAATGAGGTCAACAAAAATAATGTTTTAAGTTGGTAAAGTCAAGCGCCATGTTCTATGTTTCGACACAGTGTTGGCTAATTATTTTAAAGTCAAAATATAGCGGCTCTCTTGATTATAACTGTAAGTTGTTAAATCAAAATATAGCGGTTCTCTTGATTATAACTGTAAATTTTAAAAATGTGTAGCCTATTTGTGCTTGTTAAGTTACAGTCAACCCAATATAAACGTTGTAGAACGCCTTAGTAACTTAAGTAAACAAACGATGCTTTACGACAAGATGGTTTTCCTCTTTCAATGAATCATTGAGTTTACAATCATACAAAGCAACAGTCAGCGTACTCTAATGTTTTAGTCAATTTATTCTAACTTATTTTTTCATTTATTACATTTTATTTTTTTAGTCAATATATTTCTTTTTAGTAAACTAACACTGGTCATATACTGGTCGTCGTTTTTCATATATTGTTTTATGTTTATTCTCCATTTTGTGAAAGTTTAAAAAACAACAAAGATTTAAACATCATTCGAGTATATTTTATTCGATAAATAAATGAAACCATAGTGTTAATAATCTAAGACAACTAAAAACACGCATGACTCAAGTTTATCGTAAAAGTTAACATATTTTGTGATTGTGTTGTTTACAGTTGACCAACACGTTTGAATACTTTACATTGGAATATTTAATTTTACAACCATTTTTATTTTAGAAGAGCAAAAACACGAGTAAATGGCCCACAAGACGACAAAACAGATCGAATTCTTAAACACTAAACTAGAGTCATTACAGAGAGAAAAACATCTACTTCAAACTAAAATCGATGATTCCGTTAAGAAGGTATAATATGTATGTCGGGCATATAACATATATATATATATATATATATAACATAATAGAATACTGTGATTTACCCTTTCATTCTGTACAATAAGAGCAAGTCCTTAACAACAAGTTATATTACTTGTTAATAAAGGTATGTATCCTATAGAGGAAATTATCAGCATGATAACTAGTTTTAAACGTTACCTTTTTATTTTGTTTCCGTGTTGAAGATAACAGATGAAGCATTGAATTGGACAAAAGGAAACAGTCACGCAGACTTTCAGTCCATTTGCAGTATAGTAGACGCCACCACTTATAAACTCGTTGAGATATTTGACAGTTTCAACATCAACTCAGGTGATTTTTTTATATGTATATATATATATATATATATATATATATATATATATATATATATATATATATATATATATATATATATATATATATATATATATATATAATGTTTATATGTGTGTATGTAAATAAATAAATAAATATTTATTTATACATATATATGTATAAGTATATATATATATATATATATATATATATATATATATATATATATATATATATATATATATATATATATATATATATATATATATATTTATATATATATATATATATATATATATATATATCAGACCCAAACACCAAAACTGAAGAATGCACGGACAACATAAAAGAACTACAGAGTAGGCTAGATATGTTAGAGAAAACACAACATGGCAATGATAAAAAAATCAGGAAAATTTCAAAGCAATTGGAAGGCAAAAATAAAGAGCAGATTGATATACTGCAAGTAAAGGAACAGCTAGAAGCTCTAACGTCAAAAGTTAAAGACATCGAGTCGACCAACGACAGTTTGAAAACTTGCGAAGATGTGATAGACAGCAAATATAATACAAAATTTAACAAAGTTATTGAAGATGTGGCGACCATTCGACGTGATCTAGAATCAAATGTTGCTTGTCTTAACTCTGAAAGGGAGAGAAATGTAAGACAGTGTCTCATTTTGTTTTGTAGATTTTATTCGCAAAAATTAGAAGAAAACGTTTTTATAGTTATATAATTAGATATTTAAAAAGTACTTTACTGTTGTGATCTAAGGAAAACACAAGGCAAATAATGCTTACCTCTTACAGAAAAAAATTGTATGCAAACTTCTGTCGTCTGAGCTTGTAAAACTGGACAGGTTAGAGGGAGTGGTCAACAAAAACACGACAAAACAACAGGAAACAAAAGAGGAGGTGATATGGTCTTTTTGTGTTGTTTTTTGTGTATCTGTTCCTAAAAAATACCCAGACATAATTGAACTGTTAGAGGATCTTTTGTATCTAGATTATAAATGGCAAGCAGATCTTGTACGGCAGAACAAGTGTGCAGCAAAATAAAAAAATTAGTGTGATAAGAGAGTAACTGTGAATTTAGTGAATAGTTATATTTAATTCTGTTACTTTACATTCCGTGAAGCTGAAAAAGAAAGACAAACGTTTCAAGATTCTGTTGTAAATTATTGCGGGCGGCGTGGTTGAATGGTAGAGCGTTTGACTGCTTGCCTGTAGGTCTCGAGTTTAAATCTCTGTTCGGAGCTTGATTCATCCTTGTAACTTAATCTGCCTAATGGGTCGCTAGGTCTAAAGTGGAATCTTTACTAAATGTATGTGATGTAAATTTCGTGAAGCTGTAAAAGACGATTAAGTGTTTTTTTTCTGTTTTCGACATTGTTTAAAAGATTATTTGTTTATGTATTTAAGCTTGAAGAAGCCATTCTTCAGATTTACAAGTTACAATGGAAGTCACCTGGGGTATGGTTTTGTTTTAAATTCTAACAAATACTACCGAAATTGTTTTAAATTATATTTTGGATAAAATAATAAAGAAACACCGAAGCAGCAATACTAAAATATACTTTTACGTATATTCTAAGCAGGTGAAGATTACGATGAACTTTCTGCTAGTTGGAAGAAGAGGCGTTGGTAAAACATCAACAGGCAACTCAATTCTTGGATCATCGAAATTCGGAACGACGAAAATAAACCACCTGTCTCAAACCGAGGAGGTTTACAGTACTGAGGTCAAGGGCGAGGTGACGAGTGTCACTGATACGGTGCCGTTTTTACAAGACTCCACAAATCTCATACCGAGGCAGATCGAGGCAGCTCATCTGGGAGAGCTGGAGAGGTTCCACGCTTTTGTTTTTGTCATCAGATACGGCCAGCTTGAGCGTGATGAAGATGTGGCGGCGTTTGATGATATGAAGAAAGTCTACGGCGATGATTTTACTCGAGATTATTGTGTCGTAGGGATGTGCTGTGGGGATGTGTTCTACAGAGAAAATCCTTCACAATGTTTTAAGAGTTGGTGTGCTAAACAAACAGGGCCTTTGGGTTACATCTTTAGACACTGTAGTGAGAGAGTGATCTTGTTTGACAATGTTACAGATGATGGGGCGATGAAAGAACTTCAGATCGCCCAGATTAAAAACACGGTCTACAGGATGCCTCATAGGGGTGTTCGATACAAACATAAAAAGATTGACAAAGGTTTTTATGAGGTCAATTCATGGTTTGCTGCGTTAGTGAGATAAATGTCTTAGAACACCGGAAATCTTCAGCTTTATCTGTGATGTAGCCATTGTATTTTCCTCTGCACGCTAGTGTATGGATGTGATTTATTATATTCTTTTTTTATTCAAAAAAGCGGAGAAAAAACTTAACTTATAGCACTGTTTTTGTTCACTGATTTCAGTTGAAACACGAATAAATTAAACGCTTCATATGTCTCTGAAACATTAAAGATTAGGTAGGCCTATATTAATTAATTATTATCCTTCGCGACGATAGTACTATGGTAGTATCGCTTATAATAAGAGGGCTGAATTCTCCTAACACAGGGGTCGGCAACCTTTTGAGACGGAAGAGCCAAATGATGCAATTTACAAAATGTACTAGTTTTTAAAGAGCCACTAACATTTTTTCTCAATATTTAGGATTAGGTATATATATATATATATATATATATATATATATATATATATATATATATATATATATATATATATATATATATATATATATATATATATATATATATATATATATATATATATATATATATATATATATATATATATGGTTCCATGACAAATGATCTCAGGACAAATGATCTCAGACAAAATATCTCAGACAAAATATCTCACGGACAAATGATCTCAGGACAAATGATCTCAGGACAAATGATCTCAAGGACAAATGATCTCAAGGACAAAAGATACCAGGACAAAATATATCAGGACAAATGATATCACGGACAAATGATCTCAGACAAAATATCTCAGACAAAATATCTCACGGCAAAATTTTGATAGTATGTACAATGATTTTAGTTGATTTGAACTTTTTTTTTTAAATTGACTGTCAATATGGTTTTGTTTTCTTTCTTTACGCATCATAATTGTGAATAAAATGAATTTGTTAAACTTAACAAACCATCAAAAGATTTAATTAACTTAATCTTTGTAATGGCCTTTGATTTGAAAAAAAAATCAAAATTAAAACAAACTTTCTCCTTAGCCTGAAAGGTATGATAAATGATAATGTATAAAACAAAGTAACGGTAGCTATACAACAATAATGTTTAAAACATGCGAAATATCTTTCAAAAATGTTAATGGGTCTTCAGGTTCGTAACGTAAAATTATTGTTTTTATTGCATAATCAACACAAACATAACGTTTACGTTTCTTTGCTGACAGTACATCGTTATGATCACATCTCTCCAATACTATGTGATCGTGTATCGTTTGAACTCTTGCTCGACATGTTCTAACCCCGCAATATGACCGCTATTTGTCTTAAAAAAGCATTTGTCACCTGATCACTAAGGCGTGACCGACGCATAACTATTGACTTTAGATGATAGATGTATTGTTCATGGAGGGTGGATGTCTTTCCCTTAAGGCATGTCTCTGCCATCAAAGCGGGCGGCCACCTTGATACAAAGGTGTGTCTTTATTGTTATTTCATCCCCTTTGATCTAGTTTCGTCCACCTGACATGGTTGGATTGTCTCATGTTTGGCAAGCCCGCCTACGCTGTCTATCGAACAATTTCTTTAATCTTCTATAGTAATAATCCTAATTTTAAAATGCAATATACAATTTTAAAAGTGCAATATGATAAATTTATACGGCAAACATTTCTTACAATTATCATATGGGCCTATAAACAATATTAAACATATTAAACAAAACCATACGACAGTTAATAAAAATTGTTCAGATCAACTAAAATCACCCAATACACTATTAAAAATTAGGTGTGAGATATTTTGTCTGAGTTATTTTGTCTGAGATCAATTGTCCTGGTATCTTTTGTCCGTGAGATCATTTGTCCTTGAGATCATTTGTCCTGAGATCATTTGTCCTGAGATCATTTGTCCGTGAGATATTTTGTCTGAGATATTTTGTCTGAGATCATTTGTCCTGAGATCATTTGTCCTGTCACCATATATATATATATATATATATATATATATATATATATATATATATATATATATATAATTTAAATAAATAGCTTTAAATATGAAATAATATTTAATATTTCTTCATATTTAAAAAAAAAAGAAACACATGTTTCGCACAAAACATATTATAGTATTTTAGCTAGCTCTGCTAGAATAATAAAATTAGTAATCATAAAATATAACTATAATCATTGAATATTTACATTAGTTACATCAATGTGAGCATTGACCTTGCATGCCTTTTGAAAGCTTGTTTAAATCTGGCTCATAACTTCTTGTTTCAGGAGGTTTCAAGCACGCCTCTAGATTTTTAGTTGTTAGTAGGCTTCTTACTTAACTTTTTATTGTATTCATGTAAGAGAACTCTTGCTAGCACGAATATGTTGACCTAAAGATCATCAGCACTCCTGATGTCAACTTCTCCACGTTACTGTACCATCCTGCAAGACTATTCCATGCGTCACATATGAGTGCCTCAACTCGCGATATTTCTTTTTCAGCTGTCCAGTGGTGCAGCGTAACGCAGAGGCGTGGCGACCCTTCCCGGCGCCCGGGGACAAACGTTTCGATTTGCACCCCCCCCCCCCCTCAAACTTTCGATTTGCACCCCCTCAACCTTTCAATTTATTTTTCCAACCCATTTTGGCGCCCACTAGGGTCGGCACCCGGGGACATAAGTCCCGTTCCCCCGTCCCCGCCCCATCCCCCCTCGCTACGCTACTGGCGTAACGTGCATGTTTTACTGGAACTTCAACTATTTTTACTTGCTCTTGAGTTCTATGAATTTTCCGCTCCACAAATTAGTCGTTTTCAAATCCAGCATTTGCATTTGAAGCGAACCAGCATCAATTCCAAATAGCTCGAAGTTAATCTCATTTGTTTTTGTGTTGAATTGCTCAAATCTCTTAGTGAACCCATCCTTCGTGTTGTTTGTTGTAATGCTAAAGCAATTCATGCAAATAGTTGCATTGGTTTCTAGATTTGTTTTCAGATTTTTCGAAATTTACCGCTCTCCGTGTCTTCAACAAAAAAAAAAAAGTATTATTTTTTTTCGAAACATCAACTTCCTTTTCTTGCAGTTTTACTTTTAGCTTGTTTATTTTCTTTGTGATAACCACCATGAAGTTGACTGTTTCAATTCGGGATGAACAGTTTAATAGGAAGTACATTGAAAATAGGGAGTACCTAAATATTCTAATAGAATAACGAATGTCTATTTTTATGATTATATAATTTATTACCGAGTGTTGCAGAACGATATTTTTTATGAGTTTTGAAAATAAAATAAAATAATTATTAATATGTGTGCATGGAGCCGAAGAGCCGCATCTTGACATCAAACGAGCCGCTTGCGAGCCGCAGGTTGCCAACCCCTGTCCTGACCGGACAAAACTAGTCTAATCGTGGTAAATGCTGGAAAAAAATAACATAAAAAACGTTTTCATAACAAGTTTTTATGTAATAATGTACTAAAAAATAAAATATTTTCTTTAAATATATAATAATGAACTACTATTTAAATAACTGAAAAGAAAATATTGGGTCACTATATTATGTATTAAATACCTGTTAATAGAACTTAAGAAGAGACTGACGCTTTTTTTTTTAGTTATTTAAATAGTAGTTCATAATCTAATATATAAAGCTCAGTTCTGTATGTAAAAATACATATGTTTGTCGTTGGTCTTGGATGGATTTAAGTGTTAGACAATTATCGTGCGCATTTGTCTAAATTTATGAGTTAAAAAATTACTATTGAAAGTGTTGGGAAATAATTTTCATTTTTCAAATTACAGTAATAATTGTCGGCATGTTCATTAAACACAAGTTTTAAAAATATATCATCTTTTACAAAAATTCTAATTATGTCTTTATTTAGTCCTATAGCACTTACTTCCCTTTGATAAATTAGGAAAACACAATTACTTCCCTTTATAAAACCATTGCATTAGTCGAAAATAATTTACTTTTTAATTACTTTGTTTTGGTGTTGGGAAAAAAAATAATTACATAATTAGCGGGGATTGATCAAGTGCAAATGTTGTAGGTATTTTACGGATAAGCTTGGAGTATTAAAATTGTTCATTAAATTGAAACAGGCGCGTTCGTTTAAGTGAGTGCAAAAGACTATGAATAAGTTGGGGTAGTATAGTCGTTCATTAAGCTAAAACAGGTGATTCCGCCCCGGGCGTTTATGTTCGCGTTAGTGTTTTCTTTGTGTTTAGGTGGGTTTGCGTTAGTGGTTGCGTTTTGATTTGGTTCGTTTTTGTTCTTTCTTTTTTCGTTTTTGTTTGTGTTTTTTTGTTTGGGTTTGTATTTTTGTTTTTGGTTGGTTTTGCGTTTGGATTTGGTTTGTTTTCGTTGTTTTTTTTGTGTGTTGGTATTGGTGTTTGTGGTTGGGTTTGTTGTTAGGTTTTTGTTTTCGTTTGCTTTTTTGTTTGTTTTTTCTTTGTGTTTGTATTGGTGTTTGTGGTTGTGGTTGGGTTTGTTGTTAGGTTTTTGTTTTCGTTTGTATTTGTAACTGTGTTAGCGTTATGTTTGCGTTTTGTTGTTTTGGTTGGTTGTGGTTTGGGTGGGCGATGCCGGGTTTATGATGATTACTAAACACACAGGTAATGGTCTTTAACAGAAAGGTTTTTCACAGAAGCCAGAGCAGGGCCTGGCCGGGACGGCTAGTTATATATAAAAGAAGATAATTTATTTTCTCCTTTTTACAAACTTTTATTTAACTAAGTCTTGCTTCCTCTGTCTGCCGACAGTCTGTCTGAAAGAAACACTGGTCGCATTTGTAGATCACACGGTACACACCGACTAAAGGTAGACCCTACTTCTATAATCTAGACCTGTTACCTACTTATGGCCACTAAACCTCAATAATGTAGTGTTTCTATCAGACTTTTTTTTCTCAGGGGAGGGGTGGGCACTTTAAAGTATTGAGGGTGGGGGCGGATTAAATTCTCCGAGAGGGGGGGGGGGCACTAGTAAAAGGATATATATTTTCTATATAAATTAAATTTCGTTGAAAGGGGGGCGGTAGTCGTCAGTCAGCGGGGGGGGGGGGGGAGGGGCTCTGCCCCCTACTTAAAGAGATGCCTGAAAGAAACTGCTTGCAGACACCTCTTAAGATTAGTATAATAAATTACGAGGTAATGTTAGTGTCTTTAGTATTGTGACGGTAAAACCGTTTAGGCTAGCTCAATTTTATTCTTCCGACACCCTCTACCTGCTCTCTTACCCCCCCCCCCCCCCCCCCCCCCTACAGCCACGTACATTCTTATCTTTCGTCCACCTCGCACGCTCCTCTCTAGTTGGCTAGATTGTGCGCGTGACACATCGCCAATTTTAATGCATAAATTGGGGATGCAACAAAGAAAAAAATTCATAAAAAAAACGTTTTAATAACAAGTTTTTATGTACTAATGCACTAAAAAGTAGAAAATAAATTATACACTACTATTTAAATTACTATAAAGAAAAGCGTGGGTCACTTTAGTACTTTAGTACCTATTGGATACCTTTACTAATATTTGAGAAGAGACCCACGCTTTTCTTTATAGTAATTTAAATAGTAGTGTATAATTTATTTTCTACTTTTTAGTGCATTAGTACATAAAAGCTTGTTATTAAAACGTTTTTTTATGAATTTTTTTTCAGTACTTTACATGCTTTATTTACAACTAGTAGTGTAGATAGTAGATCTAGATCTAGTATCGGCATTATTATACTACTAGGCATGCTGCCCAGCTTCGCTTAGGCTTTCGAAAACATTGAGAATTTGAATGCTTAATTAATTCGCCCGAGGGTCGGTCTACGACCTCAAGAGTTATGAAGAGGTTCCTCCGTGGACATTTTTTTTCGATTTATAGCTCATATAAGGCACCGGTCAGTCGAGGTCAGTTTTGACCCCCTCATCGTAGACTTTTCGGCCAACCGGCCCCCGTGTTCTGTCGCCCCAAGGCAAGATCCTGCCAAATTTGAAGCGCCTGCGGCGCCGGGAAGTGCCCTATCGGACACCCGACAATCTAGATCTAGATCTAGAATCCTAATAGAATTTTTTTTAAGTTTAGCCCGAGCAGAATAAAAAAACATACATTAACCAAATTGACTTGGTGTGTCTCGAACCCGCACCACCTACATCTCCGCTATTTAGGCACCTTATAAAATACGGAGAATGAAACACGTATTTTAAAATCTTTACTTACGGGAATATGCCTATTCTTTCAAATTAATTTTTTTTTATCCAAAATTAGCCAGTTCCAAACAAAGATTTTGTATAAAATAAATAAGTCTTGAAATAGTTTAGTCCTAATATAGAAATTTATTTTTGGAATATATTTTAGAGAAGTTTGAGTCTAAATCTAGATCTTAGCGTGTACGTCTAGTTATTGCGTAGATTTAGATTTAGTCTAGATCTAGATCTAGATCTAGAATCTCTAGATCTAGAATCCAAATAAATAAAATAAATTTTATGAGTTTAGGCCGGAAAAATTGTATTGTATACATTTCATAGTGTACGTAGATCTAAATCAAATTTGAATGAAAAAGTTCATTTCTTTTTATTGTAAACACGGCAGATGACGTCATTAGTTAATGTATAAACATTAGTGACGTCACAGTTTTATGCGTTCTTTTTCACATGTATAAATGCTTTTCCGGTTGCATAAATAATACTGTTTCTGTACATTCGAATATGCCTTTATTTTTTATTTTTCTTCTTTAAATAAAATTGTGGTTATACATTTAAAACATCTAACATTATTTTCAACAAAAGTCCGTATAAAGTTCTCGATATATTGCTGTCGATTCTGACGTGATGTTCGGCGAAAGTATTTTGCGGACAGAGAGAGAGAAGAGCGCACATGGCCTTTTATATATTAGGATAGTGTTACATGACTAAAAACCATTGCGCGTCTATTGAACGTGATGGCGCAGCTATTGAATCTGATGGCGCAGCTATTGAACGTGATGACGCGTGTGGTGTGGCTGGATAGACATGCCTAGTAATTCGGTCCAAATTTTAATTAATTCATAAAAAATTAATTAGGCATCCAATTAAGTCAAATTTAGTTTCAGATTGCATTGTCTTCATGTCTTGACCCACGTGCCAACTGTGAATCGTATCGGTCAAGTAGAACTGTCCGAATTTTCACTCCTGCGTTTCTATCTAGACTGACTACAGACTGACGACTGACGACAGAGGAAGTGAGTTAAATAAAAGCTTGTAAAAACGCACTCTTCTAGCACTGAGCTCAGCTGGTGGTGTCGCACGCGGCGTTTGGGCCGTCGGCCCTACTCCTACGTGCATGGTTTTGTATTATCTATTTTAGCTCATTTTATAATTACATTGTTTCTAACCCATAAATATATGCGCAATTCATATTTTTAAATTTTAAATGTATAATAAATACAATTGTACTATTGCAGTAACTTTGTGTTTTTATAGTTATTATTTTACTATAGGCCGTAAACTGTGGGCATTGAGTTGACCCGTAGTCATCGGACCTGATATTGTATTTTATACACCGGCCGTAAACCCTTGCCAGAGTCAAGAGGTCATCGGACAAGGCTGTTATTACTATATTCCCGGTAGAGAAGCGGCTCAGACCCTCCTACCGGTTGAATTCACGCATTTTACTCGTTATCCCAATTAATACGCTACCAATATACTTTTCTTTTACCGTTAACAAGTATCGATGACGACATTATTGGTTTTTTCGGCAATGGCTTTTTAATTCTATGTTTACTCTGGAATCAATTACCTCATTTTATTGGATGTAGTTTTCCGGATTTAGAACTGTACATATTTCGTTTCGAAAACTTCCTATATGTTCCACGTGATGTCTTTCCCTATGCATCTTTAAATTTCCTTGTGTTTTTTCTAGAGCATTCCAGACAGGCAGACAGAATAGATAAACTATTATAATGATACTGATAGGGCCTATTAGGCCAATACTTTTATTAACAACATTCAACAAGGCTTAAAAACAATGATCAATCAAAAACCAAAAAAGTTTCTTCAATTTACTGTTTTCACTTTATTTGGCAAATAGTAATGGAAAGTAACCGTAATGGACACCAGCGAGTAGACGGGAATCCTTCCATAATGTTGTTGACATGGAATAAAAATGTGCTTTTTTAGATTTAGGACCGTTAAAAAAAAAAAAAGTAAAAACTTAAGCCTAAAATTAATTTAGAAATTTTATATTTTTAGAATAAATGCTATAAAAGTTGCAGATCCAGAGAACTTGAAAATAATTTGTTGAGTTTAAGGCTACATTTCTATTTATTTTCATCAAGCCTATGTTATAACCGGATGTTTCACTTTCGTAAGACAAATATTGATTGGCTGTACAGTAACTTAGTGATCGATAACTATTTGTTTACAAAACTTTGAAGATCAAGATTTTAAATAACAATGCAACTTTAAACCCTATGACCTAGTTTTTCTTTTTTTAGCTTACAGTGTGTACAATAAAATTTATGGCAGCCATTGTTTATGTCGCCATTACACGTGAAAACCAAAATGTTTTTGCTTTTTTTAAATTTGTATTTAGTAATTTAGTTACCGAAAATATTAAAAACATCAAATTAATCCAATCTTTAGTAAATTCCGAAAAAAAAAACAGACATGCAGTATTGTATAACAATATTAATTGTAACTACGCCGTGCATGATTTTTAAATTAATTTATGGACCTCTCAAATACCTTTGCGTGCTTTGAGACTTTTCTCGCTGGCGTCCATTGATGCTATGGCAGTAAATAAATAGATTAAAAATAGATTAAAACAAACATTAGTAAGATAACGGAAAATACATTTAGTCTGCAAAAAGCCAAACAAACTGAATTGGTTATTGGCCCTTCATTTGAATGCATTGGTCGTTTAAAGGTCTAAATGCATAACAACTCAACTAGGCATACATAACATTACATAAATATAGATAAAGCTTTACATTCATTAAACTAAAGTCAACCTAATTAAAAATGGTATCAAATTTTGGAATAATAAATTAAGTGAATAAATCTAGGATATTTATAATTACTATTTACTTTATATGCACAGTTGTGTTATATGGTTTTTCAGTGTGTAACAAGTCCAAATGAATTTACATATTAGGCTATGTTTGACCAAATAAAATAAGCAAGCTTTTCTATTTTTTTTAAATGATTGATCTTATTGCAAACAGCAGATCTCATTTTTAACTTCAGGCTCATACAATTTGTGATGGTTTGATGGTTCTCTTTTTATCAAAATCTCACTACTGAGTCTCCTATAATCCTGACTATGTATTTCAAAAAACAAAACATTTAAACTCTCTTTCCACTTGACTTCTTGTATGCTCAACTTACTCAATTGTGATAATATAATTTGTAATTCTTTATTTATTTCCTTCTCTTGATTATGTAAAGACATTTTTTCATCATCTAAAGAAACTTCCCGTATTCCCAGCTGTTCATCACACAACTGTTTTTGTTTGTCTAAAGCCTTTTTTGCCTCAGCTTGTAGTGTATATAACTTTGACTCAAAAATGTGAGTTTTTTCATCTATTGCATCACGTAATTTTTGGCACTTTTCTGATTCATACATCAGACTTACAGAATTCTCTTTTTGAAGTTTTCTGTACTCTGACGTTAGCATATCTTTCTCAAGTTTAAATTGTTTAATTTCATCATCTTCTTTCTTTTTAAACGCCAATTTTATAATTTTATATTCCTCTTCATATTTAAGTTTAATACTTTGAAGCTCTTCAGCAATGTGAGATTCAAAAGATTGCAATTTTTCTGTAATTCTTTGCAATGTTAAAAGAAGAGCCTCCCTTTTTTCTGTACATTTTTTTGTTCTTTCTTTAAACTTTTCTGTTTCAGTGGCAAAATCTTTCAAAGTTTTTTTCATGTTAAGTAGTAATTCACATAGATCACTGTTCATTTGAATTCTTTTTTTCAGTACTCCACTACCGCAATCTTTATCCATTATACTTCTATGAATTTCTTTTGTTTCATTATGAAGTTCTGAAGCTAGATCAATTTTTGTATTTATATTTAAGAAAGTAATTGAAAACAGCTCTTCAGTTCTAGTCAGAATTTCAATTAAGTGACTTAAATTTTCACTACAAATGTCTTTTTTGTGAGAGTAAACTTGCTTTTGTTTAATTTTTTTTTCTACTTGAGCCAAGTTTGAAAAACTAAATCGGTGCCCACAGTATTGTATCCTATTAACATAATCAACTAATTCATCTATTTGTTCTCTTTGTGTTTCATGGTTGGTTGTATTGTTATCAAAAAGAACAATTGGATTTGATAAGTAAGTGCTATTCAAATTATCAGCGATAACACAATCATCAATTGTAACAAATGTAGAATATCTTTTCCTTGTACACCACTCTTTAAATGTTATATTCTGAGTTTTTAACAATGTTTCAAGACCTTTACCGTTAGTAATAACCAGAATACAAAATCGTGTTATGAATTCTTCAAAAAATATTTCTTTTAAAAACTTCAAAATATTTTCATAGCTCTGCAATGAAAATGAATTACAAAACTTCTCAACAATGAGAAGAGCATGGAATCCTCTAGTGTTTGACATAAAAGCATGCTTCACACTTTCAAAAAACAGGTTTAATGATTTTTCATCTTCTCCCCACTCTATGCCATCCACGACTCTTATGATGCGATTATTGTATGTTACTTCAGCAGATTGTACAGTGCCAGGAAATGGTTTCAATGCTATGCTGGCATCTGTTTCAAACACCTGGCGACCCAGGATTGAGTTGCCAGTTGCACTTTTCCCAACTCCACTTCGGCCAATCAAAAGTAGATTTATTTCCTTTTCAGGATATTCAAAAGTCTGAAATTAAAGATATAAAATTTCACTGAATAGTTTTTTGTATTTCTGCAAATGCTGAGTTTATCAAACTAATAAATACTCCATCATATAGGCCTACTAAATTGAGAACAAAGAAGAAGAAACTAATTATTTTTTTTTAAAGTTGAATTTTTAAATGTGGTGGTATACAAAAACTTTTTATTGCAGTGGTTATGGCTTTATCAGATTTTAACAAGAAGCTTCAACCTACACAGAATGGGTATGGACCTACACCCAGGGCACAATTTTTGCTAGAATTTTAAGTAACAGGAACAGTAATAGAAATAACAGAAACACATCCTATTAAAAAACTGCTATCATACCATACTAACTGTTGTAGTGTGCTAAAAAAAAAAAGCCAAGATAAAGTGATAAAATAAAATAGTTGATATTAAGACTGTTGGTATAGACAGAAATTCATCAGAGTGGGGGGAAGGTGTTTTCAGAAAACAATGTCCGTAGATATATATATATATATATATATATATATATATATATATATATATATATATATATATATATATATATATATGTGTGTGTGTGTGTGTATATATGTATATGCACATTTATTTTAATGTTTTTTTGCAGTCTATATTACACATAATTACACTTAATAACATTAATTGTTACCTGTAAAGCATCTGAATAAACTGTATCTTTGACATCTTAAAAGAAAAATATAAAACTTTTTAAATTGAAGAAAAATGTTCAAGTGCAGTATTTTTACTTCTAACATATTGCCTTGTGTTGTGTTGTAGGCTATTTGAGGAAGTTTTCACATATTTTATAATTCAAATATAACTCATGCCATTATTATATCAAGCTGAAGATATATTTGAGCAAAGCATACAGAGCTGACATGTCATGTGAATATATTTAAAAACTATTTAAAAATTGCATTAAATCTCAAGGTGCTTAGATATCATCTCTATAAGTACCACAACTACCTGATGAGCAATTTCTCTAGCAAAGTCTAAACTGAGGTAGACTGCAACATAATAAAGAATAAAGCATTTCTCTCACTACTGTTTTCAGCTGTAAGACATGTGTTTTTCAGTAAGATCTGTGTTTACTTTTTATCATAAATATTAGAATATTTTTTTAAAGTTCACCTCTTTTGTTTTTAAGTTGATTTATTTCATGTTCATAACATTTTACTTGTGTTTCATGTTGTTTAATTCTTTTTTCTGTAATAGATAATATTAATACATCAAACTGAAAACATCTTTCAGATTTCAACATAACACTTAGTAGTCAATTGTGTCATTACATATGGTGTCAAATAGTGCAGTAATGGAAGAAAATGGAATTTGTGTGTATCTGAGAATGTACATTAGTTTTTAGATGTGTTTATCACAGAATATGTAGTTGACAGCTTTAAAGCTCATACCCCTGATATATAACTAAATACCAATGACTTCTGCAAGTTTACAGACTTGTCTATATTGAATATGATATTTTACCAAAAAAAGGACTGCTAAATTGAACAATATTTAAATGCAACACTAATAAATCAACTCACCAAGTTCTTCTTTTGTTGTAACTAGCTCAGCTCTGAGAATATCAACCTCATGTTTTAGTTTTTCTGATTGGGTTTTTTCTGATGAACATCAGAAGTAAAGACAAAATAGAGCATGATATTAATGATTATCATTTTTTTTCCTAATTTAAATAACATTAATTATAGGTGAAAGGCTAATTTGCAGGTCTATTTATGGTAAAAAAAAAACAATCCATAAGATAGAAATAATATTGGTTTTGTCTTTGCAATATCACCAGAGAGGGTTAGCACTTGTGTTTTGGCTAGTGTTATAATTTTTTTTTTAAGGTATACTTCCCGATCAACATAGCATATAAGTATTATAAGGATGATTGATTTGTTTGCGTGACATTGGTATTTGAACTGATAGAATGGTGAACTAAATGAGCAACTGCATTTACATGCCCTTATTTGAGTCAGATACCAATCAGAGCTGGATAGCTATATTGAACAACAGATGTGTCCCATTGTGTTAAGTAAAGGCATGGACTAGATTTTGTGTTTAGCCTAGAGTTTGGATTAGATTTTGTGTTAAGGATCAGAGACAGAAGCTTGTGGTTGGGCAAAAGTTTAGGTTAGATTAAGATGTAATGAAACATTACGGAAATGAATATAAAAAATATATAAAAAAAGAACATTATTTATTTCCAGACAAAACAAAACAAAAGATTGTTCTATTTTAAATTACTAAATGTTTTAAATTTTTGCACTTACAAGTATAAATTTAAGTATTTTATTTAGTATATGGAATAAGTTTTACCTTCAACAGGAGTAGGAGATTCATTCTGAAGAGAGAAAAAATACAGCCTCAAATATATAGCTCACAAAAAAATTGTATTCAGCTTGTCAAGTCACTTTGAATTTCTCTTTTGCTTAGCAAAAAATACTGCCCTATTGTGATGGAGTATTTTATACTATTTATGGAGAAAATACTAAATTAGATACAAACCTCACAGGTAGATACTTGAGAAATATTCATACATAGTTTTTCTGGAAACAAGAAACATTTTGTTAGCAATAATAGTTATTATAAATGTAAGGTTTCATCAATTCTAGTGATCTCTGCTTCTAATGTCTAAGTCACTAGGTTCAATCATTTTTCTTCTAAATTAGCAACTACTTAAAATAAAATTCATACGCCTATTCAATTTATTTTTAATCAATTGAATAACACACAATCACTATATATATATATATATATATATATATATATATATATATATATATATATATATACATATATACATATATATATATATACATATATATATATATATATACATATAGTTAGATAGATAGATAGATAGATAGATAGATAGATAGATAGATAGATAGATAGATAGATAGATAGATAGATAGATAGATAGATAGATAGATAGATAGATAGATAGATATCTTAATATATAAAAAATATTTAAAAATAAATGTAAAAATAATATAAATAAATCAATCAATCTCTCTCTCTATATATATATATAGTATATTAGTCCTATATATATATATAGTATATAGTCCTATGCATACATATATATATATATATATATATATATATATATATATATATATATATATATATATATATATATATATATATATCTATATGTGGATGCATGTATGTATGTATTTAGCCTACAGTACAGGACTATGTTTTATTGTTGTGTCACCTAAATAGCCATATTTTATGCATATATCAACGATTGATCTATAAAAAACAGTAATTTTAAGCAGTGTTTGTTCCAGACTTATTTTATTATTTTCTTAAGGGGACACTTGAAATTTTCGGGGGGCGGGCTAAAATTTCCGGGGGACGGACAATGTAAAGTGTATATATTTTCTATATAAATTCCATTTCATTCTGTAGACCCCCCCCCCCTCTCAAAGAGAAGCCTGGAAGAAACTATGATTTGAAGTTGAAAGGTGACTACCTTGAATATTTTCTAGAACCACTGCAATATGATTAAGTTTAACCTCATCATTGTTTAGAACTTTGATCAAACACTCAAACCAGCCATCATATTTACTGAGGCGATTCAGTAGCTCCTCAGCCCCTGCTGTATTTCCTTTATTGTTAGCAAGTGCAGTTATAAACTCCTAGGAGATTTTTAAAAATCAAAATGTTTAATATACTATAATGTTATATACTAAAAATATTATTTGCCCTTTTATTTTTTAATATAAATGAAGGCGTACCACATCTTTTGTAGTGAATATATGTCTGCTGTACTTATGAAATATGTGTATCACATTGTCAGGAATTATGTATTTCACAAATATTTCATGAATCTCTTGTCTGAGGCGTTCACTGTATTTTAGATACACAGCATGCTCAACAATCCTACTTTCCTCCACTAAGATATAAATAAAACAAAATAAAAGATTGTTACTTTTTAATTGAAATTAAAATTTGATAAAACACTTTACTGTAAAATAAAATTATTAAATCAAATATAGAGATCTATAGATTTATATATCTATATCTATTATATAGCCTAATCTATATTAAAAATTTTTTCTGGCAAAGCTGAATTTTTTAAATTATAAAAATTGTTGTTTTTTGTCACAAGCATACACATTAATTTTAATTAATATAAACATGAAATAGAGCCTCATTGAAAATATTAGTTGCTTTTAGATTCACTTAAAAAAAAAAAAACTCCATATTTTGTGGTTCATTGAAGGTAATTATTGAGTATTGAGTAATTAAGAATTAACAATTTCAAAAATAGGGCTTAGATCTAAATAATTAATTTTTAGAATTTTATTTAGTATTTAGGCCTATGAATTTGTTGTAGCTTACTCATTATAATATTATTAATAATACTTACTAGTCTAGTAATACTAGATCTAGATTCTAGTACTTCTTAGGCCTAGATCTAACTAAGACTAACTAGATCTAGATCTAAGTCTAACTAAGTTGTTGTACTAGGCCTACAACAAAAGTAACAGAGTAAATAAATAAATGTAGTCCCTATGGCCTATAGTCTACTAGACTAGATAATCTATATAGACTACTAGATCTAGATTATTATATTTCAAATGTTGGTTAACTGGTTCGGGTCTAGATATATCTAGATAGACCTAGATTCTACATTAACTTTGTAGGGCACAAGATCTACAATATAATCTAGGCCTACAAACATTACATCACTAACACCACAGGCTTATGTTATTAATTTTAAAAAAAAACTAGGCCTAACTGGGGAACTGTTAACAAAATTTATAGATCTAGACTCTAGTAATAATTAGCGAATTTAACAGTTGCCTAAACGATTTTAAGAATTAATCTAATATCTAGACAAAATTTTATCAAATTTTAAAAAATGGCTGTGCGGGATTTCCTCTACAGCTAGTTGGCCTAGGTTATAGCGACCCGTAGGGTCACATGCGTAGCTAGAGCAGTGTTTCTTCCAGACTTTTTTCTCCGGGGGGGCACTTGAAATCTTCGGGGGGGGGGGGGGCGGTAAACTTTCTTCGGGGGGGGGGGGGGCGGACACTGTTAAAAGTATATATTTTCTATATAAATTATATAAATTTCATTTCGTTCGGGGGGGGGCGGTAAAAATTTTTCGGGGGGGCTTCGTCCCCCCCGAAGAGATGCCTGGAAGAAACTCTGAGCTAGAGGAGGGAGGGTGGGCGGCCGTGCCGGGCGCCGACCCTAAAGGAGCGCCAAACCGGGTAGAGAAAGTTATCACAAGCTCATTCTAAGCAACAATACTGAATTATTCAATCGAAGGTAAGAAAATAAGACTGCAAACTGGCTTTACGGATTTCTTTTCTACATAGAACGTACCCAGAGTTTCTTCCAGGCATCTCTTCGGGGGGGGGGGGGGGGGCGCCCCGAATGAGATGGATTTTATATAGTAAACATACACTTTTACTAGTGTTCGCCCCCCCCCCCCCCCTGGAAGAAACTCTGTAAAGGTATCCGATAGATACGAAAGTGACCCACGCTTTTCTTTATAGTTGTTTAAATAGTGTATAATTTATGTTCTATTTTTTAGTGCATTATTACATAAAAACTTGTTATTACAACGTTTTTTATGAATATTTTGTTCCGTACAATAGAGTTGCATGACTAAAAACTATTGCGCACTTGGTGAATGTGATAACACGTGTCTAATAATACGGAATAGTTGGTTTATTCAGTTAGAAGTGCCCAAAATTTCGCTCGTTCGTTTCGATCTAGGTAGACAGACTGTCGACAGACAGACTGACAACAAACAGAGGAAGCAAGTTAAATAAAAGCTTGAAAAACAAATACTAGATTCTAGATCTAATTTGCTTTCTTTAATACAAGCTATGCTCGCTAAAATATGTAAAAGATTTCATGAGTGGCCAAATATTTTATTAAAGAAAGCAAATTAGTAAGGCATATATATTATTAATTATTGTTAGTGCATTTAAAAGCTAGCTGTTATAATTTATATATGATTTAAAAAAAAAAAACATTTCTTTATTTTTTAATAAAGACATTACAGCGACCAATTATTTTACTAAAGAAAACATACTAAGCTCTCTCCTTTCTATAAAACACGATCTAGTTCAAAATTTATCGAGGGCATATGCCATCTATTGTTTAGTTGCTGTTTAGTTTGCTCAAATGGACATAGACTCTAGATCTAGTGTCTACAATCAATTTTTAAAATCCATGTGGTAAATACAACTTTGGCAACATTTTTGTGTTTTGTTCAGGCTTGACAAAAACTTCGTTTTACTGCTAGTGACTACCTATAGTAAAGTTTCTAACATTAAAGATTTAAAAATAATAAAATAAAGAGCAAGAGGCTAAATCTAGACTCACTTATCCCTAGATCTAGATTTCTAGAATCTTTTTTATAGACTAGATCTATTTCTCAGATTATAGACCCTATTTCTTTAGACCTAACTTAATAAATAATATTCATAATCAAGAAGCTCGAAAGACCATCATCATCATGGTAGGTCATAGGCCTACTATTTAATATTTATTAAATATTAATTATAATTAATTAATTATTAGCCTAAACAATTATTAATAAATTGATGTAACTTACATAACATACCACCCCAGATTAGCTGAGACATAAGAACATTTATTCCTGTTACCTACAAAGAAATTAGAAGTTTTATGGTTGGTTAGAAACAGGTGGGGGCTGAGTCGGTTGTATTGCCCCTTGCCCTTAGGGCCTTAGGGGTAATAAGTATGTGTACCATTTTAAAAATTACTAGATCTAGCTAACATCGGATGGCTGAATTTTTACTTTTTTGCAGGTTAGAATTGTATTTCTATCATTTAGACACAAGTCTGTTTAACAATTAATACATTTTGTGTTAACTATTTTTATACCAGTGTCATATTCAGTGGTCTAATAAATGAGAAACTTGCACAGAGGGTATCAAGAGCCACATAACAGTATTAATGTATTCATATAGATTTAGTTATTATCTAACAAATAAAACCATTATGGTAATGATCAGTCAAGTTTTACTCTGATAATGATAAAAACTTTATAGCATGGACATGGTAAAACAGGACAAATGTCGGCCATTTTGTTTTGGCACCAATAATCACTGCAAAAAAAATTCACCAAAATAAAACTATTCTAGCCATAGCTATAATAATAATCATTAAAAAAGTTTTTAAAAACCCACGTTTTCTGATTGAACTAAAAAGTAGAAAATAAATGCTATACATCACAATGATGCAAGCGATCACTCTACTATAAGCGATGAAAAACGTGGGGCGCCGAAGTAAAAGTTATATTACTATTGATTAGATAATACTATTGACTTTTATTAGGGAGCTTGTAGAGAGTCAACAGTATTAGAAACTGTAAGAAAATCACGGCGCCCCACGTTTTTGATCACTTATAGTAGAGTGATCGCTTGCATTATTGTGATGTATAGCATTTATTTTCTACTTTTTAGTTCAATCAGAAAACGTGGGTTTTTTAAAACTTTTTTAATGATTATTATTTTCTACTTTTTAGTCTTTGTCTGTTTGTTTGCATTGAAATCGTGCTATCGATTTTATCTTTTCACTTTTTTTTTGGGTAAACGAAGACAACTCGTAAAAAGACAACTCGTAAAAAACACGTTGTGTGAATACGTTGCTGACTAGAACACATAGATTTGAACCCGTGTTGAGTGGGTTAGCAATCCTGTGCCCAACCACTTGACCATATCGTCTCCCCCATACTGGCCACCAGTTGTTACGTTCTGGTTGTTTGTAGACAAACACCGCGTGACAACTACTCAGTAAGCAAAAAGAGGGAGAGTACCGAACCTTGTTTTCATCAAATTACAGTTACTGGGTTATGTCCCTTTTTCCCCACGTTTTTTGTACAATTATAAAGGGGTATAAAATGATCAATAAAATGTTTCCATGGATCAATTTAGTAATAATAACAGTTGAATATTGTCATCCGAAACAAAGCTTCACTGAAAATTTCAGCGCGCTAGCTAACTGGGAAGTGCCCGAAATTTCGATCGCATGATTTGATTGGAAAAACAAACAAACAAACAAACAGAGGCGAAAGCAAGTTAAAGAAAAACATGGGAAAATAGTGTTAATATGTACAACAACCAATGCTCTGATACAGGAACAAAGAATGGGCTTGAAAAACTCATTTGGTTTATTACAAAGTGAAGTTTCCCAAGTTATGTCTATTTGTAAAAAAAGTTCACAAAATAGTTTTATAGAGATGAGAAATTTTAGGGAAAGAGCAGTGGGATTAAATCCTGTTTCATCCACTCCCTATTGGACCAAGCGGGTCATAAATTACATAAAATGAATCCTCTGCTTCTCTGTTATCAAAGAACAGACGTGGTTGTTACCTCAGAAGTAGATTAGTAGTGTTATTGGTGGTTTTGTGGGGGTGGGGTGCTGATCGAGGCCTAATACCACATGGCTCTTAGTGCCCTGCTTTACCCTATAGATAACTGAACAATAAACCAAAATCAATGGCTAAATATATCAATATAGGCCAGAAAGTAACTTTAAACAGCAGTGTTTGAGAGCAAGATTTGCTTATTAAACTCAGCAGCCATTTGTAAAATAGAGTGGCTTCCCCTGAATCTTCAGCTATAAGTTTAACACAATAAAACTTAAACAAGATGACTGCTATAGTAAATGAGCATGGTTGCATCTGTTGGAAACATCGCTAGTCTTCATCTATTACTGAAAAGTTTTAATTCAATTGTTTAAAAACATGTACATAAATGAATCAAGGAAACATTTTTGTATTTTTCAAAACATAAATCCTCCTCAAAATGTGAAATAATTATTAAACTTTAAGGGGTCACCTGTTTATCACATTACTATTCGCGGGCGATTTTACGTACCTAAAACAATAGATTGCCATTAATAGACAGCTTGGTGCATCAACTTTTGATTGTATTGTTATTGTTCAGGTATACTTTATTTTATATCCACCCTCATTTTGACGCACTTGGCAGCTTGAAATAAATAAAAATAAAAATGGCCAATCTTATATTTCCTCAAGTAGACTAAATAATAGTTAAAAGTTTAAAGTAAGGATTTCATAGTACTTGCCTAAAATAGTCACTGCAAATGTATAGGCCTAGGCCCTATTATTTGGTTAATTTAAATATCTACTTTCACATGCACGCCATCTATGAATCTCTAGAGGATCATGCGTGAAATTTTGTCATAAATTATGTTCCAAGCCAAATAATAATATCACTTAAATGCAATGACACAATAACATGTTTATAGGCTATTCATGAAATTTGATTAATTTTGATGCCTTTGGTTCATATCTAAAAAAAATTTTAAGACATGGAAGTTGAAAAACCAAAAGACCTACTAACTGTAAGCCTACATTTACACCTGCTTATGAATTATAATTAAATTTTGACACAGTGTTGGCATGTTTTTTTTATTGAAAAAAATCAATTCCCATAAGTGACAAGAATGAACACTTTTTATTTCTCAAAACTGGCCATGTTTTTCTAGTATGCTGGAGTCTAATCTAATATATATTTATCTAATATTAATCTAAAAACTTTATTTTTACTAAATTAATATCCTTCAGACTAATTCTTATTAGTATTTCCATTTTACTTTATAAGCCATCCCAAAGACAGAGCCAAAGTTCCACAAGTTTGAATCAAACTAAGGATAGACCAAGATCACTTGATTCTGCTGAGTTTGAAAAAAAGGTTTTTATTTTTTATTTATTTATTAAACTTGATGTATAGTTAGTTTTAAAATAAACATAATTGAGGCCAAGTTTGAGTGTTTTTTGTATGTTGAGCTGTGAAACATGATCAAACTTAACAGATAACACTCAAACATGAGCTTATGCTGATAGTTTGGCACCAGTGCTAATTTGGCTCCAGAAACTAATTATTGAAATTGAATTTTATGCCTCATTTAAAACCAAATTGAAGTCTAAGCCTGTTCAATTTGTGAACATAAATTCATATCTAAAGTGAAACTGTAAGTATAATAAAATGCCTATAAATATGTCTGCTCCTAAGCATTCTGCATTGCCCAATGCGAAACCTTTATTATCACCTACATTATAACCTAACCCTTGCCATAAATTGACAAAAACAAATCTGCAATCAATAAAATTTTAACATTTGTAAAAACCTAGGTAAAACATAAGCATGGAAAATAGAATAAGCAAATAATGATGATAAATCTAAGCCCACATATAAGCCTGTCTTAAAAGTAAAAAAAAAAAAAGTACCCTTTTATTAAACATTAAGGGTCATGGGGCAGATAAAGTAGAGTCCATCTGTTTCAGTGATCTCATATGAAGGAATAGTGTGGTCAGCACTATGCTCAGCTGTTAACCTAAATTGAAATCAAACATGAAACAATACAAAACATTTAACCCTTGTGCACCATAACACTGTTAACACAGCTCTACACCTAGCCTAGAACTATTTTTTACCCTCTGCTAATATACTTATCTAAATGTGCACAACTTTAAATTCCATGCTTAAAAGTCGATATATATAACTTAAAGAAATCAAAACAATATAAGAATTACTTTTTTATGCAATAATGATCTGTCACTTTAGAAAAATAAATTTCAGGTGAATGAGTTGATTCAATACATGTTAGTCATGGATCAGAAAAAGACTCCTATTAAAAAAAAAGGTATTGCTATTTTAATTCTAAATTTAATTTTTTTATATACAAATTTTTAATAAAAATATTTTTATCATTTCACAGTAGCATATAAGTGCAAAATTTGCACTTCTTCACTTCAGCTTATTTTTATTACCTTTCAAATCCCCAACACTTTTTTCTTCTCATTTCTTTCTAACTTGGATTATATCAAGCATTATTGCTGTTCTATAATGTTTCAGATATCAACAGAGTGGTTTTGAAAGAGCATAAGAGACTATTCCCTTCTATCATGGAAGAGGCTTCTACTAGATTATCAAAGGTTTGATATAGGGCCTATATATATTTTGTTTCCCACCCAATTTTCATTAGCTGCATCTATTTGTCTTTGAACTTATTGGCTTATTTTGTTGCCGAATATAAGAACATAAATTATAACATTACTACTTAGAAAGTAGGAAACACAATTCAATTAATTTAAACCACCATACAATAATAAAGTAACAGTCGAACACCTTTATCAAACCTTTCTATCTAATGTTCTTGTTGTCCAAACCTCTGCCTTCTGTACTGCCCTTGACCTTATACATGTGTATGGCCAGACCACTTGAGTGAGATGCATACATTTTCCACACACCACCAGTCAGACTAGAACTTTAAATGGACTAAATCTGTTGGTTTTTTGCACACACACCAATTTCAAAATCACTCTTAAATTTGAATGTGTTATAAACATTTAGTAGATGCTATGTACAATTCTTTTGCTGAAAGAAAACTACCATTGTGTATTTCACTTTGTATCAGTGTTAGAGATCTTGGATAACATGAGAAATGGGTTTGGGTGTGTGAGTGGAGGAGGGGGGGGGGGGGGTTGGGTTGTATAAGTAGGACTTTAGCAAAGACTTGCATTGGAGTAGAACGAGAGGTGGAGTAGGTACTAGTTCATGGTGTTGTGTTTTCTTTTAACTTAAGTTACTATTAAGGAATACAGTTAATACAAATGGCTTGATTTTAGTGTGTAATACAAATGTGCACTATCTCTTTCTCACTCTTAATAGAAATATATTTTATTTACAGGTTTTTGGATTCAAAGTGATAGAACTGCAAGATAAGCACAAAGGATCATTTATTCTAGTTAATGAACTAGATTTCAATGAAGAAGAAAAGTTTGTAGAATGGTATAAAAGCATTTATTGATATTATATAAGACAGGCATGTTTGGTTTAACATATCTTTTTGAAGATAAAAAGATTTTTATAAAATTGTAACAGTTTATCTATATATATAATTCTCTTCTGGGAGCCGTTAGAAAACAAGCTGCAAGCGCCTCCTTGCAGTCCCCTCTCTTTCTCTTTATCACTATCACTAACACACCCACCCCACCCCCACATTGTCTGGTGAGCTGTGGTCACGCTTTTTGTTTACAAAGCTAAATGTTTACAAATCGTAGAGCGTAGAGTCGGGTTTCTATTAGGGGCAGATAATTTAGTTCGATTTTAAACTTACGGGAGTTAACTAAGAAATAACTAAGAGGAGGCTGCTTTCACGGGGGGAGGGGGGTGTAGGTTAGGGGAAAGGGGGGGGGGTTAGTGTTTTAAAGCAAATATTTTCAGTGGCAGCATTGGTACTGTCGAATTCACAAATTATGAATTATTGAAAAGTAGAAAATAAAACAACTAAATAGCGGCGTATGATACGCTGCGGGTCGGCTCGTACTAATTAATATCTAAGTCTGAAACTGGTTTCCTAGACTACAATTTACATTGATAATTGAGCTTGTTATCTAACTAAAGGAGAAATAATGTAGTTCTTTATAATTAAACTTTGATTGAACTGTAAGGTAAATCAAAATTTCATGGCATTTTTTAAACAAGATTATTTCACTTATACATTTTAGGTAATTAGAATTGAGTTAATGTGATAGGTTTAAACCTTTCTGATACCAGACTTTTTAACAGGTCAAACACCTGACAACTTTTCTTTTAGCTGTCTAAAAGTTTCCTGGGGTTGGCTTCAGCATAAATGAAATTTTTTAAAGTTTAACTGTGTGGTGTGGTTAAGTGTCAGTATTGTTTGCTATACCAAAAGTCAAGTTCAGTTTCTGGAGTTTATACATTTTGTTCATTCAACCCCAATGAGTATCTGTAGCTCATCTACCTAAATGGACCACTTGATCTGAATTGTTAATTTAGTTTTAAATATTTGATTGCTAGTTCGTGTAATTTTTTTACAATTTGTATATAGGTCTGAGGAAGATAGTGCAAAAATGGGTCTTGTGTCTGTCATACTTGGAATGATTTTTATGAATGGTTCTGTTATTTCTGAAGGTAAGACATTTTCTTTTGACGATTTATATGTTGTACTGAAAGTTAAAACAGTAGTAAATGTAATTGAACTTGAAAATTTACAGAAATTTATTTTCTTAAAATCCACTTATATGTGATAAGTGCCTATTATTTGTATGTGAATACATAGTTTTTGTGTTTTCTATTTTAGCGAATCAAAATAACTATCACATTAATAATGGTTTGGGTGTTAAAAATGTGGTTTTGAATTTTTAGATAACGAATGAAGAAATGCTTTATTTTAGTTAATGGACACATTTGATTTAACAAGTGTAAACACAACTCTAAAATAAATACAATTGTTTTTGTTTATATACAACTAAATATTATTTTAAATTTCAGAGGAATTGTGGCATTCACTTAAAAAATTGGGCTTGAATCCTGAGTAAGTAATTTTAAATATTTTGTAAATATCCTTTAACACCCTTGCCAGAAGTAGATTGATATCTTAACTTGGATAATTAGGTGACATTATCATGTTATTGAAAATATGATAAGGTGTGATTGAAATATTATTAATCTAATTTTTGTTGGTCTGTCCAAATTAAAAAAAAATTCTGACAGGACTGGCAAGTTCGCTTCTACTTGATTGACATTAATTTTAATACATGTGTAATTATCATTTACAATGCTTCCTACCGTTTATTACCAGTGTATGAAATGATGAAATGTTTTTGTGCATTTCAGAGAAAAAAATGGAACCTTTGGGAATGTAAAAACATTAATTATGGAAGATTTTGTAAAACAAGCATACCTTGAAGTAGTAATCAAGAATAACCAAGATCAACCTTATAAAGAATTTATTTGGGGCCAGAGAGCTCATCATGAGCTCAGCAAACGTAGCGCCCTGGAGTTGGTGTGTGCGGTATGGGAATTTTTTTTTTTTTAATATGTAAACGTAGTGTACTTAAATTAGAATGTGAGGTAAGGGACAAATATGTTCTTATATATAAATATTGTGCAGTTGAATTATCATGTGAGGGAAGTGAAAAAGTTTGTTTTTATACATAAATGTATTGCACTTGGATCAGTGTGTGAGGTAATGGAAAAGTTGTTAAGTACTTCTTGTTAACATTTTTTTTTGGTTAAAAACCTAGCATACTTTTGACTTCAAAATTTGTTTTACAGCATAATTGAAATAAATTATTAACAAATCTGCTTTTCCATTTTGTTTTAGATTAATGGCACCAAGCCAGAAGATTGGCCTCACCACCGCCAACAAAGTGAAGAGGTTTGAATAATCTGTGCACAAGAATTTTAAATGACTAGAGCAAATGTGTTTATTTTCAATGTTACTACCAGAAAATTAAGCTACATTATTAGTGTAATTCACCTATCAAAAGTCAATAGGCTTTTGTTTTTCAATTATGCAAAAATTTTAGTACTGTACTCAGGTATAAAATACTGATAATAAAATTAGAATATAGCAGCCAAATGGACTTCATGTTGCATAGACTTTCAACTAGAGAAACACTTCAGTTTGATAATTTGAATTTAATATCTATATATTGAAATATCTGAATTATACATTTGTCTGAAGCACCCAGATCAGCATGACCTCTATACTTATTGTAATGAATGTACAGTTATAACTTACAAAGTGTAATAAATTAAATGGTTTAATTCTATATACCATAAATGGAAATATTGAATAGGTTCTCTTGTGGGACACTCATGTGATTGGCTAAAAAATTTGCCTTCATTTGTGTTTTTCTAAGAGACTAATAAAATAAAGCAATCTCTATATTTTCCAATTACAAGAGTATTTTAAATATGAGCACTATATGAGTTTAAATTCAATGTTGGTGTTAGAAAAACATGATGCATCATTAGGTTGGAACTATTGAGTAAAAGTTGATTGAAAGTTAGAAATCTCTGAGTTTAAATCAATGTTGGTGTTAGAAAAACATGATGAATTTAAACTCATTAGGCTCTGACTTTTGAATAACTGTTGATTGTAAGTTAAAAATCTTCATACTACAGAATAAATGTTTTACAAGTGATATAAATAGTTCCAAATGTATATAAATTACTTGTGAATGTCAAAATATATTTACACTAATTCATTAAGTGCATGTTTTCTGTTTTTTGAACAATTAATACATGTATGTTTTAGCCAATTCCGCACAAAATACGATTTTATGACTTTTTTCCCCTGACTATATTTCCTCAGACTATTCTCAGACATGTGTTAGCACATGTATGACCTTTGACATATTTGAGCTGGGTTGGGTTGATTCTTGCAGAACATTCTAGGCCTGGTCAAAACACAGTGTCATTGTTTGATATCACATTCAGGATAAGTTTGTTCACAAATGTTTATTTTCTTTAAAACAGTTATTTTTAGCCTCCGATCAACTGTCTTTATTTATGGTTAACTATGCTTGCCAGTTGTTTATGTACAGGCTAGAAAATTAGACATCAGCTGTGGGTCATCCTGTGATGAGGCAAGCAGGATATCATCTAGCCTAGTCTTACACAGCAGAACCATCATGGCTATCTGCCTTGCCCAGTACAGTTATACTTGTGTTAAACACTTGTTTTATGTATATTATACACATCTAGAAAAAACTTGCAAGCTAGTTTGTGAAAACATTTCTCCCACAGAAATTTGTAAAAATGGTTATCATGAAAAGCTGTATGTGCCAAGTGGAATCGAGTGTTGTAGGGTTAATGTTGTCTTATGCATAGGATTTCAAAGATGAATGATCTTATTTTAATATTGTTATTCATATTTTACCTATTTTATTTTGGTTATGTTATCTGTTATGTTCATAATGGATTTTCTAGTTTTTAATATTTTTTCGTCTCGTCTTCACCTAATATTAAGCCTAATGCTTACTCACGTATTTTCAAAATAAACTGGTATACACATGAGCAAATGGAAAGCAAATATTGAAATGAATGCTGTTACAATGCCTTGTCTAAAGAAAAATGTAAATAAAAACCACGGACGAAATTTTTGTTGTTGTTTTTTAATAATACTAAAACTTTTATCACTCTGTAGCTTGTTCACTCGCAGTTGTACGCCTATAATTAGACCAAAAACTATACATTAAGTCTTACTGTCTTACTACCGGAAATTAATATTCATAACACTTCACAATAGCTTAATCAAAGCACAAATTGTCTGAAGTTTGTAAACAATAAAGGAAACTACACGATGACGTATCATTTTACACTTCCATCCCCTATCCCCCCCCCCCCCCCCTAAAAAAAATTCACGGTAGTTTAGCAAACCACTGTATTTTCATAAGGGGACATAACTAGACTAAGATTATTTTACCCAAAATATTAATTGAGTTATTCCCCTTAGACCATAAAACGACAGAAATGAACATTTTTAGCAACTGGATAATTTTTTATTCATTGATAAAAAAAAAATTAACAAAACCTTTATACATGCTAAATAATAAAAGTACAACTTAAAAGCCCCCATCCCGCTTATCAGAAATCGTCCCAAAAGCCCAGCCCCTCCTTTTCGCAAATTTATTGAATTAAAAAAAACGTAACGAAAGATACATAAATTTCTACTTTTGTTGTCCCATTTTGTTGGCAAGCGTTCTTAACACTTAACACACACATTAATCAAAAACTGACGACACTATACACACAGGCATAAAAGTCGAGTCTGTTCAGTAGGCCCTACTCATCAAGACTTGAATATCCTCCTACCTAATGATAGAAGACTCAGAACCTTATCCGTTTTCTCAGATTGTTTGGTCAACACTATCTCCTGCTTATGTTGCTTTCTCCAACTCGAGGTAGCACACGATACGGTTGTTATGCGACAGGGTTTCTGGGAATACGGAAAGAATAATTCATCCTCGCTAAAAAGTTTTGGACCCCACTGTTTATAATAATAATAATTCGCTGGAACATTTCTTCGTGGCTAATGTATTGCAAATGTATTTAACTTTGTGGCTTATAATAGTACAGCCAAAAGAATAATTAACACAAACTAATATAGAGGCTTACAAGATGTACGATAATCTAATATAAACTATTCTGAAAGATATAAAGCGTACATATTAAGCACAAACTTTTACTGCTAAAACTAAAAGGTCTGTGGGTGTGTATGCATTTATAGGCCTACTGTCCTACATGTTGATGCTACTATGGCATAGCTTATGAAAAAAAAATATACTTGACACTGACTGGGTTTTTTTCGAGGTGGGTATCTAGATTAAAAAGATTATTATCAGATTACGGAGGCTTACATTCTTCAATGATGACGTATACAAATATTCTGAATAAAATTTTTTTTTTTTCAAAATTTAGGTCTAGATCTATATAAATTTGCAAACGACGATTAAAAGTGTTATAATAATTTTTGGTTTATTAAAACTCTCTGTCAGTTTTTGTAATTTAGATTAAAAATTAAATTCTTGGAGAAAATTTTAGAGTAGCTTACCCTTGAATCCTGTAAACAAATAAATAAGTAGACTAGTTATTTAATATTTTGTTAATGTCATGAACACAGCTGAAAGACCTTTTTTCTTTTTTTTTCCGTATAACGTGAAATACTAAGATACACATAATAGTTTTAAAATGAAGAGAGGACATTAAAAAATGATACTTACATTAACAAAGAACTAAGACACCCAAACACTTCTGGATCTAAAATTCAATCAATTCTAATCACTGCAGTAGTAATCTGAGGGACAAATCTCATTTCTGCGACTTGTGAGATACTCCGAGTAGGTAAGTGCTGAGTAAATAGTAGTAAATACCCTATAAAATAATTGAATAAGATTAAGACAGTAGCTTTGAGTGATAAAAATGAAATGACTGAGGACAGACACATTTTTTTTAGAACTGCTGAAAAATTGAATGAACTACTGAGAATCTGTGAGTGTTTTGTGTGAAAACTGAAAACAATCTTCTAGAGATCTAGATCTAAATCTACAATTTTTTTTGATCAGCCAGCCTGATGCTTCTGTCTGATTTGATCACTTACTTTAGTAGTGTAGTGAGTAATAAGAGAAAAAATAATAAATTTTCTCGGACCCAGCATTAAATAAATAGGTAGGCCTACACAATAATACTTTTCTGTTGTGATTTTTTTCTTGTAATGGACACCAGCGAGAAAAGTCTCAAAGGTATTTGAGAGGTCCATAAATTAATTTAAAAATCTTGCACGGCGTAGTTACAATTAATATGGTTATAAAATCCTGTCTGTCTGGTTTTTTCGGACTTTACTAAAGATTGGATGTATTTGATGTTTTTAATATTTTCGGTAACTAAATAAAAATAATTAAAAAAGCAAAAACAATTTGGTTTTCATAAGTAATGGCGACATAAACAATGGCATCCTGCTATTCGATAGGCCGCCATAAATTTTATTGTACACAATGTAAGCTAAAAATAGAAAAACTAGGTCATGGTGTTTAATTTTGCATTGTTATTTAAAAATTTGATCTGCAAAGTTTTGTAAACAAAATAACTATAAAGTGGGGCTGTCAGAAATCGATCACAGAGTTCCTTTACAGCCAATCAATGTTTGTCTTACGAAAGTGAAACATCGGGTTATAACTTAGGCTTGATGAAAATAAATAGAAATATAGCCTTAAACTCAACAAATTATTTTCAAGTTCTCTGGATCTGCAACTTGTATAGCATTGATTCTAAAAATATTAAATTTCTGAATTAATTTTAGGCTTAAGTTTGTAACAAAATTTTATCTTTAATATTTTTATGGTCCTAAATCTAAAAAAGCACATTTTTATTCCATGTCCACAACATTACGAACGATTTTCGTCAACTCACTGGTGTCCATTCCATACAAATCTAGATATCTTACTTTAAATACCCATTATTATTATCATTTCTGACAAATGTCATGGCAAACTAAAACTGCTCTCTACATATACCTGGTAACTGGTTCTCTGCTTCTACTATTAAACTGCTAACTGCTAACAAACACTTGACTACTCCCTAAATGCTTTAATGACCACCTGATAATTCTATCTTTCTGCCAACTGACACTTCACAATTGCATAACTTATGCTAAAATTTTACCTTTTATGTTTATTTGATTTTCCTTGTGAATGTGCTTGTATTTTGTTATATATATATATATATATATATATATATATATATATATATATATACATATATAAAATGATCTATATATAAATCACATGGGTCCTAATAGCGGCCTGGGCTATTATGACCCGGGTCCAATAGCTACTTACTTATTTTTAGTTTAGTACATTTGTTGTTTTTTTTTAATTAATTTTTAATACTAGTTATCCTGCTGAATTTTAATGAATTGTATTGTATTTACTAATTAATGTTATTTCCTGGCTTTTCCTAATTGATTTGCGATGTATTGTTAAAACACTATTGATAAAATAATTGGCTAAAGTATTAATGAATAAAAAGAAAAAGAAAAGAACTATCTATTCCCATTTGGAAATGCATTTTATACATTTAATTCAAAGATTATCTTTAAACTAATAAGGCTTCCTCTGTTTGGACCCGTGTCTCTCTAGCCACAGACCAGTATTTGGATCTGGTTATTAAATTAGTTTAAATTTTTTTAGTAACACTTTCTGGTAGACTTCTTAAAAGGCAGGGTTTGTTCATTTTAAAGAGTGCCATACACAATGAATACGTTTTGCTGCTAGTACTATAATCTTTCACTAAATTGAATCAGGCATGCCCTCTTGCATATCTACAATGTGCAGTTTCCACCCTGGGCTCCCCCCATAAGAACCATTGTGTCTATGACTGTTTTAAAGTGTGCCATACACTATGGATACTGTGGGCTACTAAATTTATAGATTGAGACACATCCACTGGTGACCCGGCATCCCAAGCTCCCCCATGGCACCTACATTCATTTTAAACATCACCCTACAATAGGCACATGGTGACACACCTCATTTGATGAACCAGGGGTTGTACCTTTCAACCATGCGGTAGTGTAACTAGTGGCTCCTGAGAGTGCCCCGCAATGCCCCCGACACCTGGGGGGTCGCCGAGGTGTGTTCTAACTCATTATTACAGTAGGTGATTAACGCACACTCAAGGCTTTCATACAGCACCCCCTGGGGATCCAGGGCAGTAGTGTGGACAAACCTGCTCCCCAACAACCATGACCCAAGAAATAAAGCACCTGATTTGTTTACATTTAAATAACTCAGTTTTAGAAAACAAGTTCATATGTAAAATAAAATTCATTATTAGTAACACATTAATGAAATCCTCTTAAAATATTGCAAGTTAATTAAATCCACTGAACAAAAATGACTACCTACAAAATATTTTAGAGTTTGGTATATGTTTTGGTATTAATTAGGTGCTTTGTTTATTTTTACTTTTAACACTCATGATGTTGTGATTACTCAATTTAACTGGTTCTTGATCTGTTGTATCTTGAAGTCTTCCTGTCCTGTTTGATAGATAGTTGAGGTGCCTCAAGTAGTTTTGGTGGATGGTGGATTGTTGAGGTTTTAACTTTGTCTTATGATTGTTTTTCTCCATTCTTTCTGCCAACTTCAGTACCTCTCCCAGCACTAAACCTGTCCATTAGCTGATTAAATCTCCTTCACTTTTAACTTTCCACTTTCTCTTTCTCCTGACACAAGGAACATTTTGCTAGTACTTGTGACATGTATGGGACAGCATGGTTGAACAATAGAGCATATGACTGCTAACCCCAAAGTCTGGAGTTCAAATCCAGGTTAAACTTCAAGTCAGTAGAACATCCCTTAGTCCACCTCTGTTGGGTACCTGATTCCAGTTAGGGAAAATAAAGGCAGCTGAGTATACAGCTGACAGCACTATCCCTTTATTTGATGAGGTTGCTGAAAAATTTGAACTCTACTTCACACTTGCCCCATGGACTGTTAGTTCAAAAGGAAACTTTACTTGTGACATTTCTATACAACCTGAGCTTGTTTTAAAACAAATGTTAGCAGGTCATCAGGATGGCCGACTACCCTTGGTTGTTTTTTTTCAGCATTGAGTGATCAGCCTTTTTAAGAGCATCCCATATAACTTTTTATGATATTGTATTGCAATATCTTGGGGTTTATTTTCATACCCTGATGTTGGTGTCCATATAGCCATTACCAAGGAACATATTAGCATGCTTTTTATGCATAGGGCTTTTTTTTTTTTTTTTAGAAAGTATAGATGCAATTATAGTGATTTAATTCACAATAAAAAGAAAGAATAAATAAGCATTATACCAGTTCATAAACATGTTTTGGTAGCTGTCACAGTTTAAAATATTTGAGCATCTTTTTTATAAATCACAAGCCAATGTTCATTTATTGGATTCTCTAGTTTTAGAGATAAACATTTTATTCATTTAAGTCAGTGGCGAAACAAAATGCTGTACAACTAATAATGATTATTTAAACACACGTTTAGTAAATTTAAAAAAAAATTAAATTGACATTTTTTATCTGCGTAATGTAATTCTAGCGCTTAATTGTTGTGTATTGATTATTGCCTAAAAGAAAAAAAAAATTCCCTCCCTGGAGAACTACTGGTAACAAGATAAGTGTTATAGATTCATGTTGGCACTCACTACATAAGTGCTATAGATTTATGTTGGCACTCACTACATAAGTGCTATAGATTTATGTTTGCGCAATGTTCACGATTTATAAATGTTCCCAGCTGGATACTAGTTGTGATTTCTACTAATGTTTGATATATTGATTTATGGGTGTGTCTCATTTATGCTGGGTTTGTGTTTATTTTAGTCTCATTGTTAGCATTGTATCGGCTTAGCTTACTTATGTATTTAAGTAGAAAATCTCTGTGCCTTAATATATAAACATATTATTAAGAATACAAATATCATGCTTATATGTGTACGTATATGTGAAGTTATAGATATATATATATATATATAATCATTGATAAGTGTATGTGTAGTTATACATTATATATGTATGTATGTATATATATATATATATATATATATATATATATATATATATATATATATATATATATATATATATATATATATATATATATATATATATATATATATATATATATATATATATATATATATATATATATATATATATATATATATATATATATATAATATCTAAAAATAAAACTTCCAATAAAAATTGCAATCATTATTACTGTATCAATTAAGTTTATTTCTTAGTTCTCATTAAAACAGTTTGAAACTATATAAATTATAGTTTTGGCAACTTCATGTTCTTTTGTATGCTTTAGAATATGTTATAGATATTGAATGTGTGTAATCATACATATCAATTCATTATAATAAAGAATAGCCTACAGTATCCAAATACCAGAGACCTATGACAACCCTCTATATTTCCAGGAATGGTCTGAACCACAGGTGAGAGCATCAGGCAGGTGAGAATGTTCAACCTGTACCAGTACCACAGTGGGGTCATCAGCTTCTCCGAGCTCAAGGACCCCAGCGACGTATGGGAGCTGCAGGAAACCATAGGGGAGGGGACGTACGGGGAGGTGTTCCTGGGCAGTAACAGGTCTACTGGTGAGTTGATGTAACAATAGGGGAGGGGACGTACGGGGAGGTGTTCCTGGACAGTAACAGGTCTACTGGTGAGTTGATTTAACAGTAGGGGAGGGGACATACGGGGAGGTGTTCCTGGGCAGTAACAGGTCTACAGGTGAGTGGATTCTACAATAGGGGAGGGGACGTACGGGGAGGTGTTCCTGGGCAGTAACAGGTCTACTGGTGAGTTGATGTAACAATAGGGGAGGGGACGTACGGGGAGGTGTTCCTGGGCAGTAACAGGTCTACAGGTGAGTTGATGTAACAATAGGGGAGGGGATGTACGGGGAGGTGTTCCTGTGCAGTAACAGGTCTACTGGTGAGTTGATTCATTAATAGGGGAGGTGAGTTGATTCTACAATAGTCTTACAGCTCACTCTCAACATGCAGACTGTAAACATTTTAGGTTTAAATCTCACCGCAAAGACAAACCACACACCAAGCAGTTTGACCACCCAAAATACCATCAGCCTCATCGCAAAACATCCCCCACACAAAATACCACTAGCCTCAGAACACTGCATCCCCTACACTATATCCCACAATCTCAACACACAACATCCCAATCACACCCACATAATACCTCCCACCCATACAAAATCTCACCATCACAACACTCCACACACAAATCTTATGATCATCTCTCAAAATCTCACCACACAATATCATCCTCTAAATATTTCTTCACACAATTTCCCCCCACCCCCCACCCCACAGTCTCCCCCCACACAACATTGCCCCACACAACATTGCCCCACACAACATTGTCCCACACAACATTGCCCCACACAACATTGCCCCACACAACATTGCCCCACACAACATTGCCCCCACAGCTTCCCCCACACAACATTGCCCCCACACAACATTGCCCCACACAACATTGCCCCCCACAACATTGCCCCCCACAGCTTCCCTCACACAACATTGCCCCACACAACATTGCCCCACACAACATTGCCCCCCACAACATTGCCCCCACAGCTTCCCCCACACAACATTGCCCCCCACAGCTTCCCTCACACAACATTGCCCCACACAACATTGCCCCACACAACATTGCCCCCCACAACATTGCCCCCACAGCTTCCCCCACACAACATTGCCCCCACACAACATTGCCCCACACAACATTGCCCCCCACAACATTGCCCCCCACAGCTTCCCTCACACAACATTGCCCCACACAACATTGCCCCACACAACATTGCCCCCCACAACATTGCCCCCCACAGCTTCCCTCACACAACATTGCCCCACACAACATTGCCCCCACAGCTTCCCCCACACAACATTGCCCCCACACAACATTGCCCCACACAGCCTCCCCCACACAACATTGCCCCACACAACATTGCCCCCCACAACATTGCCCCCCACAGCTTCCCTCACACAACATTGCCCCACACAACATTGCCCCACACAACATTGCCCCCCACAACATTGCCCCCCACAGCTTCCCTCACACAACATTGCCCCACACAACATTGCCCCACACAACATTGCCCCCCCCCCCCCCCACAGCTTCCCCCACACAACATCTGACCCCAGTTTAATGGCGCCAACAGGTGAGAAAGTGGCCGTGAAGGTGATGGAGTCTGTGAGTGAGGTGGTGGAGGAGATAGAGGAGGAGTACCAAATCCTCAGGGACCTAGGGGACCACCCCAACATGCCCAAGTTCTACGGGATCTACCTCAAGAGGAAAAACATGCACCTGGGGGACTCAGGGGAAGACCAGATATGGATTGTTATGGAGGTATGTGGGCTTTGTTATGGAGGTATGTGGGCTTTGTTATGGAGGTATGTGGGCTTTGTTGTAGAGGTATGTGGGCTTTGGAGGTATGTGGGCTTTGGAGGTATGTGGGCTTTGTTGTGGAGGTTTGTGGGCTTTGTCATGGAGGTGTGTGCGCTTTGTTATGGAGGTATGTGGGCTTTGTTATGGAGGTATGTGGGCTTTGTTATGGAGGTATGTGGGCTTTGTTATGGAGGGCTTTGTTATGGAGGTATGTGGGCTATGTTGTGGAGGGATGTAGGCTGTCATAGATGTATGTAGGCTGTCTTAGAGGTATGTGGTCTTTGTTGTGGAGGTATGTGGGTTTTGTTGTGGAGGGCTTTGTTATGGAGGTATGTGGGCTTTGTTATGGAGGTATGTGGGCTTTCTCATGGAGATATGTGGGCTTTGGAGGTATGTGGGCTTTGTTATGGAGGTTTGTGGGCTTTGTTATGGAGGTGTATGGGCTTTGTTATGGAGGTATGTGGGCTTTGTTATGGAGGTATGTGGGCTTTGGAGGTATGTGGGCTTTGGAGGTATGTGGGCTTTGTTGTGGAGGTTTGTGGGCTTTGTTATGGAGGTGTGTGGGCTTTGTTATGGTGGTATGTGGGCTTTGTTGTGGAGGTGTATGGGCTTTGTCATGGAGGTGTGTGCGCTTTGTTATGGAGGTATGTGGGCTTTGTTATGGAGGTATGTGGGCTTTGTTATGGAGGGCTTTGTTATGGAGGTATGTGGGCTATGTTGTGGAGGGATGTAGGCTGTCATAGATGTATGTAGGCTGTCATAGAGGTATGTGGTCTTTGTTGTGGAGGTATGTGGGATTTGTTGTGGAGGGCTTTGTTATGGAGGTATGTGGGCTTTGGAGGTATGTGGGCTTTGTTATGGAGGTATGTGGGCTTTGTTATGGAGGTATGTGGGCTATCTCATGGAGGTATGTGGGCTTTCTCATGGAGGTATGTGGGCTTTGGAGGTATGTGGGCTTTGTTGTGGAGGTTTGTGGGCTTTGTTATGGAGGTATGTGGGCTATGTTGTGGAGGGATGTAGGCTGTCATAGATGTATGTAGGCTGTCATAGAGGTATGTGGTCTTTGTTGTGGAGGTATGTGGGATTTGTTGTGGAGGGCTTTGTTATGGAGGTATGTGGGCTATGGAGGTATGTGGGCTTTGTTATGGAGGTATGTGGGCTTTGTTATGGAGGTATGTGGTCTTTGTTATGGAGGTATGTGGGCTTTGTTATGGAGGGCTTTGTTATGGAGGTATGTGGGCTATGTTGTGGAGGGATGTAGGCTGTCATAGATGTATGTGGGCTTTGTTGTGGAGGTATGTGGGTTTTGTTATGGAGGTGTGTGGGCTTTATTATGGAGGTATGTTGGCTTTGTTATGAAGGTATGTGGGCTTTGTTATGGAGGTATGTGGGCTTTCTCATGGAGGTATGTGGGCTTTCTCATGGAGGTATGTGGGCTTTCTCATGGAGGTATGTGGGTTTTGTTATGGAGGTTTGTGGGCTTTGTTATGGATATACGTGGGCTTTCTTGTGGAGGCTTGTGGGCTGTCTCATGGAGGGATGTGGGCTTTCTCATGGAGGTATGTTTACTTCTGTCTCAGGGTGGGTCAGTGACTGATTACATTTGTGTGAGGGTGGGTTAGTGACTATCTACTTCTCTATGGGGGTGGTTTCAGTTACTGTTTACTTTTGTGTGGAGTTGGGTCAGAGACTATTTACTTCTGCGTGGGGGTGCCTCAGTAAGTGTTTCCTTTTGTTTATTCAGCTGTGTGGGGGCGTGTCAGTAACTGCTTACTTTTGGTGGGGGTTGGTCAGTAACTGCTTACTTTTGTTTATTCAGCTGTGTGGGGGCGTGTCAGTAACTGCTTACTTTTGGTGGGGTTGGTCAGTAACTGCTTACTTTTGTTTATTCAGCTGTGTGGGGGCGGGTCAGTGACTGATCTAGCCAAGCACATGATCAAGAAGTCGTCACGCTTGGATGAGCTCCTGATTGCACATATCTTAGCTGAGACTTTGAAGGTTGGTACAGAAAAGTTTTAGGTTTAATTTAAAAGGTCTGCAACATTCAGCTGCTTAATTGGCTGGCCAAGTTCAAACAAGATCTATGTAACTTAAGCTACAAGAAAATAACTAAATTAAAGCAATGAAAATCTCTGTATCTGATTAGCAAAAATGTAGTGTTTGAAATAGGATAGACTAGTGGTAGTATTTTTGTTACAAAAGCATTTTGAGTCCACAAATTCAGATCACCTGCAATAGGTATTGTACTTTTTGTGATTATTGTAATGGGAGCTAAAAGCATATTTAATTATTCATATAAATTAAAACTGGGGTAACTAAGTAGTGTTGATTTGATAGAAGTGAATTAACTACTTTTAACATTGGGGACTTATGGCAGTATAAATTAATACTTTAATTTAAATTTAACTGTTTATCTTTTTTTTACTTGGCAGTCCAATGATGGGCTGATTGTTTTCCTTAGTGATGGTGTCATGTGATGTTGTTTACCTAGCAACTTAATTGTTGACTAATATGTCATGTGATATTTGACCTTAGTGTCACATGATGTCGTTTACCTATTCCAGGTTTTAGAGCACCTCCATTCACATCTAGTTATCCATCGAGATGTCAAAGGTCACAATATTCTCATCACAAGCGAAGGAAAAATCAAAATGGTTGATTTTGGTTAGTGAAACTGACTTTTTTTCACAATTGCATGCCTTTTCAGTCAGGAGTGTAGCGAGGGGGGGGGGCGGGGGTGTGGACAGCACACCGGGTGACACCATTTAGGGGGGTGACAAATATATAGAGAAAAACTTGAGGGGGGGTGGTGCAAATCAAAAGCTTGACGGGGGGGGGGGGGTGCAAACCGAAAGCTTGAGGGGGAGGTGCAAATCGAAAGTTTGAGGGGGGGTTGCAAATCAAAAACTTGAGGGGGGGGGGTGCAAAAAATCGAAAGTTTGAGGGGGGGGTGCAAATCGAAAACCTGAAAGTTTGTCCCGGGAAGGGTCGCAACGCCTCTGGGGGGGGGGTGACACCAATAAGAGCCACACCGGGTGACACCCGACCTCGCTACGCCACTGTTTTCAGTTTAGTTTTTCTTTCCATTTATGACGTCCACATGGGGGGGGGGGGGGGGGGGGCATCAGAAAAAAATTAACTTTTGCGGATGCATGTGGACTTTTATAAGGGAGTTAAGTGGACTTTTGTGTGTGTGTGTGTGGGGGGGGGGGGTCCAAAATCACAAAAATTTGTGGACGTCATAAATGGATGACCCCAAATTATATTGTAGATGCATATTTTTTAAAACTAACCAGCATTTTTGTTCTACAAAAGTGTCTTTGTTTTAATAAGGAAAATGTAATACCAGTAGGTTTAATAGTTTAAATCTAATTATATGAGTAGTGGAAAACTGTGCTTCATAGAAAAATACTTTAATTAGTTTTATCAATCAATATGTGTAATACACAAAAAAAGTTGGTTAATAATTAATTTTAAAGAAAAGATTTAATTAATAGATTATGTTCAATGGATTACATTTTTTTGGTATTGCGCAATGGAAATATATACCCGATAAAGATTGAGAAAAACTTTAAGATTTAATCTGTGGGTGGTATTAATTAGATTTAGAGTTTTTACAGTTTATATAATTGTTTAAAGATTAGTTCAATATTTTGTTGAATATTTTGTTGAATATCTTGCTAAATATTTTGTTGAATATTTTGTTGAATATCTTGCTAAATATTTTGTTGAATATTTTGTTGAATATTTTGTTGAATATTTTGTTGAATATTTTGTTGAATGTTTTGTTGAATATTTTGTTGAATATTTTGTTGAATATTTTGTTGAATATTTTGTTGAATATTTTGTTGAATATTTTGTTGAACTATTTTGTTGAATATTTTGTTGAATATTTTGTTGACTATTTTGTTGACTGTTTTGTTGACTGTTTTGTTGAATATTTTGTTGCATCTGACAGGTGTGTCGGGTCACCTGGATTCCCCAACAGGTAGAAAAAAAACTCATGTGGGAACACCTTACTGGATGGCACCTGAGGTGGGTCTACTTTGTTTAATTATTGATGTCACATGACATATATAGTTCACATGACATTTATAACCTGAGGTGGGTCTACTTTGTTTGTTTATTTAATTATTAATGTCACTTGACACATATAGTTCACATGACATTTATAACCTGAGGCCTGTGAGAAATCAACGATGTAAGCTAAGTACTTTTAAAAATCAATGCATTTTTAAAATGTAATTTACCCTTTCAGTTGATGTTTTTATAGTTTGATGAAACATATGGATAATTTTAATCAGAGCGGGCTGAATAAGGACATCTATGTGTGATAGAGATAGGTTAAAATAGTTATTTGAATGTGTGTTATTTCTTTCTTCTGTGTTAACATTATGTCTTAGATTAAAAAAAAATATTTTTTTATGAGAAATGTTTGGTAAGTTTTTCTTTATTTGTGTCTATCCCAGTTAAAACATTTGCAATACTTTAAAAAAGAGGAGATTTAATTAACTTAGTAAGAAGTTATTTAATGAGGCTCATCAGCTTTTGTTTGTGTTAATTTAAAATAATATAATTACTTAACGCCAACTGTTGTATTGATGCGTGTCTGTGTACGTGTGTCATATTCTTCTCGTTTATGCTAAAAATATGCACCTTAGAGGATCACACAACTAGTGGTCTGTGGCCAGAGTCTAGACCATTGGCCTCTACATTCAAACTTCTAGAACATTTTCTTTATTTTCCTGTCATATCCTACTATGTGCATGTTTATGTTTTTAATAGTATAAATTATTTTATTGAGAAGTGCAATGTTCAGCATCGTATATATATTTAAGTTAACTTTCAAATAAAACAATATACATGATTTTCCTGACATATTGAATAATAAAGCTCAAGTGTATGTTTATGTTAGATTTTACTGACATTGAATAATGAAGTTCATATGTATGTTTATGTAAGATTTTCCTGACATATTGAATAATGAAGTTCATATGTTTATTCTAGGTGATCGCCTGTGAGCAACAGCTAGACTACACATATGATGTACGCTGTGACCTGTGGTCACTTGGAATTACGGCCATAGAACTGGCAGACGGGAAGCCACCACTTGGTGACCTTGACCCTAGACGAGCGCTGTTTAAAATTCCAAGGTCAGTCGAGACTGTGTTTGTATGTTGATGTTTGATGGTGGTATTTAGACACACCTAGAGGTGTCTGAAGCTTCTTTATTGTTGTTGTGTTTACTTTTTGTACCTGTCTTTGTTAAATAGTTGAGTGTGTTAAACTTTTAATTGGTGGGTTGAAATTTGTTTATAGTTCAAGGAGTTAGAGCCTTTAGCAAGTTTCATCAATAGTTTCTGGACTAGTTTAATTTAAGCTAAAATCAGAAAATGAAGCGTTGGGTTTGGTTTAATACTGAGAGCTTGGGTTATTTAGAATCAGCGTCTCTCTCCCCCCCCCCCCCTCGAACAAAATAGAATTTATATAGAAAATATATATAGAAAATTTTAGTCCGCCCGCCCCCCCGAAAATTTCAAGTGCCCCCCTCCCCCCGGACAAAAAAGTCTGAAAGAAACAGTGGCTATAGCGCCAGTTAAAAGGCAAATAGCGTGGTCTAGTGGTAGCATTTGTGCTTGCTAAATTGTAAGTTACAAGCCTGAAACCTGTGCGTAAGACAGAACTGCCCCTCATGGCCAAACCAGATGTGGACCCCCACTGGTGTAGTGGCTGACGACCCCACTGGTGTAGTGGCTGGCGACCTCACTGGCCTAGTGGCTGGCGACCCCACTGGTGTAGTGGCTGGCGACCCCACTGGTCTAGTGGCTGGCGACCCTACTGGTGTAGTGGCTGACGACCCCATAGGTCGAATGGCTGGCGACCCCATTGGTCAAGTGGCTGGCGACCCCACTGGTGAGAAAATGCTTGTTTTTTAGCCCTGTTCCAGTTCTAAAGAGCATAGTTTGATCTGGTAAAGACCATACCATCATCATCACTTTTTCCCTTTAGTGCCCAAGACACATGGGGCGCCACAGAAAGCTCCCTCCACTTTTGTCGGTCTCCAACAATTTTCCTGGCTGTCCCCCATGACAGTCCTGCCTCTGCCAGCTGCTTCTTCGCCCGCTGTGCGCCTCAACTTCTCCTGTTATCTTTTTCCTTGAGGCATCCAGTTTAGCGCCATTCCTGCAATATCACCTGGTTTCATTCTTAAGACATGCCTCATCCAGAGTAAAGACCATATACCAGAGAGTTAAGTTTTTTGTCCAGGTTTAGCCTCACTCTACTATTTCACCCACCGAAACCCCAGTCCCAAACTGGTACTCAAATACACCACACATTTTGTGACACCAGTTTCTCATTATTAAACCACATATTTTTTGACACCAGTTTCTCATTAGTCTTGCATCGAGCTGTTGGTTAAAAACAATAGCGAATCAATGCGCTTGCCCCACCACCGTAGACGTCCACGCCTTCGATAGGTTGTGACTTACATCGATTATTTCCCTTGGTTTTTGGAGCTCTTCTGTGTTCTACCGCGAGGTACAGGAGAAAGTCACGCATAGATTTTACCAGATTAGTGCAAGGCTTGCGTGCTTACTTCCCTTACCATCCAGTGCAAACATGTTTCAGAATACAAGTGCGTAGTTTTCCCCCTTTGGTAATAAGTCAATACACGTTGAATTGGGACAGGGTTATCCTACAAAAACACGTTTTAGTTAGGGGCTGTCGATAAATGACGTGATACAGTTAGGACGGAGGAGATGGGGGCGGTTCTGACGTTTATAACGATAATTGTATACAACATTGGGGATTTGGAAGAGGGGCGGGGGGGGGGTGGGGAGGATAGGGGAAGAGGAGTGGGAGATGTACCTACTGTTTTTTTTCAGGGGAAGGGGGGGGGGGGGCGTTTTCTCTCCCCCCCCCCCCACCCCCGGAAAATGGAACCTTCAGTCGCTCTCCCCCTCCCATCCCCGAAAGTTTCAATGCCCCCCCCCCCTCAATGAGAAAAAATGTCTGAAATCAACATTGGATGGACCTTAGTGACGTTATTTTAGTTGCCGAGAAGGCTGCATGTTTTTTTTTTAAAATAATTGTTACGAAAACAATACCGGATTAAAGAACGCGCAAATAAGCTATCAGAAAAAGAACAACTGACAAAACTCGTATTAAAATTAAGAAAAACAAAGTATGATTATACAGAAACATTTCACTTTTTTTTCATTTAACAAGTTACAACTTCGTATTCTTCTGTGTTGAATTAAATATTTCTTTATGCTAACTCCCGTGTTTGTCAACTAGAATGACCCGCTAAAACACACCCACAAACGTAAACACGAACCATCTTAGTGCTCGTGCTTTAGACGCCATCATTTCCTCCTTTAACCGGGTTGTCACAAGGGAGCAACTACTGTAACGAAACGACCAATGATTAGTTATTATCTACAGTTTCTAAATTTAGACCACACTCGCGTCAAAAGAAAATAGCTTACATCACGCGCGAGTAGTTTCTCATAGTAATCACACCTGGGGTTGATGTAGACTAGTTTCTGTTCTAGGTTAGATTGAGGAAGTTTTGTAAATGATCGTCAAGGTTGATCAATAAGGTGTACAGTTGTTGGTTACAGGTAATTAGTGTTGAACTGTTGAATACCTGATGATCTGATGATTGAACTGTTGAGCTTATGTTGGTATAATGATAGAAATGTTGTGGTTTTATGGTAAAAGTGTTGTATAAATATAGGTATGATGGTAGAAATGTTGCGTGCTCGATTGTATGGTGGTAGAACTGTTGTTTACATGATGGTGTGATGGTATAAATGTTGTGTACCTGAATGTTTGATGGTAAAAATGTTGAATACATGTTGATGTGATGGCGGAAATGTTTAATTCATGATGCCACCGCCCCGCCCTTTAGCTATATATCAAGCACTAAATCCTATAAAGGTTAGTCTGTTGAACAGAAGCGCATTACTAAAAAGTGTCTGGTATCTTAGCAATTAACAATTGTATCGAATAACGATTCTAGTTTCATACTTTTCCTATGCTGCTCTGGAATAATAATGTGGAGAACAAAAAAATAACTGACTCAATGTAACATTTCTCATTCATCTAGTTTATTCTCATTCTATCTTATTGTGTATTATAACTAAGTAATATTATATTTTTATTCCAAATTTTTGAATGCTAGGTTACTGCTATGTCTTTACTACTCAATTTCTTTTTAAAAAAATTAAAATTGTGTTATTCTGTTTTTTTTAAAAAAAGGCCGAAAACCGCCCTCCGTCCTTGCTATTGTTACCGTTATTTAGTAAATTGAATAAGTCACTTAATCTATTTAGCAGCCTATGCTCTCAGCGAAATTTTTAGCGAATTTTTTTTAATCATCCATACAATGGCGTTTTATTAGCCATTTCACAGACACTGTTTATGTCGTCACTTATCAGTCACACACACCACCACCATACCCCCGTCCTATTTGAGCGGTTATGGCATGCCGACTTGATCCGAGCACCCTGTTTTGTATTCGCCATCCGATTTTTTCCAGATGAATTTTTAATGTAGCCCGGCGCTCTTGTCAGTGGTTCTAAAGTTTCTGTACCCTGACCCTCTCGAACATGATAGGGTACACTGTCGTTCAGACCAATGCTCTCATATCTTATATGGTGTGTGGAAAATAAATGGGCTAGATATAATTAGGAATGACCGATACAACTTGCATTAGAGAATTAGGTATAAAAGAAAATTGAAAAAAAAAAAAAAAAAAAAAACAAGAATAGTAAACACGTTAAGTAAAAGAGACATTAGGAGTTAAAACCTTGTTTTATGTGTAAGGATATATAAGAGCTCTGTAAGAGATTTGTAGAAATATTAATAGAACGAGAAGCCTCGCTTTAAAACCTTATTAGTCAGCATTACGATGGCCGGCATATACCAATAACCACCTTTTTAAAACCTCACCAGTCAACATTGGCCGGCATAGACCTAGAACTGTATGGCCGGCATAGACCTAGAACCATATGGCCGGCATAGACCTAGAACCGTATGGCCGGCATAGACCTAGTACCGTATGGCCGGCACAGATTGAGAACCGTCATTTTAAAACCTGACCAGTCAACATTTGCCAGTATAGACCTTGTACCGTATGGCCGGCACAGATTGAGAACTGTCATTTAAAAACCTGACCAGTCAGCATTACGATGGCCGGCATTTAGCTGCAGGTGATTTTCAAATCGGATTATCTCCGCCAATTTCGTTTTTATTCCAATCTTTTTTTTTGTTGTGTGTACACGTGAGCTGACATCGATTTCCCTGCTACTCCAAGAGCTGCCTCTAGTCTACGAATATTGTTACGGCACTTTGCTACTCCAAGAACTGCCCCTAGTCCATTGAATATTATTACTGCACTTTGCTACACCAAGAGCTGCACATAGTCTACGAATATTGTTACGGCACTTTGCTACTCTAAGAACTGCCCCTAGTCCATTGAATATTATTACTGCACTTTGCTACACCAAGAGCTGCACATAGTCTACGAATATTGTTACGGCACTTTGCTACTCCAAGAACTGCCCCTAGTCCATTGAATACTATTACTGCACTTTGCTACACCAAGAGCTGCACATAGTCTACGAATATTGTTACGGCACTTTGCTACTCCAAGAACTGCCCCTAGTCCATTGAATATTATTACTGCACTTTGCTACACCAAGAGCTGCACATAGTCTACGAATATTGTTACAGCACTTTGCTACTCCAAGAACTGCCCCTAGTCCATTGAATATTATTACTGCACTTTGCTACACCAAGAGCTGCACATAGTCTACGAATATTGTTACAGCTCTTTGCTACTCCAAGAGCTGCCCCTAGTCTATTGAATATTGTTACAGCACTTTGTATAGTGTAACTTTTTAAAATGGTTGTCTAAAAATGTATTGAACATTTAAAACAAAAATCGATTTTTGTAGTGCATGCGTACTCACACAGACAGGATCATTGCTAATCCTAATATTTAACATAAGTCCATCTTACGCTCTGAAATATAAAAACGAGTTTGTATTGTGCTGTGTACTTTTAACGGTTGTTTTGGGTACTCTTTACAGCGTATTACGTAGCGCATGGGCCTACTATACGCTATTTGTTTTTTAAAAAGTCTGTTGGGTTTTTGGGCAGAAAATTAAGAATTAATTTAAACAAATTAATAAAAAGTCTAGTGACAATTTAAGCGCAATTTCCTTATGTTATCCATAACAATTTTTAATTTTTTGTGACCGAACGAAAGGATATTTTTTTGCGCTAAAAACCTACACGATGCTCAGTTTAAATTAAAAATATCCTAGGCCTACACGATGCTCAGTTTAAAAATTCTTAATTAATTTTTTGTGACCGAACGAAAGGATATTTTTGAAAACTTTCTTCGGCAATATTGTTCTAAATTATGGCAGGAATCGATTGGTGAATGTTTCAAGTCGCTAAGTGGTCTGGTTGCCGAGATATGGGCCGAAAACTGTATTTTTTCGAGTTTTTTTTGGCTTTTCCGGGAAATCCAGGAAGGAATTCCGGGAATTTTTTTGGCCCACAATCATCCTCGGAACTTGCTTAACATATTTGCTTTTGGAACTAGTCCTCGATATTGCTTCGTTGAGGAGGAGATACGACTTAAAGCTGCGCACATCCATCCATCCATCACCAGTTGTTCTGCAACCATCGTATCCAGTTTTCAGTATTTTCAGTGTAAATGTTTTGTATATACAGAGCCGGTCTGTGTAGCTAGTAATTATTATTTAAATATACACTCTTAACTCCCTCTCATTATCCGGGTATCAAGAATAGTTTATCGAATTCCTGCGCCGATCCTGCGTCAGTACCAGTTGTCACCCACTAATTGCAACAATTTTCTCTCTATAACCGCACTA